GATGTTGATGATGATTTCACCCATCCTTTTCTTTTGCTCTGTTTTTTATTTTACAAATTGGAATTAAATTTGTATATAAAAATATACAACCGAAAAGGAGTTCTGGTGTTGGGTTTGGCTGTATTGACTTTTTAGCATTTGAGGGTTGGCTGTTGTTGAGACAGTTTGTAATTGTTGAGTGGAGGTATTCACCAAGCCAATAAACTGATGACGTTTGAGACTGGGTATATGGCCAACTACCACTGCCCAGTGAGCGGGAGAGAGAGAGAGAGAGAGGTCTTGTGTCCATTTAATATCTGGTCTGATAGAGCTGAATTAAAAGCATTACCTTTTTTTAATGTCGTTGGTTCCAGGTTGTTTTCATGAGCACATCGAATTTTAAATTGTAATTAAGTATTTCCTTTATTTTCCGGCTATAATGGAAGAGAATCGACCTCTTTCAAAAACTTATAAAATACAGTATTTATTTACGAACTTGTATTTCATACATCATTTGTCCACATTGCAATGAGTGTTACCGGTTATAGCCGATCAACCGGCAGTCACATTCATAGTTGTTGTGCAATTTTGATTCCGTATTGGAGACTCGTATTTAATATATTTAAAAGTAGAAGAAGGAGAAGAAGAATGAGAAAGAAATGGAAAATGAAACATATAATATGTTTTCAAATACACATTAAACTATTAATTTGGTTTTAATTTACTTAAGATATTGGTTAAACACTTGGACTTTAATTATTAGTGGTGCAAGCATCAATCAAATATATGGCAAGTGGGAACACATATTAATCCGTCAACCAGCATGTTTCGTCATGCCACGTGTATTGAAAGCAAACGGCAGAACTGAAAGCGAAGGCCAGGGGTACAGAAAGTCAAATACATAATTTCAGGGCCAATTATATAATTATGGATGACAGGAATTTAAATTTTTACCCATCAAGTTTGGTTGTATTGTAATTTTGGCCAACACCATCAGCATTTTCAATAACTACATCAATGAACTGAAAGATATAAAGTTACAAACAAAAGCATCAAAGCTGAGCAGAGCACTGTTCAATTAAATAGATTTGGATTTTGGACTTCAACTTACAGATAATTACAAGGAGATAGAGTTAAATGGAACTCTCCTAGCTTTAAACAAGGAATATTAACATCTGATTCTCAATGCTTACCTAATCATTTGACTCTGGTGCAACTTGTTGAATGCATATATTCATGTTTTTTCTTGCAAGCAATAGTCTAAATCACCTTATAAGAAGAAGATTCAAACTTGCGAGCAAAGGGACATCCTGACAAACATGCATCTGATATTTTCCCCTGTTTTTGTTTATAATTTCAAGCACTACCTTCTTAATAATTACTCTCCTCTAAGGTCAAGTTCAAATTTCAACCTTGTGTGATGATGTGTAGCTATTAAAACATTATTATTTTGACTTCCGTGGGATGCTTTTGCATATGAGAACAAGAGAATGACTTGGATTTGGAGCAACAAAATATAGCCAGTCAATTTGGGGTTAAGCTCATTGGGCTGGTTCGATGATTTGGGTGCGCTGGGCCGACCCATATGCATGGTGGGTACCATTTTACAGCCCAAGGTTTTTCATAAATCGATGTCCCAACGAATCGGAACAACATATACTATACAACAATCTTTCTTCTTTTTTTGGGGGTAAAAATGCTTTATTATAAGAGTATACATAGGAGAGGATGAAAATATCCAAAAATCAACATGAAAGTCAAGAATAAGAGCGTAATTTTAAAAAAAGTCGCGTCCTAAACTAATCATGAGGAAACTAAAGAAAAAGAAAAAAGAAGACTATTGCATGCCTAAAACTATACAACTATTTAGATCATCTTCAGCTAATATGTCAAAAGTGCCACATAAACACTTATCGATTAGAAATAACATCTCATATCACTCCAACCGAATTGTCAAAGCTGATGTAGAATGAAGGCTGGAGGTTCAACCATTACTTTTGACATCCCAAAAGCAAGATGTCAAATGAATATTTTATTATTTTTTAAAAGATAGTTGGTTGTTATTTTCATTTATTATTATTTTATTCTTTATAGTGAATGATTTGATTATTACAATAATTATTTATTTGACATATTTGGTGAACTATAAAACTGTGTAAATGTCAAATTGTCACATTAGCCATCAAATTTAAATTTGATGTTTGGTATTTGACATCTCCCTTGAAGATGTTGTTAAACATTTATTAGGTTGCTAAAACTAATTAGAAGGCTGGCAAATTGCCCTTTTAGCACCAAGGACCTACCTTTCTAACAATAGACATGGTGGTGACTATGATATTTTGTTTCTTTTTGGAAAACTTAAATAAATCAATAAAAACTAGAAAAGTAGGTTTAAATTTAGTCCACAAATTTGGTTCAGCAATATGCATCACCAAGAAAGGAGGGACCAACCTCTCTCTAGGTTGCCACCACAAGTTGCACCTAATTAATTTAGCAAATCCCATAACACATGTCAAACCAAACCAAACCATCATCATCTTCAAGAGTCACTTCAATTTTTGGAGCACCCATCCATATGCATTTGTTTGCTCACCCGGCAAAAGCTCATTTGCATAATCATTCATGCGATGCGCTTTTTAAAGTTTTTAGATATCATTCGTAGTATCTATCTTTTTGGGATAAACAAGAAAATCTTCACTAGAATCACTTTCACATGTACAAGATTTTTATGATACATTTTGAATCCAGTATGTAACCACAAAAGCATAGGTATGTATGAAGTGAATAATTAGTGTTTTAATGCTCACGAGTGTTTGATTGAACACGTAACGTATATTTATTATGTAATTTTTCTTTCATTTTTTTGTCAATCATTAGGAGGGGGAGGGGGTAATATACATGGGGTGGGATTTTGAAAGATACCGTCTCATGTGGCTCGAACTCAAGTGACAATTACAGGTAGGGGGGAAAGTTGCCGCTCAACCACTACGGCTAAACCTCATTGTTGTCTACTATGCAACTTTTCATTGAGTATAAAATTTCAAGGTAAACCTGAATTTATCTCACTATGTACAAACTTTAAGATAATCTTTAACTTTCATGTACATGCATGCAATCACTCACAAGTCACATGTATCAAGCAAACTAAAATATATTTTACATCCAATATTCAGAACAAAATGTATGAACCTAAAGAGCGAGTATCTTGTTACAAGTAAAATTATAAGAAACATTAACGTATATAACATGTCCCACTGCTTTAGGATGAAAATAAGTGAAAGCAGTCAAAATTTTCGATTAAAAAAAAACCAATTAAGTGTAGGTAGACATACGGTTCTATCAAAAAGCGAAGGAAATGCCACGTGTTTATCTAGCATTGGTAGTTAGATCAGAGATTAATTCATGTGGTAGCCCACCTCGTTATCCTACCTGTCCTACTCACGCCCAACATGTCAGCTGTCCAGCGTGTAGGGCCCTCGGTTGTACAAATTAGACTTTTTGATGACGTGGCGCCAAGCAGACCATTACTTTAGCGAACCCGAAAGCTGGGCGAGTCCTAGCCACCACTTGTTTGAGTGGCAGAGACATCCCTTGAGCCCGGACCATTACTGCCGGTCCCTAAATCCAATTTTACGTTCCATCCTTATCATAATACTACTCAAGCGCTGCCGTTGACAACTTGAGCTGATATACGGAACTTGGAAGCCCCTTTGGGATTGTTTTTACGGGGGTATTCTTCAATAAATATTTAAATTAAGGATTAGTTATATATTTTTAATATCGATTATTGAATTGCATAGAAGAGATTCTCAACACATTTAATAAATGCAATCTAACGGCCAATATTAGAAGTATGTAATTAATTCTTAACATAAAATACTTATTGGAGAATCCCTATGTTCTTACAATAATCACATTTGTTTATAAAAATGTTTAATTTTTTTAAAAAATTTCATGAATAAGCCAGTTCTAACATGACAGACATTTCTTTTTTCTTTGTTTTTTCCATAACTCGGTTTAATTTATTGGGAGTTTCACTAAAACACCCAAAATGGGGACTGAAATTATAAAAAAACCCAACACCCAAAACACTTTATAAACACACCCAAAACTCATTATTACACACACTCAAAACCCATTTATAAATACACCCAAAAAATATACAATTGTTGATTTTGGGTGTGTTTCTATGTTTAAATAGTGCTTGAGTTTTTTTTATAAATACATGTCTAGGATTGAGTTTATTTATAAATTTGTATAATTTATTCTCATATATGCAATGGGGTCAAGCATTTATCTACAATAATATATACGAGGATGTTGAATTCGTACGTGCAACTATTTATTTTATTCTTAATTAATTATAGTATACGTACGTGGAATGCATCTAGCCATGCAAGTGCAAAATGACCGTATAATTGTTGTTCAAATTATAAGCACGTTATGATTGCACATTAACTTTTGTGTATGGAAGTTTTCTATCGTTCTATAATCTGATTTATCCTTAATTAGATGAATACATAAAATGCCAACAAGCATCAAATTTCCAAAACTAAAGAGGTTTAATAAATATTTGAAATTGAAAGTTCGTCGATTGTGTATTTACTAAATTTTCTAGATTTAGAACCGACCAACACACGAACATAAAATTGATGGAACAACTTTTCACGGGAAAAGACCAAAGAAATAGCTTGATACTTATGATAAGCTCCTATTGTGAAAATTGTGATAGAATAGAAGGGTCCAAATGGAGCCAAATGAAAGTAACGTAGAAAAGGAAAACTATACCCTAAAAAGAAAAAAAAGGCCAAGCTTAGTCGTTGTATAACAAAAGATAAGACTCAACTCGTGCATCAATATTTGATTATATCCCACTCGCTCGCTTTTATCTAGAAAACACGGTAAATAAAGCTCTTTATGTAACACGGACGTGACACTATTTCTTATTTATAAGACACCCTATATTTCTTCCTTATAAACTCTCTCTACAGCAACACCAAGCTCTCCCTCATCCCCCTCCCATGGCTTCCTCTGTCAAGGGTAACAACAGACTCTCCATTGCCATGGAGCGCACTGGCCAATGGTACAACAACAACTCAACGCTCTATATATATGAGCATAATTAACAAATTTCTCATCATCGTTATGTGTTTAATACTTTCTTTTTGTATAGGATTTTTTCTCAAGAAATCCCTTCAGATGTTATGGTTGAAGTTGGAGAAGCCAATTTCTCTCTACACAAGGTACTAATTTCTATGCTCAAACTTACTCCTCTATGTTTTCTGTGTTGATGTTGTGCTTTTACGTGATTTTCGCTCAATTTCGTGTGCATGCATGATTATGATTATTTAATTATACGAAACTCACTTAATTTCTGTTGCAGTTCATGCTTGTGGCGAAGAGCAACCACATAAGGAAGCTGGTTTTAGAGTCAACAGAGCCAGACCTTACGAGAATCAACCTCTCCGACATTCCGGGAGGCCCCGAGACGTTCGAGAAGGCGGCCAAGTTCTGTTACGGCGTCAACTTCGAAATCACAGTCCAAAACGTCGCCGCTTTGCGCTGCGCCGCAGAGTACCTGGAAATGACCGATAAGTACTGCGACAACAACCTCACTGGCCGCACCGAAGATTTCTTGACGCAGGTCGCTCTGTCAAGCCTATCCGGTGCCATTGTCGTGCTCAAGTCGTGCGAAGAGCTTCTCCCCATCGCCGAGGACCTCAAGATCGTTCAGAGATGCGTGGATGTTGCTACTTCCAAGGTGCTTAATTGTGCTTCAATCACTCATCATCACTTGCTTCAATTCTCGAGATAATTCGGTTAATTATGTGATTATTTGTTCATTCTAGGCCTCAATTGAAGCGAATTTTCCAAGTCGAACGCCAACGAATTGGTGGACAGAGGAATTGGCGATTTTGGATATTGAATTCTTCGGCAGATTCATCACTGCGATGAAGATGCGCGGAGCAAAATCGTTAATCGTAGCCAGCGCGATCATAACGTACGCCGAGAAATGGCTCCGAGATCTCGTCCGAGACCACTCCGGTACCGGCGCTAACTCGGCCGTTTCGAACGACTCCGCTCTCCGAATCAGGCAACGCGAGCTTCTGGAAGCGATCGTTTCTCTCTTGCCGTCCGAGAAAGCAGCGCTGCCGATAAACTTCCTCTGCTGCCTTCTCAGATCTGCGACCTTCGTCAAGGCCTCGAGCGCGTGCAAGACCGAGCTGGAGAAGCGGATCTCGGTGATGTTGGAGCACGTGACCGTCGACGACCTCCTGGTGCTGTCGTTCACCTACGACGGCGAGAGGCTCTTCGATCTCGAGAGCGTGAGGAAGATCATCTCCGGGTTCGTGGAGAAGGAGAAGAGCGTCGCTGTCTTCAACGCCGGCGATTTCAGAGAGGTTTGCTCGGCGGCCATGGTCAGAGTCGCGAAGACTGTCGACGCGTATCTAGGCGAGATCGCCACGTGTGTTGATCTCAGCATCTCCAAGTTCAACGGCATCGCCAACCTCGTACCTAAAGGCGCCCGTAAAGTGGAGGACGATCTCTATCGCGCCGTTGATATTTACTTGAAGGTAGTTCACTAATTACGAATTAATTCACTTTTAATCTCGTTAATTAAATAAAATCCTAAAACTGTTGAATTAACTGTGATTACCCCATTAATTAATGATGTTGCAGGCTCATCCGAACCTTGACGAGATAGAGAGGGAGAAGGTGTGCAGTGTAATGGACGCCTTGAAGTTGTCGTACGAAGCGAGAGTGCACGCTTCGCAGAACAAACGGCTTCCCGTGCAAATCGTACTGCATGCGTTGTATTACGATCAGCTGAAGCTGAGGAGCGGGGTGGACGAAAACGACATGATGCAGGACGCCGTAACGACGAGGAGTCAGGTGCAGCAGGACGTGTCGTTGGCGAGGGAGAACGAGTCGTTGAGAACGGAGCTGTTGAGGATGAAGATGTACATTTCGGACTTGCAGAAAAGTGGGCCTGCTGCAAAAGGTGGTTTAGGCGCCGCGACGACGTCGTCTGGGAAAGGTGGTGGTGGGCCCAGGAAGGGCACGTTCTTTTCGTCGGTGTCGAAGAAATTGGGGAAGTTGAATCCGTTTAAGCAAGGGTCCAAGGACACATCGAATATTATGGATGAGGGTGTGGACATTACCAAGCCTAGAAGGAGAAGGTTTTCAATCTCTTAATTATTTAGGGTTTTGCTGTTGTCTTTGGACTTTTCTGTTGGTGTTATTATTGTTTTCTTCTTAATTTTGGACCCTTGCTCAAATTGTAATGTTCATGTATATATATATATATATATATATATATATTATATGATTGGAAGCATTGCTTAAATTATATTTCTAGTCAACACAAGTCCTACCAAGTTATTAGTGCTGGTGTGTAATTAAATTATTATTTTGATTTTGATGAGGGAAATGTGTAAGTGCATGTACGAATGTGAGGAGAAGCTTATTTTGGTTTGATTGGATCCGTTGCTATGTTGAAGTATGCATGTTCATGAATGAAAAGGAAAAACAATTGATATCAATAACAAATTTATTCATTGAAATGGTCATCATGTTAATATGGATAAAACAATAAGTGAGTTAATGACGAAGCATGAATTTCGTACAGGTGGGGACCTCTTATAAATTATAAATAATACAAAATTTGAACTTATAATACATACAAAAAATAGTATATATACATATATCACATATATCAAGAATTATATTACTTATTGGTTGCAATTATAATTATTCTCGACAAAGGAATAGACAAATACATGTCAAGCAGGGAAAATTGTAAGAAATAGACAAATACATACTTGGAGTTGAGTAGTGATTTAACAAATATCTTTAAAGCTTTCCCCCTATTAAACTCAATCGAAAGAAAACAAAATTTCACAAAAAAAAAAAATTCACAAACTAAGGGCCCTTTGATAACCATTTCAATTTTAGTTATTCGTTTTCATTTTCATTTTTTTTGCTAAAGTACATAGGAAAAAAGATAGAGAATGAAAGTGAGAATGAGAGTGAAGATAGAATTGAGAGGGAAGATGAGAGGGGAGAATGGGAAGGAAGAGTAACAAAAGTGAAAATAAAACTAAAATTTATTTGAAATTGTTTTCACTTTTGTTACTCATCCCTCCCATCATTCCGTCTTATCCTCTATCTCAATCTCATCATCACTCTCATTTTGTTCTATACTATAGCACAAAAAATGAAAACTAAAAACTAAAATTGAAATTATTATGAAACGGACCCTAAAAAAAACATAAATGGAGAGAAATATAATATAAAGTTTAGAGAAAAACTCAAAAACCTAGTTCTAAGAGGAGTAGTAATTTCTATTGCATACACCAAGAAAAGAGGGGTGAAAAAGACTAATTTTAAGGTTTGTGTTAAAAAAGGTAATGTAATTTTAATAGTTATATTAAACTTTTTGGTATTGGGTTTGCAAGTCTTGGAGGAGACGTGGGTTTTCACTAGGTGGGGCCGCATGTGGGTACAATATAAAAATACCATATTCATATTGGTTATCTAATTGATGTTGGGAGAATGTGAAAACGTAAAGTATTTGAAATAATATATATATAGAAATACATAATAGTATAGTATTTTTAAAATACAAAAACAAACTTGAGCGGGAACTCGGGACCACGTTGGTCCCAACGTGGCTCTGTGCCTGATGTGAATGTGTGTCCTGAAATGTGTACTGTACATCATAATGAAATTCTTCATGAACGAGTACGAATCTATTGTCTTCACATCTCATTATGTATTTGTTTGACACGTATCCTTCATTTTGGGGTTATTTTTTATTCTTCTTCTTCATTTTCAAATGTAGACCTCCTGAGGTTTGATATAATTACAGTCAAGAGCTCAAATGTTTCATGTTACCGTCACACCCCCTATCTTTAATATATGGTAGGATTAGTGAATGGTCATGGGGCAAGGCTGTCTTTTCCCCAACACCTGTGGCATCAACTCGTCCACCTCCTACCCGTCTCATTATAATTTGTCTAGCTAATTAAGGGTAGGCATCGAGACCAGAAAATCGAAACGAACTAAATTAGAAAAATTAGTAAAAAAGGAGTGTAAGTGGACAAAAGAGGAGTGAGATCATACAATTTCCAATAAAGAAAGTGTAAGTGAACAAAATGAGAGTGGGAAAATCAGTTTCCTTATTAAAAAATCAACAAAAGTATAAAATAAAAAAACCGAATCGGACCAGTTTCGCATCTCCAAAAACCTAAATTAGACCAGTTGTGTATATATATAATAATAATTTTTTAAAAACAGCTCATACAACAGAATTTCAAAGCCCACACACCTTTTTTTATTTAATTTTTACTCTCTTTCTTTATATTTCCCCTTTTCTTCTCTTCTTCTCCTCTCCTCCCTCTTCGACTTATTTTATTTTATTTCTATCTTCTATGTGTTTTTTTTTTTGAAATAACATAAATAAAACAAAATCGGTTCAAAACCAAAAATCGGTGCGGTTACTACACCATTGGTTTTTCATTTTGGCAAAAACCGAACCGCACTGTAAAATAATTCTAGTTCTAAGGAGAAACTGCACCGCGCCCACGGACATAGCCAACCCCTCTCCCTCCCCTCCCACCACAACTGCCACCAACTCCTCCTCCTCGCCCCACCATCACCACCAACTATCTCTCTCTCTCTTCCCCCACCCCTGGTTTGAACCCACCCCCCATCAACCCCAAGCATCATCATAAAGCCGGATGCATTTGCTTCCAAACAACATTATGTGACTATGATAAGATGGGCTTTGAATTTTATATTTAAAGAGGTGTATAAAAGGTTTTGGGTGGGATTAACAAATGGGCCAGGCCACAAGGAATTTGATATGTCCATATCTTAAAACAATTTGGGTTCGTTTAAGAGCCCAATTTTTTGCATTTCAAATTACTCTCTGATTTGGATTTGGATTTCCTTGCTCAAATTTAAGGGAAGGGGCGGTGACGCAACAAAGCAACACGACGTCGTTTTCATAAAACTGGCAGCTACATAAATCACCACAACCATATTTAGCCCAGTCGGAATTGAACTTTCGTAAGCCCCACTCTATCTCTCCTCGCTCGTCTTCTCCACCTGAGCGAACGAAAAAGAATCGAAGCAAAGCGACCTTACTCTCAGAGCAACAATGGCAGGCTCCGCCATGGTGTTGGACCCGAAACCCTTACCGGAGCCACCGGCTTCGTTCCCCTCCATTAGATCGGACCTCCAGGCTTCGTCGGAGCAGCACCAGGCCTCCGACGAGGACGATCTCTACAGCCGCCTCAAATCCCTTCAGCGGCAACTCGAGTTCATTGACATCCAGGAGGAGTATGTCAAGGATGAGCAGAAGAACCTGAAGCGCGAGCTCCTTCGTGCCCAAGAAGAGGTCAAGAGGATCCAGTCGGTGCCCCTCGTCATCGGCCAGTTTATGGAGATGGTCGATCAGAACAATGGGATTGTGGGCTCCACCACGGGCTCGAATTACTATGTTAGGATTCTCAGCACCATTAATCGGGAACTTCTCAAGCCTTCTGCTTCGGTCGCCTTGCATCGCCACTCCAATGCCCTTGTCGACGTTCTGCCTCCGGAGGCCGACTCCAGCATTTCGCTCCTCAGCCAGTCTGAGAAGCCCGACGTCACCTATTCTGTAAGTTACGCTCAATTAATTTGATTAGGGTTATGAAATTTAGGGTTTTTCATGTGTTTCTCCATCTTTCAAGAAACGGTCAATTGGAGTCAATAGACTGCTGCTAGGGTTTTGGGTTTGAGGAATTTAACGGTGTTGAGTGCCATGTGCTTCTTGAGGAGAAGCGTGGCTATAAATTGAACCATTCTGAAAAACTTGTCTTACTGGAGTCATATGAGTGTTTTGAGATTTAATTATCTTTGTTCAATGGTCTTGATGTTAGGAGAAATGGAGTTTAGCCCAAAATTTTACCCGTTGCTCAAGTTTTAAGATTGAGAGCTAACTATATGTATGGACATTATGCTCAACTACTATTGCCTTTACATCCCTAATTATGGATATTTAGGATTTAGAGAGTGTTTTAAAGTAAAATTCGATAGTGGTTCTTTTCCCCACTTGTGAATTTCTGATTTCTAGGTTTCTTATATTGAGCTGGACTGCATATTATATGAATGATCCTATTTGACGGTTATCAAGCTTCTAACTTGGAAACACGTTTATTTTTCTGTTCTAATTTATTATTCCTTTATTGGAAAGAAGTGGTAATTATTGTTGTCTAAGCTAGTTAGGGCTACAGCTTGTTTCTCAGGATCAACCAATTTGGTTTAGTTCTTGGTTTTAGGGGTTTGTTAGTCAATCCAACCCAACCGGAATGCTATGAAATGTAATATGCATAGATTTTTAAACGAATTTTATGTAATTTTATCATTGGGACATGTAACTTCAAGTATTGGCCCAACCCCACCCTGATTTCGATGTTTAATGGTTGATGTATATTGCCTGTTACAACTATTTTCTTAAATTCACAATTGGGCATCCAATAATCGAATTTATCCAAGAACAACACTAATATAATAGTTTGAAGAGCATGGTCGTCAGACTGGCTCATCACACATTTGTGTTACTTATATTGTATTTGATAGTCATACCTACATTAGTATTTGATTAAAAGAGAATTATGTAGAAAAGGAAAAAGAATCAAAGAAATGCAGTACTGAGCTGGAATAATGTGGGTTGGCTTGGTTCATATAATTAAGTAGTAGACTAGTACTATGGTTCGGTTGAGATCCCAATTATCTAAGAACGAACTAAACCAAACTAAGTTGTCTCCATGTAATAGAAGCAGGTTGCTATGGGTTTTTCTGTACCAAATGCAGAGTCAAGTTGGCTGTTTGGTGAAGTTTTTATACATTTGAATAATCTGTTTGGCATTTCCCTCCTCTGAGCTAAAAAGCCGTAGGTAGGTTGGATCTTTTCGTCATTTAATGATGTCAATGCCTTATCGTCTTTAATTTGTGTTTGTGTGTTAGGATATTGGAGGATGCGATATTCAGAAGCAAGAAATCCGTGAAGCAGTAGAACTGCCACTTACTCACCATGAGTTATACAAACAGATTGGAATAGACCCTCCACGTGGTGTATTGCTCTATGGTCCACCTGGAACTGGTAAAACCATGTTAGCAAAGGCTGTTGCTAATCATACAACTGCTGCCTTCATTAGAGTTGTTGGTTCAGAATTTGTTCAGAAGTATTTGGGTGAGGTGAGATTTTCAGTTAGATTCATTTCTTTTATCTTTTGTACGTAATTTTATTTATTACGTTCCACATATCCTATTATTTTTTGGAATTACAAATTCGGTGAGGCTAGCTAGTGTTGCAAGCGGATTGCAAGTATTTATTTTTTCGGGTTTTGGTGGTTTCCTGTTGCCTGACTCTCTGGGTTTAGATTTATTGACCGACTTTAGAAACATTATGATCACTTATTCTTATTTTCGTTTTGTATATCAAGGGTCCACGAATGGTTCGTGATGTTTTCCGTCTTGCCAAGGAGAATGCACCTGCAATCATTTTTATTGACGAGGTGGATGCTATTGCTACCGCTAGGTTTGATGCTCAAACTGGAGCTGACAGAGAAGTACAGAGAATCCTTATGGAGCTCCTCAATCAGGTAGGAATGCATATTTTGATCTTATTGGGTGAACTAAAACCGTAGTTCAACCAGAACTCGGACCTGCAATGCATCGATTTAGGGTGGGAGAAATATTTCTGTAAATGAAAAAAGAGAAACCCTGCAATACATTCCTTTATTTGTTGCCATTTATCTTAGTTGATTTGGGAATCATATTTTTTGCAGATGGATGGTTTCGACCAGACGGTAAATGTTAAGGTCATAATGGCAACTAATCGAGCAGACACATTGGATCCTGCACTTCTGCGTCCTGGAAGGCTTGATAGGAAGATTGAATTTCCTTTGCCTGATAGGAGGCAGAAAAGACTTGTTTTTCAGGTAAGTAACATTCAGAAAGCATCTTTCAATGAATCATTTATTTTTGGTAAAATGTTATTTGTAAGCTGTGAGGTATTCCTTCATTCTCGTCATCATAAGATTTATAACTTCCTCTGTCCATGCCATGTCATCCGTGTTAATGGATTTGTTACTTCCCCGCATGCTCCTTGTTGACAAAACCTGCCATCAGCTCCCTATATCTTCAGTTGTGGACAGCACAGGGGTTGGGCACCCCAAAGCACACTCTATCTGAGTTTATCCTGTGTCTACCTCCTAGAGTGTTTAGTTATTATATGTTTTTAACATGAGTTTTGTTTAAAAAATAAAAAAATAAAAAATCTTATCTCTTGTAATCATGATGTCTTACTCTTGTCGACTTTTAGCAAGCTGTTGCAAGTAATTTAATGTCAACTTCGCTGCTTGTACTGCAGGTTTGCACTGCTAAAATGAACCTGGGTGATGAGGTGGACTTGGAAGATTATGTATCTCGGCCAGATAAAATCAGTGCTGCTGAGGTGAGACATGAATTTTGTTTCAGTTCTGCTACCATATGTTAAATCTTTCTACTGTTATGTTTACTTCTTCTCTATGCTTTAATTTTAAATGTTTAATTTATTTTTGGGGGGTGGGGGGCATAAGTGTTAAAATATCTTTACAAATGCAAATCCAGTGCTGTTTTGTCTTTGTCTGAAGTTCTTGGTGAATCATGACATCTTATTTAGAACATTCATGGCGTTAGGCTGATAGGTGTTTTATATGGGATGAATCCATATGCCAGGATTGGAGATGGCAACATTGTCAATTGGGTTGGATTTAGAAACTATTTATGGTTGCTAACTGGGAACGGATAGGGGATCACCATACAATTTGTTCCAACGGATTTGAATTTTGTCATTTCTGCCTTCATCTATCATATATTTTCTGTCTGCCGCTTTAAAGATACGGAGGCTTTGCTGGTGGTCTCATATTTTAATTTCTTTAAATATTAAAATTGATCATATACTAACGGTTACAACTGGATGGGTACGTACAGATTTCAGCTATATGTCAAGAAGCAGGAATGCATGCAGTTCGCAAGAACCGGTACGTCATACTCCCGAAGGACTTTGAGAAGGGTTACCAAATCAATGTGAAGAAGCCTGACACTGACTTTGAATTCTACAAATGATCGGTGCTTGAAGCTCATATGATAATGCCGTTGCTCAGGTTGCTGAAGGTCATTATCACGAAAGCCGCATCTGGAGATTAGTTTCTTTGAACAATTATATAGCCCAATGGAGGGGTTGTCTGTTAGGACATTCCAAGTTAATGCGGTGATGTATGATGCTGAGCCATGAAATGGTTTTATTTTCTAAAGATATTTTTCTTCTTGTCTTTTAAATTTCTGGATGCGTTTTAGTTGGAGACTTGTTTAGGGAAACTGTAACAAAGCATACTGAAATTACTTTTCATTCTTACTGTTTGTAGTGATGCACAATTTGCTCGCTTGTTACTATTCTGTTTCCTACTTTCTCAGCGCAGTTGCTTTACATATCAAGTTCGCCACATTCCCAAATTTTCTGTCAATGGCCTCTGGGCCATTATCGTGGACACCTATTTGAAGCATGACTGAAGTCATAAAACGAAAGAAGGGATTTAATTAGGGCTTTGTTGTTCCGTCTTCTATATTGATCAAAATGAGTTTCTGATCTATATTGATTCAGATCGTATTATCCTTATAGGTCCATCCAATTCCATCATTTGTGTGTTTATGTCTCTCTTCTCGAACTTTGGAAATTATTATTAATACGTATGATGTAACTGTAACAACTCATTCATAAGAATTTCCAAGTTCGGGAAGGGTGACATAAATACGATGAAATTGGATGGACGTATAGGTTAATACTCTCTTGTAAAATCGTAATTGATCTGAACCATCCATAAAACGGATCAATATTCTCTAATTCCGAATTAGAAATGTGCACAAACACACATATTACTTATCAATACTCTCTTCTTTTCCGATTAGAGCTAGCTAGCACAGTCTTCTGTTGTTAGGAGGGAAGACTAAAAAAGGAGGAGACAGGATGTCAAACAGCTTCAAGAAAAAGTAGTTAGTATTTTCCTTCACCCCCTTTGATAGGTCATGATCAATTCATTGCCCATGGCCCATGGGGACCCATTGTACCCATCTGTTTGTTCAATATAGATCAGAAAATCTTGACCCAAAAATAGAAAGAAAAAAAAGAAAAGAGATCAGAAAATTAAATAAGAAATAACTGAGTTGCCAACTTGCCAATGAGTATGTGCAAGTCCAATGCAACCCATTGTTCTGTTTTTTCTTTTTGGAAATAAAATAACTACCCATTATCATTTCTTCATCCTTGTAAGTTTCTTGCTACCAACCAATGCTCCTCATACAAATATAAACAAAGCCAAAAGGTCCTACACTACCTAATTTATGGATCATGTCCTTGATTAGCATAATGATGCTGTAAAGTGGAAACAAGGATCTCATATTTATATTAAATTACAAGGGCCCCTCCATGTGGCTTCAGAAAAATCAGAATTACAACCAGCAATTAGAAATACTTAATTAATTTCATGGTTTTCTTCTCTTGCATAATTTCTTTTCTAATTTTGGTAAAATTCAAATCCACTATCTTATTATGTTATAGTGAATGAATCTCCCAATACCCTTTTCTTTCTCTTTCTCTCTCTCTTTCAAATGTTGGGTATGTATGTATGTGTAAAGTTGTATATCTATCTCAAATGTTTGGGGCCACATGTTGCCAATTGTCACAACCCACTTATTAGTAAGTAAGCTCTCACTCTCTCTCAGTCATGGGCCTCCTGAGAATTACAGTATTTGCCACTACTGTGTGTCATGGCATGGCATCTTTTGAGATCTGGAGCTTCTCATTGATTGCATGCTCAACGACTCTCACCTCTCCCCCGCGTAATAATGTTTCCACTCGATATAGTGTGATTGGTCAGGAATAACAAAACAGTGTTATTCCTATTTCATGTAAGTTTTTCTGTTCCGGCTCTCTCCCATCTTCCACGATCAATCATTTTCCAAGTTGAGAGCTTCCAGATAATATATATGATTTACATTAATTGTACATGATTAGCTTTTAGAACATTAATGGGGTTCTCTGCCAAGCTGGGAGAGAATGAGACTAAAGACCAGTTGATAATTTAAAACAGTGTTTTTTTATCTGATGAACAAATTAATATTATACTAAATATTCATGTGGCCTTGTCTATTCTGCTGTGTTTTAGTACATTATAAAACACCTTTGAATATTCCATGTAAAACCAACTTGCACCAACATAATAAATACAAATTGGAGCATATATCAGGTTCAGGGTCACACTATTTAATGTAGCTTTCCAAAGTCATGCTGTTTTTACCTCTTTACTAACTGAAGTAGTTGTTGTAGATAATATTTTAGGAGATAGATCCATCCAGAAAACTCTTCCTCCTCAGCTAACCCATGAATGACATGGATGTTTAATCATGAAACTTTTGAGAAAAGCTTATACTGAGGCATCATGATGAGAAGAATGGTTAGAACTTCTCATTCATGGATTTCTTATTTTGGGATTATCTAGTAGTTGCAGGGTTAGCTTGCCTTGGAGGATTGAAGCCATGCAGGTACAATTTAATCATGGTTTTTTGAATATAATCCTTTTGAAGTTTTGACTGACCAAAAAGAAAAAAAACTTCAGAATATATACAATGTGATTACAATGTAAATTTGAGAATATAAGTTATTTGCTCACTCTTATTTAAGTTCCAATTTTGAGAAGGTAAAGTGCCCTTTTTCATGTGAGATCAATAATTTTTTGGAATTTTTATACTTGGCATGGGATCTAGATGAGCATGCAGATGATGCAGCAGATCTAAATCTAATAATGGTAGGTTGAGGGTGGTTGGCAATAAAATAAAAAAGTGTAGGAGTGGTTGGATCAAGGTCTCTCTCTCTCTCTCTCTCTCTCTCCAGTCCAACTCTTCCATCAAAATTGTACACTCTACCCAGCCAGTGCACACAGCTCATTAGTATATTATTGAAGGGGGTGGGGGAAATCCTCTGTCTCATTAGCTTGAGCATTTGGTCATTTCTTATCTTAGCTCAGCCTCATCATCCTCAACCTCAGAATGACATCAATACATAACCCACCGGATACCAATATGGTTGAGCTTATTAAAAGTTCCCAAAGATGAACCGAAATTGGGTACTAGGGTAGGTTTCAATTTCCAATCTTTTGAAAGTGAACATAAATGGTATTGATGTATGTGTGAATGCCGAGAAAAACTTGTATGTATGTGGGATGCACAAATTGTATCTCAAATTAATCATGCACTATCATATTGAAAATTTAAAACACGTGACAGTACTAGTGTGTGTGATTGACTTGAGATACCGCGAGTTGCGATCCCAACTTTAATGCGGTTCAAAATTTTGAAAACTCTTCTGAGTCTGCAGCAGGAAACTTCATTGACTAAAAAGCACCGGTTCCCACAGGGCCATGATGAAGCAAAAGAAGGGAGCTGCTGCTGCTTGCTGCCACTGGCAATGGAGAGCTGCAGGTTTAGCCTACCAATAAGGGAATTTGAAAATTGAAAGTTGAAATGAAATACCAACTACTTTTTCGGCCACAATGAGCCATACTGCTACCCTGAGGGACAACTAAATGATTGAAGCCCAGTCAAGGGTCCTCAACTACAGTGAGCTTCTCCTTTAACAAGCTTGTGTTGACAGCCACACAACAAGAACGTATATCTTTTAGTCTTCTGCTACATGAAAACCAAGAAAATGTGTTTTGGTAAAAAAAAAGAAAACTTTCAAATTTCAGAAACCGATAATCACTCATAAATCATACGTATTAAATAAAGTCAAGTAATTTTTTTATTCTTGACGATTCAAACTTTAATGTGTAAAGTACAACTCATTCCTCTCATTCTTTTGTCACAACAAGACCATCCTGCATTAAACTAATAAGTATCTTTAGTCAAACCCAAAATATTTATTTATTTATTTATAACCAAACCCATAATTCATTGAGTGATGGAATTGCATGCACAATAATAATCTGCATTTTCTTTTTTCTTTTGTTTTGTTGTTGTCAATTTCGTTGTCTTTGGCATGATAGTAATTTGTGCAGAAAACAAAGACTGAAGTCTGAAACTGAAGAATTTAATTGCTGAGGAAAGCAGCCAAAACGTAAACAACAAATAACAACAAACGAGCTTAACCGCAACACTAGACACATACTAATATATTATATTTTCCGTCCCAAAAAAAAAGATACATAAAATATTGTGTGTGTATATCTAGCCAAAAGAAAACCAGCAAATAACTCTCTCTCTCTCTCTCTCAGAGTAGAGTGAGGCTCACAGCTCATACAACAAAGGGCAGTGCAGTCCTCTTCATCTTCCTTTTTCCTATAATTTATTCATTTTTCTTCTTTGCCCTTTACCTTCTCCTTTTCCTTTTCCTTTTCCACTTTTATAATTCAAACCCAAAAAATTTCTTTTCTTTTTCATCTTCAAAAACTTTCTTTTTCTTTCTTTTTTTTTTTTTTTTTTTTTTTTTGGTAAGAAATTAGAAATACTATTCCTGCCTGCTTCTCCTAACTCATTTATCAGTTAAAATCATGCTTAATTCCCACCAAATTCTCAAAAGTCTCAGACTTGTTGTCCTTCCTTGTACCCACATTTCTGCTAAGTGCTAACCCAAGAGAAATTTCTAATGCCTGGATCTGAAGCTTTTCACTTCAAGGAAGGAGCTTTACCCTCTGCTATTCAGCTCAGGCAGCCCAGGTCTCACTGCATTCTTTGCTGCAAACTGCAGGTTACCATCTTCACCTTTTTCAATTGCTTACAGATCTGTATTGTAATTGTTGCCGTTGTAACGAGTGTTTTGGACTCTGACAGTGTCTGGAACTTGAAATTTTCTCGTCTCTCCTTGGATGAATGCCTTAAATGCTAGTTCTTAGACTTGATTTCTACTCAACCCATTAAAGCTTTCTCAGTTTTATTCATTCATTATTACTATAATTAATTTGTTGAATTCGATCAATGTGCTTGCTTTAGAGTAAACCCAGTTTCTTGTAACGGTTAGATTAGGTTTAATTTTGGTAAAGTTCATTTCTTTAACTTCTCCATATTGTTGTTAAACCACTCTGAGCTATCAGTCTGTTATCCATGATTCTGCTTATTTAGTCCTGTTGTATAATAAATTAGTTTATACAGCAGTGTATGAAAGGGGCTTAACCTTTCTCACTCACTTGTGTATAGTGCATATACATTACTGGACTGAAGGAAATAATAGTTGTAACTCCCAACGGATATGTACCCAATTTTGACTTTACATTGTTTTCTCATTAAAGGGAAAAGGAAGCATGTTTCTTTTTAGTTTTTCTGCTCTAAATTTGCAATCTAGAATCAAGGCAACAGTGAATGGAAGTACATTTCATAATTTGACTATTATCATTATCATTTGGCGTTTACTGTTCTCCCCTGATATTATGCATGCAAAAAGTTTGTCACTTTTCCTTCTTAATATATGAATGCTTTGCATTATTGGCTACCTGATCTTGATTTGTGGTTTTTGTGCTGAACCAGATTATGAGCCCTCCAAGGATTACATTTTGATTTCTCTAGTCACTTTCAAAAACTTTAGTCCAAACAACTCCCCATGAAGTCCTGTCCCTTTTCAGTTATTCCTTTCCTTTTTTCCATTGTCATTCTTCTTCCCCTTGCTTTCTCTGACCTGAATTCTGATAAGCAAGCCCTTCTTGACTTTGCTGCTGCTGTTCCCCATCGTCGCAACCTAACTTGGAACCATGCTTCCCCAGTCTGCACATCCTGGGTTGGCATCACTTGCAATCTAAATGGCACCCGGGTGACTGCCCTCCGACTTCCTGGAGTTGGACTTGTGGGCTCTGTCCCATCAAACACCGTTGGTAGGCTAGATGCCCTTCGGATTCTTAGCCTTCGATCCAATCTCCTCCGTGGTAACCTTCCTTCCGATATTACCTCCCTTCCTGTACTCCAGAATCTATACCTCCAACATAACAACTTCTCTGGTGATATTCCGGCCTCTTTTTCTCTTCAGCTCAATGTTTTGGATCTATCATTTAATTCCTTCACTGGCAACATTCCACAAATATTACATAATTTGACACAACTCACTGGATTGAACCTCCAGAACAACAACCTTTCTGGACCCATACCTGATCTCAACCAACCCGGGCTCAAGCGTCTAAATTTAAGCTACAACCATCTTAATGGCTCTATCCCGTCTTCCCTTCAAAGATTTTCCAATTCATCCTTTGTGGGAAACTCACTTTTATGTGGAGCACCTCTTAAAGCTTGCTCCCTCGTCCTTCCTCCGCCACCTCCTACTCACAATCCACCACCACCAGTAGTTCCTCAGAAACGAAGCTCCAAAAAGAAGCTGAAGTTGGGAGTTATCATTGCGATTGCCGCTGGAGGGTCTGTTCTGCTGTTGCTGTTAGGCCTTATCATAGTTCTCTGGTGTTTAAAGAAAAAAGATAGTGGAGGAACTAGTGTATTGAAAGGAAAGGCTTCTAGTGGTGGAAGGAGTGAGAAGCCTAAGGAGGATTTTGGAAGTGGGGTGCAAGAACCTGAGAAGAACAAACTCGTTTTCTTTGAAGGTTGTTCTTACAATTTTGATCTTGATGATTTGTTGAGGGCTTCTGCTGAAGTGTTGGGAAAGGGGAGTTATGGCACAGCATACAAGGCCGTCTTGGAGGAGGCAACAACAGTGGTAGTCAAAAGGTTGAAGGAAGTGGTCGTTGGGAAGAAGGATTTTGAACAGCAAATGGAGGTTGTGGGAAGAGTTGGACAGCACACAAATGTTGTTCCACTCCGTGCTTATTATTACTCAAAGGATGAGAAGCTTCTAGTTTATGATTACATCTCAAATGGGAGCTTATCTGCTCTTTTGCATGGTATGCATGCCACTGCCACTGCTCTTTATTTAATTGTTTCCTTCTATTTGATCTCTTTCATGGGGTGGGGGTCCCGGGTTGAGCAGTAAATTGAAGTCAACTTCCTAAATGTCAGTCTGAAGTCATGTTAAACTTTTAAAAATTAATTCATGAAACAAGGGGATATTGAGGGTGGGGGCAGTAGATAGTCAAGGAGTTTACGCAGAATGTGGTCATTCTTCTGGGTTGGTAGACACTCATGGGAATAAACACACTGTGCCTTAATATCTGTAAGTGAGAACTTTATGTGCATATCTAAGAGAGAATGCAGGTAATTACCATGATGAGTTCCGTAGTTTCTGTAGAATACTGGTGAAAAACATAATGTTTAAAGAAAGAGTTGTTTCACACTTGGAAGTGTATTAGCTCGTGCACCTAGTCGAGTATCATGTTTGATAATGATGTTGCATTGGGATTTTAGTTATAATTACATGCTTTACAACTTGTATGTTTTTATTCATGAACTATTTTGTTGCAGTTAAGGTAGCCCCCTCCCCCTGCCCCCCTTTTTCTCTTTACAGCTTCTTGTTAGCTTCTTCTATCCTTTACAGAAAGTCCTTGACATGATTTTCATTTTATATGAATGACTATGTAAGCCTTGTTTTGACCTCATATGCCTAATGGTTTTCTAAGTCTTATCCCATATTGGAGGGGGCAATGCCATACACCACTCTTCAGTCAGAGTGTTACTGATACTGAAAGCTACCTATTCTTTAATGCCATTTACAAAGAATGCATATTACTTTTCCTGCTTGTATTTTTTCTGCTGGGTGGTAAAAAAAAAGATTATGGAGATGCATATTAAAAGACCAGTTACTGTTCTTCTTGTTCTCTCTGTTACCAATATAAATACAAAGTATTCCCTTTCTTGAGATTGGAACATGTGGAAACTCCAAAATTCAAAACCCTTTTCAGTTAACTGAGCTAGGGAAAGAAGTTTGCTACTTATTGATATTCAACTTTTTTTGGGTGAGGATTTTTCATTCTTCTTGTAGGACAACCTATTTAGAGTCGCCTTTATAGAAAATTCAGCTGTCTATTGAAGCGTTGTGTTGTGCACCACACTCACTTTTTATTGAATCTGATGGCAGGAAACAGGGGAGGCGGAAGAACTGCATTAGACTGGGACTCCAGGATAAAGATTGCCCTTGGAACTGCAAGAGGAATCGCTCACATCCATTCTATGGGTGGTCCGAAATTTACTCACGGAAATATCAAGTCCACAAATGTCCTCCTCAGCCAAGATCTTGATGGGTGCATCTCTGATGTTGGCCTGACTCCTCTCATGAATGCTCCTGCCACTACTCGGAGTGCGGGCTATCGAGCTCCGGAGGTGATTGAAAACCGCAAGCACTCTCATAAATCAGATGTGTATAGCTTTGGCGTAGTCCTCCTTGAGATGCTGACTGGAAAAGCTCCTCTCCAGTCACCAGGGCGTGATGATATGGTTGATCTCCCTCGGTGGGTCCAGTCTGTTGTCAGGGAGGAATGGACTGCTGAGGTTTTTGATGTTGAGCTGATGAGGTACCAAAACATTGAAGAAGAAATGGTGCAAATGTTGCAAATTGCAATGGCATGCGTGGCAAAGGTGCCAGACATGCGACCTAACATGGAAGAAGTTGTTAGAATGATTGAAGAAATCCGGCAATCTGACTCAGAGAACCGGCCATCTTCCGAAGAGAATAAATCAAAGGACTCAAATGTGCAGACTCCTTGACCACCACCAAAACTTGTTGCTTTTTCCACTCATCAGGTTCTGAGAAATTCATATATTTGTTCCTCTTCTGATTAGGGAAGCATAATAGAACTTTTCCTTTCTGTACATGCCTCCTAAGGTTTTCCCAAGCATTATTCAATTACATGCACGGCTTTGTAGAGTGGGAATCAATCCAATTGTGCCATTTTTCCTAGGTAGTAGTCAGGTGGGTTTTTTTTTAGTTTCTTGATTTGTTGCAATATGTATTTTAACCTAAGGAATTAATTGATGATCTTCATTAATTCAAGAGCTTTCTCCAACTTTTGTGTTATATATCCTAATCCTATAATCACACTTTAATCACCATAGGTTAAGACTATAACAAGTTGATTATGAAAGTTAAATGTGTGCTTGTCATAATTCTGTGACAGCTAATATGGTCAGAAACTGTGGTCTTTTTGGTAGAAGAAATTCTGACGGACGTCCACCTCTCTAGACCCTTGAAAGTAGGAGACTATATAAACCTATTTGGGGTGGCATTTCAAGCCTAGCCATCCCAGTTTCCGACATGCCAACTTCAATTTACCGTATATAGATTGTGGTCCTCCTAGAGTTTCCCAACTAAGAAAAACTCTGGTCCATCTCAACACATGAGATATTTCAAAACTCTCGTCACCATTATCGTCGCTGTCCCTCCGTGATCAGGCTAGGAGGTGTGCTAGCTAGAGAGCTCCAACAATGTCAGACGGCTTAGGTTCATCCTTGCCTCCACCTCCTGGCCACAACCAATCGAAGGCCAGCAATGCACGACATGTCGCCTTCTCTGAAACCGCTGCATCATCAGGTCCCAGCAAGGCCCATGATCAAGCCATCCATTTTGTTCCTGACCTTGATGATGAGCGCCCTAAACGCTTTCATCCAGGCTGCCACGCCTGCTGCGCATGGGGTTGCTTGTTCTTCTTTGCCTTCGTACTGCTTGCTCTCATTGTTGGTTTCATATTCGCGGCCATCTTCCATTCCTATCTGCCTGAAATCCACATCCGAAGGTTCAACGCCACCGACATCGACTTCGCTCAAGCCAACAAAGATTTGGGCGTGAAGGGAAAAGTTGATTTTCTTGTGGAGTTTTTTAACAAGAATGAGAAAACTGAGCTCAGATATGGTGCCTTCAAGATCACTGCTTCATCTGCGCACGTCCAGCTAGGTAAGACTGAGTTTCCTGAGTTTAGACAAGGCCAAAAAAACACAAAATCTCTGAACGGAACCATCAAGGTTAAACTTTCAGGGGTTGATAAAGAAGACGCCGATCAGCTCAAAACCGACATAAAAAATAGAGAAGTAACTCTGAATTTGGCAATAACCGGCAGTGTTAGCTTCCCTATTGGAGGAGTTTGGTTTAAGAGCATTCCCATCATATCAAACTGCGATGCCAAGCAAAAGGAAGTTGATTTTGGAAACAAGGCCAAATGTGACTATAGGATTATTGCCATAAAGTAAAATCCTCAGTGATATCTCTCTCCATCCGCGTAGAATATGCTTTAGAACCCAACTTTTTTTTCTCAACTCTCTCACATGATCCTGAAATCTATGTACGTACGTGCTGCATGTATTCTATATGAGCGAGAGTTGAGAAAAAAATAAAGTCGGGGTTATATAGCGTACGTTGTCTGAGACAGATTCAATGGGCTGCAGGACAATAGCTGCCAATAGTGTTAGATGAGGGAATTGGTTTGAGCCATCATCATAATCATGTCGATTGGATAAAAGGTTTGATTGTTTGTTATTTATCATGTGGAATGTTACAAAGTTTTTCCTTATTTTTTTTGCGTGCCTTCCCAACTGCTCCATCTTTCTTTAGTGTGGAGAAAAAACTTGTGGAGAATCAATAAACATCTCACGATTTTGAATACTCTTCATAATCAAAATACTCATCATTGCAATCTTTACATGTCTTCAATCGAGATTCAAAGCACACAACAATATGCAGCACTTTCTGTAATAATTTCGTTGCCTAGTTTTTTTTCCTTTTCCTTTCTAAATTTCATGATTTCCAACCTAGAGTTATGAGGAGATGTCACCATACTAACATCGAAAGGACATGCAAACTAACTATATTACAATACAATGCACATTCAAAAAAATGTTCACAGGTTTGTACAATTAAGTATGACACTCAACCAACTTGATAAATTATTTAGTTTCATAGTTTCATAACATGGCGTATCATCGCCTTAAGAAAAAAAATTGTTTCCACATTAACACAAACAATTTACGCTATTATCAATAGAATCATACAATAATCCCATAAAACCAAACTAAATTATTTATCAATTAGCTCTTAGTTTAGCATGATTTATTTTTTTTCAATTCGGAATAATTTAATTTTCTTTAATGCGAGGGCTGATTTGGGAGTGTAAAATAATTTTTCCACTTGTCATATATTATTGAATAAGGATACGTTACAAATAATTTTTTTTTGCCATGATTGAGTGGATAAGCCAGAGTTAGGCTGTGGGGTATTGATAGTGGCCCACACATCTAATGGTGGTATTGATAATGGCCCTCGGATGGGTCCAATCTACACCCTACGGTACACGCCCAATAACACAATTGAATACGGGTGGGGCCCAGACACCCAGGGACCCGATTGAAAAATTTAACGGAGAATGTGGTCACGGATAAAATTAATGTCTCTCACTCAGGGACTCCGTAGCAAGGACAAAAAAAAGGGTGGGGGCGTATGGAGTAGGGATGTTGTAATAATGTCGTGGATCCTACGCCAAGTTGGAATATAAAGATAGAAAATTCTAGAAACAAAGCTTTTTCCTTTTTCTTATTTCTTATCTTTTTATATATAAAAATACAAAATATATTTCGGAATTTTACCCTTCTCAGCCCCTCACGAAGTCTCTGATTCTGTCAAATACAAGCTCACAATCTCCTGGTATTTGCCTTTCTCATCCCATTCTCTGTAATTTTTGTTGTTGTTTTGTCATTATTTATATGATCTGGGGTTTCTCTGCTGATCTCGGATCGGTGTCTGTTTTACGAATAGGGTTTGGTTTTGGGAAATTTGGGTGTCGTTTTGGTCTTGTTTAGGCTCACGATCTGGGGTTGATTCGATTGTTTTCTGGGTCTTCAGGTTGTGTTTGTGCGGTTGTGTGTTGCCATGGCGTCAAAACGCATCTTGAAGGAGCTTAAGGATTTGCAGAAAGACCCTCCTACCTCATGCAGTGCTGGTATTTGCTCCTTTCCCTTTTCCACAATCCCTTGCATGGTTTCTGTCTCAGACTGTAAACGTTTATTTTAAATTTGTATTAAGATTGTAGAAAGTATTCATTGCAGCTAATTAACTGGTTAATTTTAAGGCTAACCCTTTTCAGCTCACGATGTTTAGCATAAGCATGGCCCTTTTGATCCATTAAAGAGGAAAAAACTGATGTTCAAATATTGTGAGTTGTTGAATGGCATATTTGTGGATGGCCCAATTGAGAGCAACACCTCTAATCTAAGGAGGAGGTTGTCTCAGGCTCAAATTCAAACCCCCATCCCCTAATGTTTTAACTGATCGAAGATGGTAGCATATTTGCACTTTAATGAGTTTCCAGTTGTCTCGTGTGCTTGCTAATGCATCTTAGCTTTCTCAGATATGTATATTTTGATCAATATTTATCTTGAGGTTGATATAGAAGCTTTTCTTTGGGTGTACCTTTTAATGGGTTATAGGTCCCGTGGCCGAGGACATGTTCCATTGGCAAGCAACAATTATGGGGCCTGCTGATAGCCCATATGCAGGTGGTGTTTTTCTAGTTTCAATTCATTTCCCTCCAGATTATCCATTCAAGCCTCCAAAGGTATAAAAGAAGCAAAACCTTACCCTTTTGTTTCTATAGAATTTGTAATTGTCTCATTCCTCCATACTATACGATAAATGAAGTATGAGCTGTGTGTGACATAGAATGGCTAAAATGGACACTGCATCAGTGTTTAATAAAAGGGATAAAGTTTTCTGTTATTTAGTTGATGTGCGTAGGTTATTGTATCAATCTGCTCTCTGCAGATTAAATGATAATTCTGTCAATGGCAACCTGTGTATATTATCTCTGAAATTGTAATATATGTGAGAAATTAGTGAGAAGTAAGATGCTCCCCCTTCCTCCTCCCCTCTAAAATCAATCTGATTTTGTGGTGGGTTGGCATGGGTGTGTGAACAAGAATGCCCATAGAGTATTTGGTCCTGTGTATCAGTCTTGATGATTACTTATCTGTGTTGAACATCTTTATTAACGCTTTCTTTTATTCAAAATTGATATTCATGTAAATTTAACAAAAGTGATGACGTGTTTCATTGGTGCTCTATCTTTAAATCAAACTTTAAAAGGTTATGAGAATTATGTGTACCCTGAGTTCGTGATATTTGTAGGTGTTGTCTTAGAATGATTTTATAGTTGCACGATAAAAAGCCGATTCTTGTAAGATCATCTCACTAAGCGGGCAATTCAATGTTTTGCTTTGTTTTGGTCGTTTTCATGTTTTGAGGTGATTTATTTTTGGATAGTTTATAATGTAGAGGCTAACCAGAGTTACATTTCAGGTTGCATTTAGGACCAAGGTATTCCACCCAAACATTAATAGTAACGGAAGTATATGTCTTGACATTCTTAAAGAACAATGGAGTCCGGCACTTACCATTTCCAAGGTTTGTATAGCTATTTTAGTTTTTCGTCTGTGATTACAAGAGGTCTTGCTTCAGTCCTCTTATCAGATTAAAATGATATGACCTTTGACTCATCCTAATGATCCTACTTTTCACTCCCCATCTTGTTGCATCTTCTGACTTGCCATCGGTGGTGCAGCACATGCAACTCTTACAAGATGGGTGTGAGCGTTACACATAGCAACGTAACATGGTATGCCCAAAGTAGGATTAGATGGAGTTAATATTACATCATTTTAATCTGATAAAAGTACAGAGGCCAGCTCCATTACAAGATAGCAGTTAGAAGAACAGCCTATTTGTTTTGATATATAGGTTATAATGGTCATTCAATAAATTTGTGTTCAGGTGCTGTTATCCATATGCTCTCTGTTGACGGACCCCAACCCCGATGATCCACTTGTCCCTGAAATCGCACACATGTACAAGACTGATAGGGCAAAGTATGAAGCCACTGCCCGCAGTTGGACACAGAAGTATGCCATGGGGTAAAATTGGAGATTCCCAGCATTTGTAAAAGGATGCAAATGCATGAATTCCCTCTCCTCTTAAGTAAACATTGGAAAAATTGAAAATTTCTTTGTCATTTGTGAAACTTAAAATTGATGAAGGAACTAGTTCTCATTGTGTGAATATTCATTTGGGGGCATTGGAGATGGGAAGGAAAAAACAACTGTAATGTATTGTTGCTATGTTGTTATTAAGCGAATGGTTTGTTTGTTGATCTACTACCCTTAAAATGATTAAAGAAATAATGCTTTGAGGGCAGGATTGCAGAGATTGCTTATATCGGTTGGCAAATGCTTTCCCCTCGGAAGATCGCCGAGGGAAAACACATCCTAAAAGCAAAATACATAATAGTACGTATCGTATGAAGGTTCGAAAGATGTATTTTGTTTCAGATTGATGAATTGTGTGGTAACCAACAACAAATTGGCCTTCTTTTTCACTGGTTTTGTCCTTGTTTCTTCTTATCGGATGGTTATTGGCTTTCTCTTTCACTGGTTTTGTCCTTCTTATATGAATTATCAACTAGCTGTGCAGGTGGTTGGACTTTGCTTTTGAGGCTTTGTTCTAGTCTATTTATGGTAAATTTTGTTGCATATAACAGTATATGCAATGCTTCCTTTTATAGCCATTTTATTATGAGAGGGACGTAGTATATATCTTTTATATGAAAAAATATCTTTAAATATTGTTTTTTTGTTTATCTTTTTGCTTGGTCGAAAATCTCTTCAACATAGGGGTCTCGATCATTAGTAGCTATAATCCCATACATGTGAATTGGATGCGAATGCGTCACACCAATGGATGGCTCATGCCGAAACAATGCAATGTTTGGCAACGAGTGATGTGCTCTGTTTTGAATTTTGAGGTTTAAAACACGTGGCCTTGTGGTTTGAATTGTCGCTCTGTTAATTGCCAAAGTTCGGCAGTATTGAAATCTCTGATTCTTAATGGGTTGTGCTGTATTATGCATATTCTAATACAAGGGGAAGGAGCAGTTAGGTAGGTCACACTTGATTTAAAGAATAAGTCAAGGAGAGAAGAAGGGAGATGATAAGGAATCGAACATATGACCTCGGGAGAAAAATCGTATTAACTTCCTTTTTATGCCATCGTAGTAACCCTTATTAAGCGTGTAATATAATAACATTTGAGGAAAAATAATAAAAATTTGATTAACTTATCGCTTGGTTGACAAGCAACGAAGGTGGTCACTGCAACCGCCCTAAATCCTTTTTATTCCAACTCTAGTTGTACATGATTGATCGCTCTTGCTCCACGTGGTCGATTGATGGATTGGGGTCTGTTGCCTTTGCTTCTTGCCCAAGCATTAACCAACTCTAGCAAATTTTTCAACGTTATTTGAGTGGCTTATTTTATTTAAATCAAATTGCTGTGTAATGCCCTTTCTCATTCTCCAACTCCCGTTTGACAGATTTCCTTTCTCTATGTATTTTATTTTGACTGAACCCAATCCCTTGCTTTAAATAATCCCATGGCTGCACCTTAGCAAAATAGACTATCACAATTTATTCTAGGCAGTGATTTTTTTATTTATTTTAAAGGTAATGTAATGAACGGACCAACTTAGGTCTGAAGGAGTCAAGAAGAAATAAAAAACTGGGTCCAGCCGATATTTCAATGGCTGATCATGACATGCCCTGGCGTGCACCTATTAGGAGAGGAACTTCGACAGTAAAAAGTAGAACATCTTCCCAATTTCTAGGTGGAAAGAAAGCATCCGAAAGAGAAAAAAGGTGTTCCTCCCAGCATGCTTTTGCGGACGCAACATACACACAGACCGTAAAAAGGCAGAGAAAAAGAGCCTACATATAACTGCGTGGTCGGTTTTACCAACATGTAAATTAAAATTGGTTTAATCTGGTAGTATCTCAAGTCAATCATGCATATTAATACACCATCTCAGTGATATATCCATTGTAAATTCTTCTCGTCAACTAGAGCTCATTGTACCATGATAAGCTTAATCATCTGAGTCGAGACCAATGGACAAAATTATTTTATACGATCTGTTTTTTCAGTAGCATTTTAATCTTTTGTGAAAAAAGTGTCGTATTGTATGCAACAGTTATGGGTCTCTACCGACAATATAGACAGGACCATGTTGGCTGAACTCTAGTGTGCTTAATTACAAAGATGGACTAAAAGAAAGAAAGACATAATTAAAAAGAGGGTCTACTGTTTTAGATCTAATTGACTCAAAAGATGGGGAAGAAAAATCAAGGGGGGAGGGACGACTTGGGGCAATTTGTGAGCGTCAAGCGGGGTTGTTTTTTTGTTTTTTGTTTGGGTGGAATAAACGAAACGAGAATTAGGGGTTGGGGAAGAGGGAAGAAGAGGGCAACTGATACGTCAATAGAGGCAGCTGGAGGCAGGTTTCCCGCTTTATACTACCCGACATGACTCATGACCCATGACCCGCTCACACACTCACTCACGAGAAAATAATATATATATTACCCATTCCGAATAAATAATATTAAACAATTGAATTGTTATTCGCACTCTCATTTGTCATTTCGTCAAAAATATAATTAATTAAATTTTTTTTTCTCTCTCTCGTTACGTGACAATTTATTTTAATTTATAATCGTTACATATTATATGATGAGAAAGATAAAAAGAAATACATTTCTATACGATTCATACACCCTGTAGATGTACTCGCCTAAATAACACATCTAATCGGATGTTGGGTATAAAATTAAAGACACCTCAAACTGAACAGAAGAATCATTGAATAACAAAGACTAGTTTAGCAAACCTATGTGCCACACGTTTAACATTACATCTTAGCATCATCATCGCTCAAGCAGAGGAAACAAAGCAGAGATGATTTCGGAAAAGATAAGTGTAAAAAAACAGCGGTAAAGTTGAGAAATTAAAGCTAAGACAGTGAGGTTACTCAAATACTTAGTCCACTCCCACTCTTTATGTATCCCTGACTCCATGCACTATATATACCCCTGACCCTTCCCATTCCTCTCCGTTTTCCTCCTGTTCTCCACTTCTCTCTCTCTCTCTCTCTTCCCAAACCTGCAAAGGGGTTTTACTACGATTTCTTATCTGCCAAAAGCCCCTTCTAGCTAGCTTTCTAGGCGCTCCTCCTCCCGTACTCTTCGCAGGTCTCTGCTTCTTCTCTTCCATCACCTTCTTTCTTTCCTCTTCGATCCACTCTGAAATCACCCTTCTATAAAAGTTCAGATTCTACCTAAAACCTCACTCAGTACAACTCACTGGTACAGTTTGTTCTGTATATGCTTCTTTTGCCTTTCGATTCTTGATGTCTCTCAAGAACAAACCTACATCTCCAATTTCATTTCCTCTCCCTCAAAACCCATGACGAGCTTCCAAACCATCTCGTCCGTAAACCCCATGGTCAAATTTTCGGAGCAAGTAACCACCATGACCAAGCTCATCACCCACGAAAACCAAAACTCGCCTGTGAACCCGACCCATCTCCCACCAAAGCTCGTCCGGATCATACTCACAGACGCCGACGCCACCGACTCCTCCAGCGACGAAGAAGACAGCGGCGTCCGCAGAGTCAAACGACATGTCAGACAGATCAGCCTCGAGCTCTCTTCACCTTCCTCCTCCTCCTCCCCTTCTTCTTCTTCTTCATTTTCTTCGGGTCATTCCAAACGGCTCAGAAAAGGCCAACGACCCACCAAGAAACTCGGGTCGAGGTCGCCGGGATCCGACCAGACTCGGCGGAACAAGTTCCGAGGAGTCCGCCGGCGACCATGGGGTCGATGGGCAGCTGAGATCCGTGACCCGACGCGGAGAAAACGGGTCTGGCTTGGAACCTTCGACACGGCGGAGGAAGCCGCCACTGTTTACGACAGAGCCGCAGTGTTGCTCAAAGGTCCTGACGCCGTCACCAACTTTCCTAACGCCGCTATGACGGAAGCCACGGTCGTTACTGACATGGTGGTCCCGGCGGCGGAGGAGAGCTACGGGTGCGGATCATTTACGCCCAACGAGGCTGCCACGTCGCCCACTTCCGTTCTCCGGTACGACGAGTTAACGCCGTTCGACGGTTTCCGTTACGGCGAGGTGGACGCCTTTGGGTTCGATATCGACCTGCCATTAAGCCTGCCCGATATTATGTTGTCGAATAATAACAACTTTGCTCACGACGAGTTCGGCGAGTTTGACGTCAACGATTTCTGGGTTGACGTCATATGTTAAATTCACCGGGCACGCTCAGACGTGTCGGATTCCACTGAAACACGGGGGTGCGAAGGAGTATTTTGTAATTTCGTCAGAACTGTGCTGGGTGAGTACTGGGAGCGGAAACTGAGTGTATAATGTGGAATTACCAAAATGCCCAATTAGTTTTGGCTAGTCAAACTACGGAGTGTTATTATTATATGAGTAAAGCCGATTTTATCTAATTATATTCGGCGATTTTGTGAGAATCGTTTTGTCCTTTTTTTGTTTTTTTTTCTTTTTCTCTATTTATAAAATTATTGGTGTTTAATTGTAATTAAAAAAGAGTATTAATTTATTTGATATTGTCAATGAGAATTTAGAGGCTCGGAGACTTTGGGGTGGGAAGAAATCATAAATGAAGGAGTGCTTTGATTCCTTGGACATCACGCCTAGCGTTGAAAAGCAAAAGGCATAATTATTATTACTGATTTCGGCTAAATTAAATATTAAAATGGAGAAGAATATATATATACACAATATGCTTTGTTGCGAATAGTATAAAAAAATGGAATGAATTTTCTTTCTAATTCTTTGGCTTTGGCCTTGGCTTCGGCTTCGGCTGTCACTGTTTATAGTGGCACACTTGGAGGAAGGCTCAATACTTTTTGACACGTGTTCAAAACGGGCTGCTTTCAGATAGGAAACTGGTCTATGAGTTTGGATTTTGTCGGATATCCTTGCTGGGCTCCATCAAATATTATATCAAATAAACTATTAAATAAGACGACAATATCTAATCTCATTGCTTTTTCTCTTTTTTCTTTTTTTTTCTTTTTTAAGTAATCTAAATTGCTTTTGTTTTTGTTGATAATGTCATTAGTGTGTAAAGATAATTTTGTGGTGGGTTCATAATAACCATGAAACCTTTTGTTTTTGTGTGTGTACATAACAAAACTGATATTGGATGCCACGCTATATGGAACAAAATAATCCATTTTATAAATGAATCGTTGCCAGTATCGTATCGATTTCTATTTATAGATGTTTATGGAATTTATTGTGAAATTCACATATATCTATAGTCAGAAATCGTTCAGATTGAGTATACACAACTGATCATAAAACTCATAAGAGACACTTGCATGAAAATCATCGGCATAATAAATGGATTTCACCCTATTATTATACTGCGCTTGAAGACTCTTTCAACACAAAGTTGACATTAAATGGCAGCCACGGAGCCATAAATATATTTATCATAAAATAAGATACATTAATAGAAAGGCTGAAATTCCATATAAGGTATAGGATGACCAAGCTCCGCTAAGAATCCTAATCTATCTTATTACATATACTGCTGAAATGGAGAAATACAAGAACCAAGTAGGCTAGTGTGGGGGCCAGTGGGGTCCACATTGAACCGGTGGCTAGTCACTAGTGGTTAATAATCATAGCTGAGGCTCTGGGCCCACACCAATGCGTGATGGTATTTCAAATGGACCTGGTACAATTGCATAAAACAACCAACGTGGCTACCGGCGGCTGCAGAGTAGGAATTTGAATTCCCCAATTCAAGGGGAATGGATGACCGCAATGAAGATTTCATTTTCTTTAGATACAAGCTATAGTTAAATTAATTGGCTTGTTTCCTTGGGCGTTAGCCCCTCTGTTACCAAAAATGAAAAAAAAAATTTAATTTAATCTATGAGGAGGAGGGATTCGAACTTCAATACAACAAAAAATAAGTTATTTGTCATAATCAATTCGCCTAATCCAGATATGCGAGATGAAGAGCTATTTGGGGAGAGTCAAAGAAATTTGGAATTGGCATGCTTGAATTGAAAAGGCATGTTTGAATAGGGATTTGGTGGGTCCTATGGTTGGTGACCAAACAGATATGAAAGTAACCAAAGCCCAATCTGGCCCATTTAGGAGCCTATAATCGACAGCCGCCTCCCGCCACTAATACCAACAATGATTAATTTAATTTGAATCTTAATCCCAAATAGTAGATTTAGTTGCCAAATTGCCAATGCATTTTGGTGTTAATTGGTTGTTTTGTCTTTGCTCAGCAGCAGTAAGTCCACCCCACATGGTATAATAAAAAACAAACTGTGACATATACTACCATTAATCCAATAATATCCTACTTCTAAAGTTTTATTTTTTAAATTTTGTATTTTTGTATGTCATTGTCACATAAGGCAAGGCATGACTGTTTGCTTCCCAAACTCACACAAGGCATAAATTTTTATTGCATTGATCCGTTGGTCGTCGGTATAGCAATTTTTTATTTTTTGAGGATTTTTTCTATTAAGAGTGGTAATAATATACTAAATTTACACAAATTACACGGATAATAGAACTCGAACCCATAATCTTTTATGGATGAGCATTTATTCTAACCCACTGCACTAGTGGAATCCTTTACATCGGTAGAACTATTTACCGGACGAACATCTGCGGAAGACTTGTAACAGACAGGGCATGCCTAAATTAATGAGGAAAACGACCCATCAAGTGAAAGAAGAAGATATTTATCTTGGAATGTTATGAAATCCCCAAATTTTATACTGGAGATACGTACATATTTATAGTGTCTGCACAAAAGCGTGACAAGAGACAGTACGGACTCAATTTTGAGGGGCATAAACATAAAGACACCCAGCAAAGTTTAAAGATATTCAAGCCCCACCTGCATATGGATAAGAACAACCAACCCAAACGTACAAAAACTCTCATGGCATTGCATGATATATATAAAATATTCTTATGTATATTTATATATGTTGCTGGAGGCTAGCTAGCTAGTGGTGAAGTGGGAATAAATGGTTTCATTTTTCCATAATTTATGGCTGCAGTTTTCAATTAATATCCAGGCATGCAGCTCGTGACAACGTTAAATAATAGATAAAACAAAAACCAATTCAACAAAAATCGAAGACGGGAGATTTTCCAATAAGTATTTTAAATAATGATTGGTTATTATGCCGAATTAATGTCCTAAACCCTAAAACAAATATGAATAGTAAGAAAATTATGTCGTAAATTTGGGTATCGTAATTTCAAATCAGGGTGGCTAAATTTTATGGGTTTTGGGTTTGATTTTTCAACTCCCAACCACAACCACATATGTGAAAATATTGTTTTTAGCTTGGGAAACGAAGAAAAACAAAAACGAAAAAAGAGGTGGAAGGTTCTCCGAAGTTGAAAGCATGTCCTATAAATTTCATAATTGACTTTTCCAAGCAGTGCTTTTTGATTTTCGATGAAGAAAAACAAAAGGCTCTACATCCCACTACTGGACTAAACAAAGACCGTCCATTGATCAAGTCTTCCAACGACAATGTCATGTCACCCTCCAACCAAAAATAAAAAGAAAATTTGAAGGTTGGAGAGAAATTTCCAAGCGATAGGGTGAAGCCAAATTAGAAGGTGAAATGCTGTTGGAAAAAGCGAAAAAACAAGCGGGCGGAAACAAGCAGCATGCATGCTTTGACCTCGAATGGATTGAATTGAAATAAAAGTTGGACAGTCAAGGTTCTTAGAACTTTCCCAATCTATTTTCCATCGAAATAATCGACGCAGCAAGCCCCACAGTGATTTTTGTCTCTCTGGTAATTTTAATTTACAAGTTCAAATCTCTAGTCAAATGTACACACTGGAATTCAAATGTAAAGCCTAACCTAATCTTCTTTGTCTTATGTTCGTCTGTATTTCCCGTCAAATGGGCAAGTTCCTATCTTCAAATTGGGTGATTCTGGTACCGGCCCAAACCTTATCTTCAACAAAAAAACACAAACTGTATTACAGTTGGGTTTAGAAGCAGCCAGGCCCATATAGTCCAAGTCAAGAAAGATAAGAATTCACAATGGAGGGTCATCATTGGGGAGGCAAGAAGATTCCCAAATAGGCTTTTTTCTTCTTCTTTTCCGGCCGAAGAAGACAAGTTATTGAGGGCACGCCACAAAACAAGTTGTAGTTTTTTCTTTGCTTTTGACTTGAGACCACGACAGCTTGAGACTACGAATTTTATCAATCTGCTTCGTATAAAAACCTAAGCTATTATTTTCAAATTTTTCGTTTTTTGTTGGGGAAATAATATATTTTTTTTTTTTTTTTTTTTTTTTTTGTTTGAAATCTTGATTTGATTGGGAAATATCAAACACTCTGCGTGATGGACAAGCAACAACAGCCCTTAAGCACTCGAATAAATACCATGCAAATTATATAACTCACAAAAACAATTATAACGTACACAGAAAAGAGCAAAGCGATTAGACAAACACTCAGAGTCAAGAGAGGAGGGAGAGATTTCTTTAATTTGTGAGTGTCTTAATTCTCATGATCTTTTACTTGTTCTAGGGTTTCAAAAATCCCCAATTGTTCTTCGTTCTCTACGCGTTTACTTGCTTTGTATGCTTGTCTTTCTCTTTGTGTTTTTTTTTAGCAGCAACGACATGGCAGATGACAATCAGAATAAGATGAAGAACGAGGTGGTACCAAATGTAAGTTTCAGGTTTTTGTAATTGCACCTCATCCGAATGATCATGTGAATAAAGATGAGGTGCAATAACACTCAAATTTTTCCAACTCCCCTCCCCATGTCGCAATATCTATCTAATTTCTTCTACTTCAATCTTCGTTCTTTTCTCTTTGCTAGATCTAAGTATTGTGGTTATTCATCCTTTTTTGCAGATTGCAACTTTTGATCCTACGAAAAAGAAGAAAAAGAATAAGGTTGTATTTCAGGATACTACTGAAGATTTTGTAGAGAAGTTGGCTGAGAAAACAGAAAACCTGGCAGGTTGTTCAATTGAAACCAAAGACAGTGGCGATGCAGTAGAAGATTTAAATGGTAAGTGTTTTGACTAATAGAATTTTTTTGGCCTTCTACAATGCCTGCAAACGTTTATGCCTCTAAAAAATTTGTCCAAGTGGAAATTGGTTATCACCCGCAAGGTCACGTGTTTGAACTCCTCTCCCCTAACGTGTGATGCAGTTGATATGCACCCATGGCTATCTCGGTGTCCCTAGAACCGGCCATTGTGTCCGGTATCTTCTCCCGGTTACCAAGACAGTAGAAATTTAAATAGTCATGTGGATGAACATTCTCAAGGTTCATGGATTTAAGCTCTTTTGCTTGTTTGTCCCTGAAAAAAATCAAACAAGCCAATGATAAGTGATAAGATGATCCAGTATATAAATGACAAAGGCTTTTCATGCGATTTAATTACCTGGCAAGCGGAGAAACTTTCCTGGCAACAAGTCTCCGCCCTGCCTCAAGGTCAAGGGCTCTCTCTGTGGCTGGCTTCCCATTTTTGTATATTTAATATTTAAATAGCCGCGCGGCTATACTGTTTAAATATAGACGAATATTTAATTAGTATAGCTGAACATATTCCAATATTAAATAGTATAGCCGCACGGCTATAATCTCTGAATATATTTGAAATTTTAAATAGTATAGCCGACCGGCTATACTATTTAAATATATTCGAATATTTAATACGTATAGCCGCACGGCTAGACTTTAAAATATATTCGAATATTATACTACCTGCCATGGCATCTTGCTCTATTCTGCAACTCCCGTCTCTCCAGTCCAGTAACCTCAAGACACTCACCTCAATCTCTGCCCAAGGTAAATGTTGCTCGGTTCGTTGGTTGATAACCCAATTAAGTCCAAGTGATCCTGATTTGTGGGTTGATTTTTGTTTTCAAATTGATTTAAAAGTTGTGGTGTTTTTAGATTGGGGCATCTGGTTTTGCAATTCAAGTTTTGTTGTTTTGTTTGAAGGTGTGTGTTTGGTTGCTTTTGGCTTGATAAGGTGGAAGAGAAGAGAACCCACAATTGACACAGGCGATTGGAGGAGTCAAATTCAATGGCTGCCAAATTCACGACAAGGCCCATCATTTCTAGCTTTTCTTTCTTAAAGATTCCATGGCGATGGGAGGAGTCAAATTCAATTGAGTTGAGATTCCATGGCGGTGTACTTTGTTGAAATTTTTGTTTTTCTTCCATTTCATTTCTTTAACTTGCTCACCAGAAACTTGTTTCTTGGTTCCTGCCATAAAAAGGGTTTGTAAATTGTATGAAGGTGCTCATCATAAATAGTTACAGCAAATTTTGTATTAATTTATCACATATCTTTGTATATAACTATGTACCAGCTGAGCTCTAGATTCGACAACCCCGACTAGACATGCAAATGAGAGAGTGTTTGCAAGCATCTAGGTGCAACAAAGTACTTTCTAATAATCTTTGTCTTGCTGAGTTTGATTTGAAGATCAAAGACATGAAGGAGATATGTACACACCCAAACTAAGTGATTTATATCAGAAATTTGTTACTAAGCTTCAGCAGGTATGTATTCCTAGTCAAGAAAGAGAACAATCCACCACGGGACAGGGCAGATTTCCAAAAAGGCTTTTATTAATTTTTTTAAGGGCGAAAGTTGCCAAATGGCCACTTGTGCCTAGCACTCCCAAAGATTGCGTTCTTCTTATATTTTTGTATCATTAATGATTTGATGAAACTTACTTCGAAAACAGAGTCTTGTGATCACATCTCATCGTTGAATTTGACCGTTTTAAATGACGGCAGGATGTTCAACTTACAATTTTAAGGACGATAATAATCAATTTTTATATGAGCGACGGAAATGAGGAGTTCGGCAAACATCAAGCACCATCTGCGGAAAAAAAATCCCTGTTTTTAGTTAGCAAGTGCGTGATGGGCAAGCAACCAGAAAAACTGAAACCGAAGGCCCAATGGGCTATTAAGCTCTTTTTAGGCCTTGTTGCACGTGTATCATTTCCACCCAACTCACCCAGCTCTTTTTAGGCCTTGTTGCAGGAATAAACCACAGAGAAAAGAGCGAAGCGAAAACACTACAGGCGAAGAGCGAGAGCTAGGGTTTCCAAAATCGCCAGTTGTTTACCCAATCTTGGTTTGCTTTGTATGATTCTTGAACTCTTTGCGTTCATTCTTTTATTTATTTATTTATGGTTTTGTTTGTGTTTTTAAAGCTTTGGTCGGGATGGGGGAATTCAAGCAATGCTTGCTTGAATGGATTTCTGATTTTTGTTTCTTTTAATAAATGGTGTTTATGTATCGCAATCGTTCTGGGCTTTATTTATATTTGGTTGTGTGCTAGGGTTTTTCTGATTTCTAGGTTTGGTTTTGTTGAAATATTTCGACATAGAGAGATTATGAGTTATAGGGCTTGTTTGGTTTTCGGTGCATGTAGGATTTGGTCCTTGATAGATATTGTTTCACTTGTTTTGCAGCAAACATGGCAGATGACAATCAGAATGAGGTGAAGGACGAGGTGGTACCAGATGTAAGTTTCAGGTTTTTGTAATTGCACCCCATCCGATAGATAAGTTTCAGGTCTTATATGATTGAAATTTTGATTCCCTACCTGTCGTGCATTAAGTTCATTTTGGAATTTAAGATAGATAAGGTATTGTTCTGGTTTTCTTTGGAGAATTGCTGGATTTTTTATTTGAGAATTCTAATAATTACTTCAGCTTTGAGACATAATTTGGCTATTGGAGCTTGAATACGATTGTAGCATTATTGAAATTGGACTAGATATTTCAAAGAAAGGCTCACCTGTGAATTTTGCCAAAAGTTTCCCTTGCTTGCAACTATTTGTAGTCTGGAAACTATATTATCTTTTGCAATAAAATAAGTAGGAGAAATATATGGCTGATAAAACGTTTCTGCTGGGACAGTGCATCTTTATCTATTTGGGAGTGTCAGTCTTCCATGAAGTTTCCCTTTAGATGTATAAGAAACCAATGAGAAAAATTGTGCTGGTTCATTTTCGAGGGGAAACTTTATCCAGATTCTTCTGCATTCTCCAAAAATTGTCGTGATCACCTGGCTAGAATTTGGTGGTTCAGAATGGTAGTGTAGTTAGCTATATCGAGGTGAAGGTGTGATACCTCGAGTCTCTTGACTAGAACTAATTATTGTGGTTCTTCATCCTTTTTTGCAGATTGCCCCTTTTGATCCTACTAAAAAGAAGAAAAAGAAGAAGGTTGTAATTCAGGATATTACTGATGATTCTGTGGACAAGCTGGCTGAGAAAACAGAAAACCTGGCAGGTTGTTTAATTGAACAACCGTTGATTACTCTGTGCTGTTTTCTTTTACAATTATGTTATACATGCATCACCTTTGGTGGTACTTATCTTTTTGGTCATTGCAGTTTCTGATGGGCAGGAGAGTACATTTTCTGGTTTGAAAAAGAAGAAGAAGAAGCCAGTAAGTTTCCAAACTTTTCCACTGTCTACAAGCAGAATATTTTTCCTAGATATTGATTTTTGGTGGTGGATGTGATTATAGGTTGAAACCAGTATCTTGAATGAAGACAGTGAAAATGCAGTGGAAGATTTAAATGGTTTTAATTTTTTTTTTTTTTTTTTTTTTTAACCTTCTAAAATGCCTGCAACCTTTATGTCGTTAAAAAAATTGTTTAAGATTTTATATTTTTGGCCTTTTAGAGCGCTCTGGCGAGGATGAGGAAGGAGAAGGAATTGTTCTTGAGGCTCCATCCTATCCTTGGGAGGGGAGCGATCGTGATTACACATATGAGGAGGTGTGTAAATTATTTCATCTCCATTACAGATCTTTTGCAGTTCAGTGATGGTTCCTTGACCCTTGTACATATATGTTTTATTTATTTTTTCAATGCAATGTCTGCAGCTTCTTGATAGGGTGTTTAACATTCTGCGTGAGAATAACCCGGAGCTGGCTGGAGACAGGCGTAGGACGGTTATGAGGCCTCCACAAGTACTTCGTGAGGGCACAAAGAAAACTGTTTTTGTGAATTTCATGGATCTGTGCAAGACGTATGTTTCAGTTCCCTTGTCTGATAAACCGAAAACCATCATTTATAAATCTCATCTGCATTATATGTTTCCTTCCTTTTATTTAAATTATTTTGTCCATTAGAATCTCCCTCTGTTGGTTTCTCAGTTTACCTTAGTGGTCATGTTTGTTTGTCATACTATTTCTGTGGAAATGTCTTATTTGACAAAGAAAAAATACATTTTTTTGGTGTTTACGGATGGTGTTTACAGGATGCATAGGCAGCCAGATCACGTCATGGCTTTCTTGCTGGCTGAACTGGGGACAAGTGGATCCCTTGATGGACAACAGAGGTTGGTCGTCAAGGGAAGATTTGCACCGAAGAATTTTGAAGGAATACTGCGGCGATATGTCAGTAAGTACCTAGTTCTGTGGTGTGTTATGTTGTGTTTCACACTTGTTACTATTGTTTCTTTTTTTCTTATATAACTTTTTTTTTCCCAGATGAATATGTCATTTGCCTTGGGTGCAAAAGTCCAGACACTATACTTTCAAAGGAGAATCGTCTCTTCTTTCTCAGATGCGAGAAGGTAACAGTCTTAGAATTTAGCATTCTCTAATATTTCAGTTGTCTATTGGTTTGCTAATTTTAATAGTTGTGGTACTCTGGGCATTGATTGAATTCTATCCCATAGATTGGCAACCCCTTGGATCCATAGTAGACCCTCATACATCAGGCTTAGGATCAGTGGGATTGATTTATAGGAAGTTGTTAAGCAAATAAAGAACGGTTTTAGCATTTTTATGCTGCTACCTAACATCTTGTTCACGAGGCCTATGATGATCTGAAGATTTGCCTACATTGTCTGATTCTGCTCATGATGGAGTAACCTATATTATTTCTGAGGCCTCGTTTAAAATTTTGCTCTTTTTGTTCTTTTGAAGGGGTGGTGGGTGGGTATTGGGACAAAACCCTAGGGTATAGGGTGATGAATACTTTTCTTGTTTTTTTTTTCCCCATATGCCCATAGTTTCTAGGTTAATCAATGCAATATGCTACCAATCTTGTATGGTTCTGTGTTTCTGGTTTTAAAATTCTTTAAAATTGAGTGTATTTTGTCTTACTTTCAGCTTCCCGGCTAATGTATTTGATAAATCTTTATGTTGCAGTGTGGTTCTGGACGAACAGTTGCTCCAATTAAAGCTGGTTTTGTGGCTCGCGTTGGACGAAGGAATGCTGGGACATGATCTTAGCATAATTTTGTGGACTCATGGTTTACTTCTTGTAGTTAATGGATTTTTGAGTTGCGTGTTTGCCATCCCCAACAGTAATATTTTTGCTGTGACGTTTGGATATTGAGGAAGATTTTCTCTTGTATTGTTGTTTCACAGTTACCTCTGCTTAGTGATTACAGACCTTCCTATACTTTGGCCTTTGCTAGTGCTGCTCAATTATTTTCTGTTTAGTGATAATCTCAGACGTTTGAATGTGCGTTCCTCTGCATGTTTCTCTTGCAAGTTAGACCGTCACCCCCTGGGGTGGGATTGGATTGGATCCGACCTGCTAGATTGGATTGTATTGGATCCAATAGATCAGATTTGGATGGGTCGTGTGTCGCAATCTTTTAAGCACCGTGTTAGTTTAGGTAGGTTAGTTTACATTTGACGTAAAAGTCAATGAGGAGTTGGATTGAATGATGACTGCTACTCAAAGAGCTAAGGGCATGCTTGGTGTTGATAGGCAAAAAGGAGAAATTGGTTATCATCCAAGGTCATGTGTTTGAATTCCTCTTCTCCAATAGCTTGAATAAAAAATAAACAAAAACAAAAACTCAAGTCGACAGAGGTTACAATATATGGTTGGAGGTTTCCATTTTCCCGGCATAGACAGTGAAATTTTAGAGTTGATGGAAATTTGTGAAATTTGAAACAATTTGTGGGTGCCAAAACATTCCTTAGAATTTGATAGATGGGTTTTGCTACAACATCACTAACACGATTACAAAATATATTATAAGGATTAAAATAAGTAGAAACAAAAAATAAAAAGAGTCAAGACACATGCAATAATAATAGTAATGGAAGTGTTGATCCTTATTGATTTCAATAGTGTAGATGGCTCTGCCTGCCTCTATTTGCATAACATGTTGTAGGGTTTTGTAGAGTACACTCGACGAGAATTTTCCGAACACAGCCGGTGGAAAAGCTTTTCACATGATGTTGGACACGGCTATGAAGGCCAAGCTTGACAGTGATGCAACATATGGTATGTACATCTTCATCCCACTGCTCGTGTAATTCACTGTTGAAATACCTGCATTTTCCAAGACTTCCCAATTAATGTTATCGAAAAAATCAATCTTGTTGATTCATTAATTAGTATTATAAATATTTAAGATGGACTTACGGTATAACAAGACAACATTTCTTTGCTTATAAGTAGAAAAGAGTACCTGAATTATTATCTTTATTGGCACATCCGTCAATGATGGTTCGATTGAGGACATCTACAGTGGCATTGTTATGAAACCAGAAGTCTCTTTTGACCAAGTAGATGCATTCAAGCACACCCAAGGCGTGTTTTGAGCACCCTGTTTTGTCACTGCAATAGTCTCCCTTCTCACTTGGGGCCACGTCCACTATTCCACTGAATGTCAGCTGCCCCTTTGGCGAGCAAGGAACAGGTACCTAAAATTATGACACCCACCAACACACTTACAATTCCTTCTTAGTTATTAACCAAACTTCATGTTATGTACCATAACACCTATCTATGTATGTTTACCAGCTATTTTTCTTGCCGGAGGTAACATGTCATGCCGATTGATCAGTTGATGAACATAACATATTACACTGTTAATTTGAATTATTGGTCGAATGCATTTTTTCTTATAAAATATAGTATTATGTTAACAATTTAATAACATAATATGTCAAAATTCGCTTGAGAAGAGAACGTTAGTCTTCTTCATGTAAATTTATATACTCTTACTGTTTGGTTCATGCAATAGAAAGCACTCATCCAACCCTCGAATGGGCTTAGATTTACATTGTGTGTGGGCGCTGTTTTATCTGAAAATCAAACCAAAGTACAAATAATTAATCTTGCCTTTTTCTTTTATTTTTTTCATATCGTATATAAGAAGAACGATGAGATAGAAGAAGAATACATACTGAAAGCATGAGCATTTTGAAACACAAGGAACATCCCCAAAGTGAACAAAATCAACCCAATTCTTCCACCAACAAAGGTCTTGTAATTTTCCATCCCTTCAAGAGAAACTGCGTGCTGCTGCTGTTTCTTCTTCTTCTTCTTCTAAAAATTTATCTGGGATTAAGTCTAAGAGAAAATTTCTGCGCTATCGAAACATTTATAACCTTTACAAGGGGTTGAATTCTTCATTATAATTGAAGAGAAAAAAAAGACTAAGAGCCAAAAACATATGAATCTATCATGTCTGTTTCAGTATATGCCTAGTATATATGTAGCAACATTGATTTAACCAAGGATAATAAAACAAAGTCTATTTTCAGCAGACAAAATGAGACAACCATAGCTGATAAAAACAAGAGTTTCGTAGCTTATGGAATTTTCCCTTCTGTTCTTTTCTGGTCATCTTATTGTGTTTAGTCCTGCTGTCCATAGGTGGCCCATCTAAGGACGGATAATATTCTTCTCCTCTAAATCCTCATTCTGCTTGGAAGTTTATTGCATTGGTTCTTTAAAGCCGTGAAATCCTCCAAATGAGTACAATTACTATGAAAACTTATTGTCATTTTGTGAGAGTGTTACAGAGCATTAAGAGAGAGAAACAAGCATACACTTAAAAACTCCAAATTTTAAGAACATTTGATGGAAGCCAATGCTTTAACCAACAATCCAAAGAGCACAGTGGGTGTGGAGAAAAATGGGCTATGATCACTATCCAGAACAAAGACTTGGGATGGTGGCCATCTCTTGATCATGGCATCTTGTTGCTCAGGCTTTATAACATGGTCCTGCATGGTCTTGATGTACACTCTTGGCACACAATCAGCGGCATCCGCAGTTTGTTCGAATTGAGCACCCTGCAATGCCAGCATAGGTCCTGGCCTCAGCAGCATTGAAGCTAAAGTTGAGTCCTGAAACATTCAATACCAAAGAGGATTATAATAAATTTGGTATTTTGTTCCAACACATTGCGTCTTAAACTAAACCGCTCTGTAATAGAAGAGAAGTCAATTCTGTGGTAAATTTGAGATGGCCTGTTGTGGTCTTGGTGGTTTGGTGAGGTTGACACTTCATCAGTTTATGTATCTTCCTGCTGCAGTTAATAGTGCACTTGGGGCTGGTTTGGTATGTTGTATTTAACTGGACTGGAATTTATATTGAATATTGATTGCACTGCAATGTGTTATAATGTGCAGAGTCTCTCAGGGCTCTTCAGCAAAAACTGTATTTCAGGCTTGTATTTTGGCATTTTAAGGGTCTCCAGTGTGACACACCTCTGGCTTTCTTTCCGGTGTCGATTTTGACATTTGGGAATTTAGAATTTGAAAGAATTCGTTTAAATTCTGCACAACACTGTCTAATACAAGGTTATAAAATTTAGTATAATCTAATTCAATCTGGTAGACATAGGGTCCAATAAGGCTATGATATAATTAAGTTCCAACCGTAGAAAAAAAAAGAAATGATCAAGGCCCCAAGGGGAAGATAAATATCCAAGAATTGTTACTATTTTGAGGCATTAGAAGAAGAATATATAAACTATGTAGTACTAGTGCTGCTTACCTCTAGAGGGCTCATCTGATACAAGATTTGGTGCTGAAAATTCTCCTTCATTATGGCACTAGTTGGAGGCTGGTCAGGTCCCAACCCATATATGAATTTGACGACGTTTCCAAATGCAGATAAGTCAGGCTTTCCCTACTCCATAAATACAGAAAATTGGCAAACATAGGTTAGGCCAGTTGGTCAAGGCAATGTACCTACCTCCCTTATACTCGAGTTTCATCTCCCTCCCTCGTAGATTAGAGTAATTTAGAGTAGTATCAATTGTATATAATAAAAAAATTAAACATGTGAAATTAAACAAATAAGATAACAAGAATATACAAACATAATACATCTATGAAAACAAAAATGTCAATGCAGTAGCATGCTTGAACACCATGGTATATAACTTTTCCCGGTGCTACTCAAAAAACCCTTTGTGAACTCTTATTATACAAAAATAACATGAGTAAAGAACTAAAGGCTTAAGATTTTTAACCCAAAAAAAAACAAAGGAAGAAATGAGTCTTACATCTTTGAAATCTTGTTGGGTAGAAAATCCATGCTCTAACATGGTTGCTGCAACATATATTGCCATATGTATTTTGTTAGCAAACCTGTGTATAGCATCCGTCAAGCTCATGCCTCCTACACTGTGTCCCACAAGTACTACCTTTAGCATAGCAAACATTATTAATTAATCCCCCAAAAACTAAATCGACATAACATAATCAGCCTAATTAAGCAAGATTAATTAGGGTGAACTCACCTTTTCATCCAATGGCAAATTGGACAAGAAGTTAATGAGAGGCTTGTTATAGTCTTGGAAAGTGAGGATGGTGTTAGGGTCAGATTGGTCAATACCGGCACCTTTTAGGTCAAGGCATGTCACTTTGTAGCCTGATGCTTCCAAGAGACACCTGATCTTGTACCAGCACCAAGCTCCATGCCCTATGCCATGGATCAGAACCAAGTGATGCTGCTGCCGATGATGATGATGAGGGTATTTTGGTAACATATCACTCTTTTGTATGCTCTTTCTCTTCTTCCACTCTTCCTCCTGACATAGAGGATAGAACTTCAGTTTTGTTTTAGTTTCCTCTGGCCTTACCTTATCATATGTGATGATAAGGTACATGTGATTTGAGGTGATTTACTTACGTAGGAAGTCAACTAGTTGCTCTCCAACTGAGTTGCGTCACCAAGTAGCTATGCAACAAAAATGTCCTACGCTGGAGACAGGCCTGTGGATAATGTTTCTTACTATTTCATGTGTCTTTCTTTCTGATATGTCTCTTCGTTTGATGCATACATTACGTACCTAATATAGTTAGAGACATTTCCAATCAAACCAAAATGTGATAGCAGAAGATAAGGTTTTCCCTTTTTTCTGCTTTGAGCAAAGAGAATAGGGCAACAAAATCGACCCGACCTAACTACCCACAATCACATTATAACTTAAAAGTAATTAAGGCACTCCAAATGTTATTTGAGAAGGTTATTTTTCTTATTCTTCTTACCTTAACCTAGTAATCAACACTTGTGGACTAAGTTAAATATTGTATGTCTCAATCGTGTTAAGACGCTTGTCATGTTTTTGTTCATTACATACACTAATCATATCATAGTAGTTAAACGTAATACTGAAAACACCAACTTATTACATCAATTTTGAAAACTAACTAATGTGGTAGTACTAGTAGTTCGTTTATTTTCATTGCGAGCCCACTCTAGATCTTCCTCTTTTTCACAACAAATAAAAAAAGATGTCATATCAATTTTGAGAGCTTTTGTCAAAAGAATGTGGTAGTACAAGTAGTTCGTTTATTTTTATTGAATTGTTAATAGGATGACAAAAGCTCTCAAGAGTGAGTAAGTAAAATATGTAGGTTTTACTCTTAACGACATGATAATATCTTCAAAGTAAGTGAAATCAGATACAAACACAAGAAGATTGTCCCATCAATTCAGAGATCAAAGTTGCAATTTACAATGATGAAGGTAATAGCATAGATAAGTAAAGTCAGCCATTGAGTAAAGATGGAGATGACAAGTGAGTACACATCGATATGGACCAAAAAATTTAATTTTGGATGTTAATGTAGGGGAAATGAATTTCTTTGGCGGTGAAATCATTTATCAGAAAAAACAGTAAAGATAGGAGTGATATTTTGATAAGTCTATGTCGACTAGAAAATTATTGACCAAAATAAATAAATAAATAAATAATAATAATAATGAAAATGGACGGCAGATATAGCCCAACTATATGCACAAACGTTACAAGCTCACATGCTTGTGCCTGCCTCTTGAAACTTGGTCATATTGATTGAAAGAGTGCTGAGATTGACATCCACCCATGATTTTGTTGTCAAATACGAAATTTTCAAATCAATGAAATTAAATATGAAAATGAGTATTTTTGACTTTGTTGAATTTCTAATTCTATACTATTCCTAATCTCGGCTCCATTTGAGAGCTCAGAAGCAAACAAGATCAAGGCAAAAAAGTTGTCTTTCTTTCCCATTTTTGAACTTTGTCGAGTGAAGCCTCAGGCCCATTTCCCAATTCCCAAACACCCACCGCTCTCTCTCTCTCTCTCTCTCTCTCTCAGCCTTCAGGTGGGTGCAGTTTTCACCACGGGGATCTGTCTTCTCTCCCTTTCTCTCTTCAGTCTGCAATAGCAAAGATCAAAGGTAAGCTTTTCAATAACTTTTCCATTTGGGTTTTTGATTTTGTTCATAAAGATGACTGCTTTATGTGATTCTGCTGCTGGTTTGATGATTTGTGGATGACTGTATGTGTACATGCGATGCTAGCGTAATTAGCATATCTTCATTTCTTGAAAATTTTGAAATCTTCATGCTCATATGGACTGATAATCAAGCAATAAAACTACCCCCTTTTTAGTTTGGATTTCAAATTCCCTTGTACTTTTCAGAAACAAGAAAATTTTCTATTGCTGAACATAAGATTTTTGTAAATTCTTTTTGCGTAAATAAAGAATTTTTATAATTGAGTAATTATTGTATGAATGTAATAATGGCTCACTCGCTTACTCTCTCACTCTTCCATCTACCAAATTTACTCCCTTTGGAATGGAAGGTGCGGTGAGGGCTGTGGTGTGGTGTGGGGTAATTAGCCTGGAAAAGTCTTTGTTCCGACAGATGTACTACACTCAATTCCCGCGGATTCAGATTCAGATTTTTTTAATACCTTTTCTTGTTTTTGAGGTTAATTAAATCGTCCCAGCTTTTCATGTGCGTGTCTTCACGCACTCTCTAGATTCTAGAATGTTGGCTAGTTAATCTTGGACAATTTGGGCCCATAAAACAATTTGGCAACCCAAAGTTCCCAAACTGATTGGCCCAGTTTCTAACTCTGTAGGCCCAACTGGACTTGGGCAGCAATGCTTAATATTTTTTTTTTTTTTTTTTTTTTTTTTTTTTTTTTTTTATAATTAAGTCAGTTATATATATCATTTGTCATTGTTATTTTATTTTATTCTTCAACTTACTTTTCAGAGAAATATCTATGTTTGTGAAGTGTGTAAATGCTGATTTATAATGGTAAAGATTATTTGTTAGAGCAGGAACATTATTAGAAATGATTATTAGATTACAATGTTATGCAATCAATGTGAATACTATGATGTTGAGATTCTTGAGACCTTTGTTGTGGACCTGTGGTTGTTAGTAGTTGGAAAGTGAGATGATTGTTCATCCACATTTTATTAGATAAACTAAGGGCCCTTTGGTATTAGGATTGAGAAACCGTTTTTCATTCCCAGAAAGAAAGAATCATTTTCAAACACTGGAGTAGTGTTTGGTAGCCTATTTTGAACATCAGATATCCGGAAACTATCTCAAAAACAGGGTGTTTCCGAAAACGATAAATCATCGTTTTCTGCTACCTGTTTTCTAGTTTCAACAGAGCAATTCCCAAGAAAAATATCAAATTTCAAGATAAATTTCTATAACAAAAATATCATGATCATACTATAAAATCTGTAAAAGCCTGTAAAATTATATTTTTTTTATTACTATTATTGAATGATGTATTGGACATAATAAATCTGAACAAATATGTTATCAGAAAACTAATCTGTTTGTCTGCTTTGGACACAGGTTATCTATCAAAGGTATCAACTTGAAGTTTCAACCATACTAGCAAATGGCTACTTCCTTGGTAAGAAACGAAACTCCAGCAAACACATTGGGTACACGAGTAAATAGTTTTGCTAATTTATCAGTTTCTAATATCTGTTACTTTGGTAATTTTGAGTCCAATTTTGTTTATAAAGATTGTTAAGGAACTACTGTGTCACGAGCATCACTCCAAAAGAGACTGTTTTTTATGTTTTTTACATTTTTTGCTATAAAATTTTTGTCTATTATTTTTGTTGGCCCCTGAATTTGAGTTTGGTCAAATTATAATGGTGAGTTGGATAATGGTACGTGCAGAAATATAAAAGGAGATAGGGATTGTGGTGTAGGAAAGGATAATATTAGCTGTACATGTCATTGTGGTGATTTTCATCTAATAATATATGGAAACTCAATGGAGTGGTCAAATTTTAGACAAGATATTCTAGCATCACTAAAGTTCAGTGTTGAATGAATAAGTTGCTTCTTTAGGGTATTTCTTCCTGCATTGTCTGGTTTGCATTGAAACTCTTAAGTAACTGCTGGTCTTGCTTTCCTGTCAGGTACAGTACAATAAGACTATGAAAAGGACAGAATCAAGAAAGTCTCATTCCTGGTGGTGGGATAGTCACATTAGTCCCAAAAACTCTAAATGGCTTCCAGAGAATCTCGAGGGTGAGCAACAAACACCTCTTTTGGTCTTATTTGTAAGTGTCTTTATTATAAATAGAAAAGAAGAAGAAAAAAAAGTTGCATGCGACAAAGGCTTAGGAAAGAGATGGTCCAGTGAGGACTTTCTTCCTGGATCATCTTTGTATATATCTAGTTGCTGCTTCTCATAGAAAAGGAAAAATATCTTGCCTAGATTACATAGCAGTAATCCGTTTATAAGATTTTATTCAGTTTGACCTAGCTACATTCAAGCATTATTTGGTTCTTTTGACTTATTTACAAGAAATTCTGGGTTAGTCAGATTTGTTTTACTATTTTGGCCTAATTTTGTTTCTTTCTCATTTTTCATCTTCTTGTCCGGTATGCAAAAGTATGAGTTAGAAGTTAATTGTTGAGAAGAAACATCTTTTGTTATGTTCTTCAACAATATCTGGTGCCTTAAACCGGAGATGTGGGATAAAATTTCAGCAGCAAAGGTTTCTTGTTCCACATTCTAAATGAGGGCAAACTTAAAATGGGTAAAGTGGACAGCGGTTATATAATTTTAGATGCTTCTCCTGATCTAATGGCACAGGGGTTATTCAACCCCAACTGCCAACTTGTGGAGGAAGTTGGTTTTCCAAAATTATGCATGTTTAAATATCTAAAAAGTTGATTTTTATTTTGGTCAAAGTTCTAAAATGTTGAATGCTGTAGTCAATTTTTCTCCAAAATGCCTATCAAGAAAATGACAAAACGATCCTTCACCACAGAGATGGATCGGAGCATCAAGCGGATGTTGAAGCTGATTGAAGAGGATGGGGATTCATTTGCGAAAAAAGCCGAAATGTATTATCAAAAGAGGCCTGAATTGATTGCTCATGTTGAAGAATTTTATCGCTTGTACCGGTCCCTGGCTGAACGCTATGATCATGTGACAGGAGAGCTGCGGAAGAATGTGACCTTGGATCTCCAATCCCAGAGTTCATGCCTTTCTGACATTGGTTCAGAACTGCCATCTGCATGGCCGTCTCCTGACGTACAAACCCAAAGGCTCGGTCGTCGGAGATCTGGCCCTCGTGCTGCTGGCTTTGATTTCTTCCTTGGCCCTGGTGTAAGCAGCTCGGATAATTACCAGAAAGAGGGAGACGAATCATCTTCATTAACCGATTCCGAGCCAGAATCTGATGATTCTTCAGTCAATAATTATTCAACTCCCTTAGGAAATGGTGGTGATCATGGGCAGATGAGAAAGATAATTGAATTGGAAATCGACCTTCGTGAAGTGAAGGAGAAGCTCCGGATGCAACAGGAAGATAATACAGATTGTTCATTCACGGGTTCAAAAACTGATCATTCCGAAGGAATTTCTGCAAAAATTGCAGAATATGAGCAAGAGCTGACAACTGCAAATGAAAAATTACGGAACTCAGAAGAAGAGATTGCCAGGTTGAACATCAAGCTCAAAAGGTACGAGTCCTCAGAACTTAATAATGGTTTTGATGTTGCACTTGAAACATCAAAACAGAAAGAGGCCAAGAGGGATGAGGGTGAGCAAGACATCGAGATAAATGAAATGTCAGAGGTTCATAAAAGTGTTGGAGGGCCGGAAGAAGTTAAAGACCCAGATGGCAAGATGGAGGCATTGATGAAAGAGCTTAAAATCACGAAAGATAGACTTCAGGTATCAGAGAAAGAGATTGCAAGTTTGAGACATCAACTTGAGAGTAATAAAGCCTCTGAGGAAATCCAGCGGTTGCAAGGTCAGCTTGAATCCGCTAACAAGGATATTTCCATGTGGAGAGCAAAGCTCAACACAGAGAAAAGAGAGGTGTCCAAGCTGCAGGAACGAATTACAAGGTTAAAAAGTAGTTTATCAGACCGGGATCATGAGGTCATGGATTTGAAAATAGCAGTATCTGATGCTGAGGAGAAGATTTTCCCAGAAAAGTCACAGGTTAAGGCTGAAATATCCCGATTGCAATCAGAACGGACACACTTAGAGGACCAGCTTAGAGACTGGGAATCTCGTGGCCGGTTGTTGGAGGATGAAATCAGACAGATGAAGGCTGGAAAAACAGAAATGGAGGTGAGACTTAATGGCAAAATCGAGCAGTTAAAGGAAGACATCCTTGAGAGAAGCAATCAAATGGAGAATTTAAACACGACCCTTGATGCTATGAAAATAGAAAGAGATGAGCTTAATACCAAAGTAGTAACACTTAAAGCAGAGGCGAGTTCTCGAGATGATCAGATCAATGAGATGGACAAGAATTTGCAACAAATACAAACAGAACGTCAAGAACTGCTCGACGGGGCTGAAGGGGCACGTAAACTGGTGGAGGAGCTGACAGCAAGAGCGAAAGAACTCGAGGAGGAGATTCAGAGGCAAAGAGTTACGATTATGGAAGGAGCAGAAGAAAAAAGAGAAGTTATAAGGCAGCTGTGCTTCTCTCTTGAACATTATAGAAATGGATACCATAGACTCCGACAGGCTTGCATGGGGAACAAGCAGCGAGTTCCAGTTTTGGCATCTTAAGCTAGATATAAATTATGTGATCATAGTTTGTAAAATACATGTTATTTGAGTGCCTGTTTCTCTATGTAGGTTGGAAATTAAATCCCCCAGCCTAGTGTTGTGCTGTAGACCATGCTCCCATGGTTATATTGATGGTTTGTGTAGAGTATGCAGATATAGATGCAGGAGGGTCCTATCTAAGGGCCATTTGAGTCACTGGCTTGCCCTCAAAAGGTGGGTGGAGAGAGGGCAAAAAAGTATGTGAGTTTGGTGTTTGGTTTTTTGGGTTGGATTGGCACAATTGAACTTTGTGTTTTGCAAACTTTTTCTGACACGTATATTCCAAAGTGTTGCTCATTCAAAATGTTGGCCTTCATTAACTATTGCCATTTAGCGAAGTGAAAATAAAAAATGAAAGACATTTCCGCGCCAGGAAGGGGTCGAACCTTCGACTTTCTGCTTAGGAAACAGACGCTCTATCCACTGAGCTACAGGCGCTTGTTGTTATACATAAACCTAAAATTATTTAAATATGCTTCTATTGTCTATTTTGAGGATAATCTCATTCTTTCCGAGGCAAGAGAGAAAATGTCCAGACATTCTTGATATTCTTATATATATATATATATAGAAAACTAGAAAATCAAATAATCCCACAAAGATTCTTTTGTGTATTTCCCATGAGGAAGACTAATAGATTTTCTTCTCTTTCCTTTGTTTATAAATGAAATAATAAAAAATAGTGAAAATATGTGCAAACATTTCCCCTCAGTGCCAACAAAATATCCAAGGGTATGTCTGTAAAAGGAAGTTGAGTTCAAACAAAGTATAGAAGACATCATAATTTAGTCACATATTTTTCTCCATTTTGTTTACATGACTAGGTGTAGATAATCATGTATATACCCACACAAAAATAAAAAAAATTGTAGAAAACAATATGATTCTCTTTTAATATTTCTTCTATATATTTCCGTTTAAATTCTAATACTCTCCGTCTCATGCGAAAAAAAAACTTAGCTGCGACGGGGATAATATTATTTTGCTAAGCACGTAGAACTGTTATCACATGTGCCATAGCGTTATCGACCGAGAATAGCAAAATAGTGCTATTCCCATCTCATGAAAATCCTTCTCTTCATGTGGATCTCTTTGGTAGTCGAAGCACATTTGACCTTGGGCTAAAAATAATACTATGATGAAGCTGGTATATCTCATTCAAGATAATTAACCAAACCCAAATCAATAACACAAGATGGGATAAGTTGAAGGTAAAAATTCTCCCATCAAACCTTCCAAGATTTCACCAAATTTAACACCTCTGATTTTTCATAGAGTTCTAGCTGGTTTGAACAAGCTGTAGAAATCTTGAGCACAATGATGTGAAGAAATTGAAGAGCTAAACTGGGACTTGCATTAATATCACAAGGCAAATGGCAAAGAAAATGTTTCAACAAAACAGATTCATAATCTGTTCTGTTAGCTTACAAAACAAGCAATTATTGAAACAGATGGGAATTAGAATCTCCTTAAATTGAAGATGAAAAATGCTTTTGTTGTGTGAATCCTCCCCAGATCCAGCTTCTTCAAATTACTGGCCTTCATCTGTCACAGGCTTCTCCAAAAATGTCTTCTTTATCCAATCAAATGGCTGTTTCGTGTTTTGTATGAAGAAAAAGGAAAGCATTAGAATCATACAATAAAATAAAGCAGCTTTCAATATTTCTTCATTTCCGCATAATTTTTACTTCAAAATTTCATATTTATTGCAATCAATCAACCTATGGCTTGTGGAAAAAAAAATTGATAAATAATTACAGGGATGATAAAATCTGAAGTAAAAACTGAAAGAGAAAGGGGGCACCTGGATGAACCAAAGAGCGCCGGTGCCGGCGGCGACGCCCCACATAGCGACCGCTTTTACATCGGAGGATTGAGGCCTCGGAAGCTTCGAGAAACGTGACGATGCCGCTGCGATTCCCCCTGCCATTTTCAGATCTCAATTTGCCAAAAGGCAGAGAGCTCAAAACCTCAACCCTATCAAGTCAATAGCAACTTTGACTTTCAACAAAATTTGGCCGCTGCGTTTGACTTTGAGGTCACTTTGAATTTTATTGGGAGTGTCTTAACGCAACTCTCGTTTATTCGTTTCTCAAATATAATATAAAATTGCACTTCTTTTTTCTCTTTCTTTTCTTTTTCTTACATTTTTTTACTTTTCTCTCAGTTAGGAAATTACAACAACAAAATTTTAAAAATATTATAAACCAACCAGAATCTTAAATTCTCTTTTGTGATTATGGTGTATAATCACAAATTGGCAATCAAGAATGCAGCTGTTTTCGTTTATAAGGGTCATTGTAAAAGGTATGAGTTCCAACGGATTTTTAAATTAAATTGGACAAGTGTTATGATCATTATTTAGTGAACTTTTAAATATTGAGACTTAGGCTAACAGGGTCTAACCCAATAGGCAAAATGCCTCGACTTCCGGACTAGTGCTCTCAAGTTCGAACCTTCGTGGCACCACTCCAACATCTTACAAGTCTCGTTTAAAAGGGTGACTCATAAGGATAGGTGGACCCAATTCAAATCCAATCCAAGCCGAGCCACCACAGTAGAGGATTTTGCAACTTAAGTTGGTCCCTTTTCTCCTTTTGCCTGAAACATTGAGTGCAATGGCATTTGATGCTTAACCTTAGAATGACATTTTCTTAACATACGTCTGGGTCTAAAAAGCAAAACCAAGGCATCACGATGAAGCGTCTCGAATTTGCAAATTATTGCCGCAGGGAGGCACATATTGCACCTGTGAATGTTAGGCACATGATAGGAGTAAAAGGGTGTCAAGTTATATATGCCTTTCGGAAGCCATCATCAATCCAAAGTATTTCATTCCACTACAAACTTCTCAAGTCAACTTCTTTTTTAAGATGTACAATGCAAAACCTATGAGCCAACCCTAAGCATCAAACCCTTAGTCCTTGGTACAGATTCTAGGTACATTAACGATATAAAACGACAGACCTGAAAAGTGGACAACTTACAAGGAACTAATTGTATTCAACACCTTTGCAGTCCAAGCCTCAAGTCAGAAGTAACATGCCTATAGATGAACTTTACCAAACTTGCAAGACAAGCATGCATAAACAGCACAGGCACATTTACAGCTGACACAGGCCACAAGGTGCGGGTGGGACAGAGGAAGGGAGAGAGAGAGGTGGGGGACTTCTACTCTGGCTTCCACACAGCGTACATCTTACCAACCTCACAATCTTGAAGCCCCACGCACGACTTGCTGCTTGTAATTAAAGAGGCACTGAAGGTCATTAGTCGTCCCAAGCACTATCTGCAGCACCTTCTCTTTTACTGTTGGAATCAGCAATCATGAACCTATACTTGTCCTCAATGTTTACGGATGTGGGTCCCGTTATTGAGCACTTTGATAGAGCAACCCTAGCTTGCTTTTGAGCAGCTGCTGCTTCTCTCTCTTTCCTTCTTGCAGTCTGATAGTTAATAGCAGAAATTGTCAAGGTTTACAAATGCAAGAAATAAATTAATCTCTTCTTTCTCCCAAGATTATCTAGAAATGATCAAGAAAGGCTAGGAGCTAGTACGACGCCAAAGAATTGACCGCTCATAGGTTATCTAAGAATCTGTACCTTTCCAGTTGCAAAAGCCACAGCATTTCCAGATCCAACATCTGCAATTGCTTTCTTTATATTTGCCACAAGGAACTACAGTGTGCCATCAAGAATCAAGAATGAAGAGTTATATTCTGCCAATGGAAGAGCTCATAAGTAAAAGAAGCAGTAAGAGAAGGTGGAAAATAAGGTACCATATCACGATCAGTGTAAAAGGAAGTAGCTTGTCCCATTGATCCTGCTCTTCCCGTCCTTCCAATCCGGTGTACATAATCTTCCATGCTCTATATTGAGGTAGCCATAACTGAAGCTTCAGGTTTGCTATTTCACAACAAAATTAATAGCAACTGAAAAGACCAAGCTAATGAGATGCTATCACATGATAGCAGAAAGACTTAATGATCATAGTTGAGATTGATTTTATGCTATTCAAATTCCAAAGATCACCACCTATTAGATCACCTATTCCAAATATCACAAGTTGACTCATTCAGAAGAATTGCCAAATTTATTGCCATTTTTCAGATAATCTTCTAGGTTGGATAAGTGGATTCCAGATATAACCCAACCAACAGGCCTTTTAATTGCAACCAGGTATACCTTTGGAAGATCCAAATTGATAACATGAGCAACTCCTGAGACATCCAAACCACGAGATGCAACATCAGTGGCGACCTGCACACAAAGCCTCAATAAGGTACATGGATGGCAATCTTAAAAGCTTCCTTATATTCAAGCAGAATCAGAGAAGTATAAACAGACAAAAATGAAAATGTGAAATCAATAGAGGAAAAGTAGCATCAATTCTCTCTAGCAACATTGAGGATGTACCAAAATATTGGTAGTGCCTTTTCTAAATTCACGTAGAGCAGCCTCTCTTTCACCCTGAGTACGACCACCATGAAGAGCAACTGCATGCAACCCTTGTGCTACCAAGGCATCAGCAACTTCGTCACATCTCGTCTGCATGCACGCCCAAATTCAGAATCCAGTGTTAAATTTCATGATTAAGCCATACAAGATTAATCATTAAAGCCTTTGTCTGAGAAAGTAGATAGTAAGAAGAGAAAATTAAGTCACGCCAGATTGAAAAGTATTTTTGCCACATAGCAAGCATATAAAGCACTCCGATGGCAACATGCACTCAGAAGTAGGAAAGAGTTTGCGCTAAATTTGTATCAATGTACAAAGGTTTCACAATCAAGCTTTTAAGAAGAACATTTCATCACCAAGCCCTAATTTAAACTTCTTTCCATTATTCAGTACACTACAAAATGTATGCTCACAATATTGGAATGCCGATGCATTGTTAGGCATGATGCTCACCTTTAAACCAAATCATAAATGAGTGAGTTGTCCACAAGCATAGAGATTAAGAGGAGATGCAGGCAAACTTGTCCATCAACATTTATACCCATGACACTTTTAATTATAAGGTTGAAATGATGACAGTCATAATCAAGTGAAGATACAATATGGAGCAAAATGTACCTTCCTTTCAACAAATACAATAGTTAAGGGAAAGGGATGGCCAGATCTTTCAACCCGAGATGCCTCCTCTACGAGCAAAGCCAAAAGCCTATCAGTCTACACAGACAAAGCACCATTATTGAGTTAAAACCAGGCCAACAACTTTCCCAGTTAAAGGGTCAGACGCATTTCAAACTACATAGGTAAGCAAAAGATAAGCTGAGGAATATGCTTTTCAAAGATAATAAGATCAGTATCAAGCACATAAAATACACAGGGAACAGAGATTTCCAACCAAGTAATACATAGAAAAACTCTCCACAGCACACGTCTAGCATAAATTTTTCAGTACAAATGCAAATCAGACAAGAAGTGACTGAACAATAAGTGGAGTTAAAAAGCTAACATAATCCACAAAAACACCATCCCCACACTCAAACGAAAGAAAAAGAAATTAAATTAAATTCTCAAACATTGCAAAGAAAAATGAAAGAGAAATCAACAATGATTGTTCTGGGTGAACCAACCTTCTCACTCTCAGAAACCTTCTCCAAAGTCTGAGTTACATTTGCTGTGGGGCTACTCACTTTTCCCACCTTCACTTGCACTGGGTTAGTTAAGTATTCCTGAAATTGGACAGCAGAAGCTAGAATAAGTGTTTTTCTGAAAGGAGAGAGAGAGAGAGAGAGAGAGAGAGAGAGAGAGAGAGAGAGAGAGAGAGAGAGAGAGAGAGAGAGAGAGAGCATAATGATCATAATGTTATTCTAATAATTAGATTTTGTATATTGGAAAATGACAAAACTAAAAGTTCATTCCAAACTTGGGATAAAATTACACTGCAGAAAAGGGTAGAATGCATTAGTGGCTATTGATATGGTCAAGACTGCACGGTTTTAGTATCTCCTCTAACAAGGAACGTAATAAATAGGCCTAAATACCTATCTGCATGTTGCAAAGCAACAAATAATATGAAGTTACCATCAAACAAAGGGATGATGTCTCATGTGTCTCTCAGTAAATACAATAAAATTATCAGAAACTTAAAAGATACAGGACAAAATTTGCCGTAGAAACATAAGATTGTAAAATGAGAAGGTTGATTTGATTAGACAAATGAACCACAATGACACTTTTCTCTTATTCTGTTTACATTGAACCATGCTTTTGACTTATTTAATAATAAACGTCAAATTTTTTGATCATGTATCATATTATTAAAATTAGGAAATCACAAATCTAACCAGCTTGATCAAAGGGATCCATTATCCGCATTTTGGCACAAGATTTGTAATACTATCAGATGGTGTTTAAATTTCAAGGGCAGGGAGGGAATTTGCGTGATTGGTAACTTATTACAAAAATAAATCCAGCCATAGACTGCATTTCCAAAAAAAACATTATAGTTGTATAACACATAAAAGCTCGTTTAATAAGGTAACTTCTTGGAAAACCATACCTGGGCTAATTCTTCAATCTCTTCAGGCATAGTTGCACTAAATAGCAAAGTTTGATGCTTTTCAGAAAGGTTCCGCATCACCTAAAATAGCACCAAAAGAGATGTGACATATCCGTCCAGAAGTAAACAGGGAATCAGATGATTATATTATGTGTTCTAATATATGTATCAGATAACCCCTTTCAATGTTACGGAAATGCTTGCAAATAACGGGTTTATGAGTCAAACAATTATTTAAACATTGAAAATGCTTTACAAGGTTCAGAAATATAGAAGGGACACAAAGTTGTACAAAACCTAAACGCTATTCAAAACAAAACCTAAAAGTGAGGTGAACATCATGTATAAGTATAAATCCCCCAGGACGTTCTATATGTCTCCTTGAATTTGTGATTCCACTTGGTTTCCTCCAACTGCAGGCTTTTTTCCAAGGAATATTTTCTCTCTTTCTATGTTCCCTTTCATTGTTGCCCTATTCTTTACAAAGTTTCATTTCTCAAAAATAGGCATTCACGTTCAGCCTGATACTTTATGCTATCGGTTTGGAAATTATAAATGAAAGGAATACCCATAGAAGCATTGGAAGGAATAAACGGTTGGACACAAAAACTTTGGCTCAAGAACTTAAAAACGCAGGCCAAAACAAGCCACAGGGACGATGGTATGACATAATTTCAAAAGCAAAAGGCAAAAAGTTTCTTTTTTTCAGACACAATCACATCAAAAGGTGAGACAAAATATACCTCTCTTATCTGTGGTTCAAAACCCATGTCAAGCATCCTGTCAGCCTCGTCCAGAACGACAAATGAAATTCTAGTGACGGAAGTATTCCCTTGTTGTAAATGATCTATAAATCGTCCAGGAGTAGCAACCACCACATCAACTCCTGCTCGTAGCTCAGACCTCTGTCATTTCATCCAGTAGCAAAGCCACAACCAAACAAGTATTAGCAAAAACTAACAGGAAATAATATATTCCGTAGAATGCTATAAGAGTTCAGAAAATCATTGCACTAAAGGAATATCTCACTCTTACTACATGCGAAACAAGGGAGGTACGGGTTAAGTGTTTTATTTTTTAACCACAGGTAAGAGAGTGGGGGAGGAGGGCATTAGGCAGAAACAAATGTTCGCAAAATCTATAATACCAGAGAAGCAATAATTCAGAATCCTAGCCCACACCAACCCAGGCAATATCGAAAGCAATAACACAGGATAAGAAATAATGAATTTTCTACGAAGATTAAAACAAGTATTTGATAGTAAAATGTAAAATTATTGAGCCAAATCAATCACCTGCTCAGCTATGTTGGTTCCACCCACAACTATGGCAGTTCTGAAGGACTCAAGAGATTTACTAAAAGCTTTGACCTGTAAAAACACAATCATAACTTAGCACCTAAGGAAAACTATTACGAAACAAATTCCAAGCCAACCAAAAAAAAAACTTGTAATCATAATGTTATCTTTTGCAGCCTAAGCACAGGTATCGTACCTCTTTTTCTATTTGTTGGGCAAGCTCTCTAGTCGGGGCCAATACCAAAGCTAGTGGTCCATCACCACGTTGAACAGGAGGTTGAGCCAAGCAATGCTACACATTGAAATTTAAAATTAAAACCTTAAGTAAAACAAACCCACTTAGCAGGCATAACGTCCAGACTGCATAAGAATATCAAATAACGCAGCCTCGGACCTGTATCATTGGGATGGCGAATGCAGCCGTTTTCCCCGCTGCCAGTTTCAGCACAACCTAATAGGTCCCTCCCACTGAGGGCAACTGGCATGGCTTGAGCCTGAATGGATGTTGGCGTGGTGTATCCATGGTATGCAATATCTTTCATGATGCTAGGGTGCAAACACTGAGAATAGCGAATCCAAATGATTTTGTTACACCGTAGACAAACAAAAACAAAATACGCTAGTAAAAATAGAAGCAAAAATCCAATTTTGATAAGACACAAAGATGATTCACCATATCTGCAAAAGACTCAATTGGTGCAGGAGCAGGAGCAGAGTCTGGACTAACAGAAACATCCAAATTAAGCCGCAAACAAACCTCTTCAATCTGCAGGCATGTATAATTTTGTAAATAGACTGATAACATTAATAAAACATAAATGTCATTGAAAATATGAGATTAGCTGTAGCAAGAACCCTAAGTAAACGAATTCGAAGACAAGGCCAAGAATTTCACAAATTCGCAAAATGCAATTGAAAACTGGTGAAGCGTCGAACCAGTTCAGGCTTCATGCGGAGGACGCGTTCGGAGGGCTTCCACTGAGGGATGACGGCGTCAGGCCGGGCGAGAGCTCTGTTGGCGGTGGAGAGCGCGCCGGAGCTCCAGCGAGAGGCATTGGAGTGCGAGAAGCTGGAGAAGGAAGCGGCGGACGACTTGTCGTTGTTGAAGTGAGAGTTGGAGGAGGGGTACGAGAGCTTGCTCTGATCGTCTAGGGTTACAGATGAGGTTTCGGTGGTGGTGGTGGTTGTGGTGGTGGTGGTGGTGGTGGTCGTTGAGCTTGACCTTAGGTGTGGAGGCACATACGACATCGTTTAGCTTTCGCGAAAGGTTTCTCAGAATCGGCGAGAGTTTGATTTATGCGACGACTGTGAGTGGAGTGAATGAGTGAGTGTTAAAAAACAGTTCGAGAAAAACGAGAGGTTCGTGCGTGCTTTGGCCAACCAATCTATCTCTCCAGTCTTTGTTTTCAAACTCTCGCTAACTTGCGCCTGTCCGGGGTTATGGGCCCACTTGGGTCTTTGCGGGCTTATATTTTGGTGCATGTTTTGGGCCCAATAAGACGGCGTCGCTTCTTCTCTCTCTTTAGCCCCAAGAAGAGAGTGGTCATTTGGGCCACCAATATAAGCGTATTAGTCTTTCTAGCCACTGCCTAGCCCAATATATATTGTACTAGGCCCCACACGGCAAGATGCAATCTGAGACAACCGGAATGTATACGCGAGTCCAATTTTCCTGCCCACTCTGTTATACCTATGACCCTCTAACCTAACAACTGTCAACTTTAATTCCACCAAAAAAAAAAAAAAAAAAAAAAAAAAAAATGTCAACTTTAAATCAAATTTATAGAAAAGTTCAAAAAAGTTCAAAAATCCAATCAATAGTTGGGTCTAGTCCTCAAATTATTGTTTGTTGATACAAGTCCTTTGACTAGTTTGCCACGTAGAGTACATTCCATTTTTGACAGGTTTATTCAAACTTTTGTATTTAAATATTTTCTTATTATAGCCCTATTGTCTAAAATGAGTAAGATGAGAATTTATATGCCATTAATGAGTAAGATTATTTACTCTTTTGGAGATACAAGTTCTCCTTGAATTTAGCTTATTAACCAGATGCATGTTTTTCTTTCTTCTTTCTCCATTTCTTCTTCGTTCTCCATCTTCTTATTTTCTTCATTTATATATATATATATATATATCTTATGGTAAAGAATGTTGATCTTGTACGGTTAATTGACAATCTGTACATTGCCACATATAATTCTAAAGCCTTCTCATGCTGATGATTTTGAATGTGACCCAAGATCATGGCATTCCATATTACAAGATTCATTTCCCCTTTCGTTTTCTTTGAAAAGTTGTAGGTAATTATTTTTATTTTTGTTCACCCTATGGTAGATGTATAGTATATACTTTTGTAGATAAATTATCCTATGGTGTAAGTATATTGTCATATTGCCTATTGCATAGGTATATATATGTGTGTGTGTGTGTGTGTGTGTGTGTTTTCATATTTTAGACAATGAATAATAGTATTTTATGTACTTTTTTTTTATAGGTAATGTAGGGGCTTTTTTTTTCTTCCGGCAGCTACTACGGGCCTGACTGCCGTGAAGGGTAAAATGGAAGAAATTGCCCCTTGAGCCTAAGTTCGAAAATTAAGCCTCAAAATACCTCGAAAAGGCAGTAGAGCCTTAGGAAGTATTTTGGTTATCTTCACCAACCAAAATAATGGCAGCTTACAGGTAATTTTTGCATGCTTACAGATAAACTTTTGAGCTTGGCATGAGGAGTTTGTGGCATGGGAGCAAAATTGGCATGAGTTGAGCACCAAAAAGGAAATATGTCTTCCTAGGGAGAAATGAGAGTGTTTAAGGTGAGGAAGAAGAGGTTTTCAAGCATATGTGGCTAGGAAGAGAAAATGGAAGAACTATGTTCTTCTAGCAGCTTGTCAGAAGAAGAAAATGGAGGAAGATGAACAGTGCACGAAATTGCTGGTTTTTGCAAGTATGAGAGGAAGCTTGCTCTCTAGTTGTGGATGATCTTTGTTGGGTAGAAGAGGCCCTAATTTATAGCCGCTGGAAGCTGATATTTTCCAAGAAAACCTAATGGTTTCTACCCATTTTGGCTAAGCTTTTCCTTCCTTTCTCCCTTCATCTCTTCAATCATCCCTTTTTGGTGAAATCCACTCTACCCATTTGCATAAAATCAGAGATTTTTGGGAGCTCAAAACCCCCTTTCCTGCGGTTGTTTCAGACTTCTATTTTCAGCCATCTTTCTTCCTTCTTTTCTCTCATTTTCCAAGGCTAGGTCTGATGGGGGAAGGAATGGGTATGCATGCTGGTTCAAATGGTGATTTGCGCTCCAATATCCCTTGGTCATTTGGAAGTTTTTGCTTGAAACTTGTTTCTCCCATGTGCTGGAGCTCTCCAGCAGCTTTCACACATGGATATTTTGGCTTTCAACGTGACTTTTGTTTTCAGCTAGGTGCTGAAGATTTGCATATATATTTTTTTGGGTTGCTTGGGCCTTCTATGACAATAAGTTGGTTTATCAAGTACATGGGCTAACTTCATCAAGTATTGGGCTAGTTTGGTTGAAGTGATGGGCTATTTTGGTTGGAGTAATGGGCTATTTTGGTTGGGCTACTTTCTCTTTTGTGCTCACCCACATGTTTGGGCCTAAGAAATGGGCTTGGGTTCCGAGGCTCCCAAGTAACCCGTAACCTCCACTTCTTGGTCCATCAATGGGCCTCATGACAATTTATTACCATCCATATCACAACCCACTCAAGCAAGCCCCGGGTATTTGAGTGGCTTGGGGCCCACTTAAGCTTGTGGCGTGATTAGGTGCGGAATGATAATTCCTTGCTTAGCGTGGCGTGTCGTTTGGCGTGGCATGTGTGCAAGCGCATATGATGAACTTTCGCATGCCCAAATCGGGTTTCTTCTTGGTAAAGCATCGCATTGGGCCGAGAATTTGTTTGGGCCGAACCGTGAATATTTTGGGCCTCAACAGGTAACATACAGTTTTATTTGTCTATTTTTGTATTTGACTTATAGGTAGTCTTCACTTATATGTTCCTAACTTATGGGTAGTATTCTAATTTATGTTCATGACTTATAGATAATACAATATATCACTAAGTTTTTTTCATTTCTAATAAGAACATTATTTACTTGTATGTTAGGTACAATGTGGGTACTTGGCTAATTGATTACTATAATATGTGGGCCTTTACTTTCATTGATTAATTTGTATTTTACCCATATATTAGGTAAATATTATCAATGAAAGAATTCCAAATTTAAATTCTGCAATTTAATTACAGGTAAATAATTCATTAAATTTAGATTTTCAATGTTTTCCTTAAGGGTAAAATCAACACAATAAAAAGAGTAATAAAAGTTAAAGGACCTACATCTAAAACCAAAAACGCGTGGACTGGACCCAATGACAATTAATCATTTTGGACCTATATCTAAGAACCCCTTTAATAAATTCATACTTAACATTTATAAGTTCAACGAATAGTGTCGAAGACATTAGACAAATATACTCCACAACTTAATCGAAATAACCATTTTAGATTGAGCTACCAAACAAGTCAGAATGAGGTTGTAAAAATATGAGCCTTGGAGTCGTAATCCATGAAATTGGTTTTGAAGAAAAATAGACCAATAATGATTTATAATAGGCTTTTTATCACAAATGGGCCCTGACGTTTGTGAAATTATCACCTTTTGTCCCTAATGGTGAAAGTAGAAGAAAATGTATGAGGATTTAGTGTTGAAAGTGAAGAATATTGGTAGGTATTTATAGAAAAAAAATTCCAGAATTTTTTGGTATTTTTTTTTCATAATTTTATATATTTAAAAAAAAGCCCAAATAATAATAGAAGTAGAAGAAAATGTATGAGGATTTAGTGTTGAAAGTGAAGAGTATTGGTAGGTATTTATAGAAAAAAATTCCAGAATTTTTTGGTATTTAAAAAAAAAATCAAAATTTTTTCATAATTTTATATCAAAAAAAAGCCCAACCGTTGGATTGGAGGATAGCAGGCGATCGAAGCGCCCAGATGACGACACATGTCTTCTAGCTATTGGTGGAGCGCAGCTCGAACTCGGGCTAGAGCTGCCTTGGGCCAGCCAATCTTCGTGGGTCCCACTCCCAACCCCGGGCTTGGGCTCCTCGCTGGAACTGAGTTTTTTTTTTCTCCCCATAGACAGAGGCTGGACTCCTCGCTGGAGTTGCTCTAAGGCTCCAATCTTTTACTACCCATGTCCAATCACAAGCAAAACCCAAAGGAGGGGCAATGTTTGGTTGGATTAGACTGTAAAAATAAAGAGGATAGAAAGATAGGCAAAGAGTGTGTTTGCGAGGGGGGAGGCGCAGCGGTGGCAAATGGAGGACAGAGAGGGGATGGTCATGGTGCATTTTTTATTTTTTATGGATTTAAGTTTTTTTTTTTTAAAACAGATAGAGAGGAGGAAGAGGAGGGAGAGAGAGGCAAAATGTGGGTATGTGATGGGGGAAGCGCGCAGACATAGTGAGAATGCAAGGTGCAGGTATTTTTCTTTCTCTTTTTTATGGATTTAAGTTTTAAAATATTTATATTTATATTTATTTTATTTAAAGCCATGTGGCTTTATACTATTGGTATGTGGGCTCCACACGAGTGCCACGTCTGCAACTTAATAAAAAAATTGATGGAAGCTAATGGCAGGTACCATTTTGATGTGTAGATGGTAACTTTAATGACTATTAGTGTCACAAAAAAAAGTTAGAGATGAAAAGTGATAATTTCGCAAACGTCAAAGACCATTTGTGATAAAAAGTCTTTATAATATTAAGATTTATAATTGGTCATGATGATGTTGGAAATAGATGTGGTTGACATATAGGTGACGTGGACGATTTTGGTAAAAATGGAGAATGGTGGGAGGCACTAGTAGCTCGTGAGGCGACTTTGTTGGAATGTGGGTGTGCCATTCGTTCAACATCCTTTTCAATGGTAGTAGGTGAGCCTTGGAACTGGTCCTCACAAAGTCCCCAGTTTGTGTATATCTTATTTTCTGTCTTTGAATTTAATATTACTTTCTTCCAATTTCTTTAATTAAACTTTTGTCTTTTAAATTTATTTTTGAAGAGATTAACACACTAAATTCATACACGATACTCAAATTCAGAATCTTTTACGAGAAATCAATTGCTTCAAACAACTACACTAGTAAGTCCCTCTACACACGCATTTTGTATTTAATTTAGTGGCAATCCGCTATAGTTATTCTTCGCATATAACAATGTTATTAAATAGAAATAAAATAATGAACGAGGAGGCAGAGCCTTTGATGTCTAGATCTATAAGCAATAATTCTAAAGTATAGCCGTCCTCTAGATATCCCTCCTAATATATAATCCATCACACGCAACTTATATATAATAAAGTGATTATGACACGATGAAATCACGCGAGAGTTATTAAGAGGTATGCATTTTGTCATATTTGAGAATTTTTCTTTACGAAGAGCAAATCTACTCTTCACAATATCCAGAAAAATGGGGAATTGGGTGGTGGTAGGCAGCACATGACATTCAATTATGGAAGGTAACGTTCCACTACCACCTCCATTTACAACATCGACAATTTTTTTTTTTTTTTTTTTTTTTTTTTTTTCAATTATGTGTAAATTGTCTTAGATTTTTATTTACGAAACTCAAACGGATTCTGATGATTGAGAAAAGTTGACTTTAATTTTATGAGGTTAATGGATAAGTTAGGTTGCTGGATTTGAAGAAGATATAGGATATTAATTTATGCACAAGTTCAACATCCTTTGTTGGATATTAATAAATGGGAGAGCCAATACGACTTTACATTAACTTGTCCCTTCAAACTCATTAAGGGTAATGACCTTATGTATAATTGTCTTCTAACTAGGGAAAATGCGCTTCTCTATTTAGCATGGTGCATTTATATGTATTTATACTAATCAATACATAACATGACAATAATAATTGTGTGAAAGCCTATCACAAAATAATAGGTTAGGTTCTATTAATTTTTTTAATTTGTCTTATTTTTATCAAATCTAATGAGGAAAGGTAATATGTCTCTATGGGACACATTATATTATACTCTAAAATGGTAATGAACAAATCAAAATTAGTAGGTAACAAGAAAAGTTGAACTTGGTGGCGTGCTTCATCCAGAAGTATGCACAATTCAACCATGGACAACGAAAAACGCATACAATCAGAAGTATGTACAATTCAACCATGGACAAAGAAAAACGCATACAATTCACCTAATCGCTGCTCACACACCAATTTTTTTCAAAACAGATTCTGGTGGGACCCAACCCCAACTTGGTGGCCAAATATCCCCTTTTTTAAAAAGGGACATTTTGGAAAAAGCAAAAGGAGAGAGAAAAATTTTAAAAGAAGCAAAAATAGACAAAAATGCCCTTATTTATTTTTAGATTTCCTAAGGAATCCAATACATTTGCATGTCTTTGATTTGAAAGTTGAGCGGTTTTTTTGTCTTTTTTGGAAAAGCTTTGGCTTTTTTCAAAAGTGAAATTTTTTTTTTTGCTAAAACCTAAATTTACTTATAAATTATATAAAATCAATAAATTTTATGGTTTAATTTTGAGTTTTTTTATTTAAAACTCACACTTTTCTTTGTTCACCTTATATTCTAAGTTTACCCCAACTTCTAATTTAAATGTTCACAATTTATAAGAAAATCCCACTATCTTCCCAAACTACCCCTAAATACACACATAGCAGGAATTTTTTTATTATTTAAAAACTCATCAACCTCACACCCCACATCCCGCTATCTTACCCTTATCACTCTAAATTTACCTCAATATCACATTACTTAAAGACAATTGGAAACTTACAAGCCACTATTTGCATATCGTATTTGGGGTTTGTGAAGAAAAGATGAGACTGTAGTTGGTTTATTGGATTGAAAGAGAAGAGTAATTTGGCAATATGATGTAGAAGAGTTTGTGTTTTTCTAAAACTTAATATGAAAAATAGTGGAGTATGTGTATAGATGTACTAGGATTTAGTATTAAGTTAGATGACCTTTTTTGTCTTTTAAATAAATAAAATAATAAAACTTAAAATTTAAATAATTTAAATATTATGGTGAAAAAAAAAGTGTAGAGTTTTGAATAGAACAAACTTTTTTTATATGTTTTTAAAAAAAAAAAAAAAAAAAAAAAAACTGAATTGTGATGAGGGCAGCAGGTCATAGCATTGTGATCCTGAAGCAACCACGACACATAAAAAAAAACGTACACTTGCAAGTTGCAGCCTTGTAGCCCATCACAGCCGATGCCGGTGAGGTATACCAGTGGTGAGCCCCACGAGGACAGTTGAGAGGGCTCCACACCCGATGCAAAACAAAATCATTTGACATCTTCGTCCACCTACCCGCTCGTTCACCTACTCCCCACACGCCCAGAGTTCTCCAACCTCCTTACTTCCGTTAAATCCAACGACGTTAATTTCCATTTCCTCGCCTTCACTCACGGCTTCACCCACCCCCCACCCCACAACAGCCACAGCCACAGCCACATGACCACGTAATCTACCTAACGGCCGCTCGCCCGTTACTTCTTTCTATAAATCCCCCTCGCCAAACCCACAAACACCAGTTCAACACTGGTTCACTTTCCCACCCATAACTCATTTCTCTCATCCGCATTTTTCATCTGCCCACCCGCCAAATCAGTCGCCACACCCACACAACCCGAAATGGACCTACTCCTCCTGGAAAAGACCCTCCTGGGTCTCTTCATCGCCGTCATCGTCGCAATCACTATTTCGAAGCTCCGTGGCAAGCGGTTCAAGCTCCCGCCCGGTCCGATACCCGTACCAGTTTTCGGAAACTGGCTCCAGGTCGGCGACGACCTCAATCACCGGAACCTCACCGACCTCGCGAAAAAGTTCGGCGACATCTTCCTCCTCCGCATGGGGCAGCGCAATTTGGTGGTGGTCTCGTCCCCTGACCTCGCCAAGGAGGTCCTCCACACCCAGGGCGTCGAATTCGGGTCGAGGACACGAAACGTCGTGTTCGATATTTTCACCGGTGAGGGCCAGGATATGGTGTTCACGGTCTACGGTGAGCACTGGAGGAAGATGAGGCGGATCATGACCGTTCCTTTCTTCACTAACAAGGTCGTGCAGCAGTATAGGCACGGCTGGGAATCGGAGGCAGCGGCGGTGGTTGAGGACGTGAAGAAGTACCCGGGGTCTGCGACCAATGGGATGGTGCTGCGGAGGCGGTTGCAGCTGATGATGTACAACAACATGTACCGGATTATGTTCGATCGGAGGTTCGAGAGCGAGGAGGATCCTCTGTTTATGAAGCTCAAGGGGTTGAATGGGGAGAGGAGCCGATTGGCTCAGAGCTTCGATTACAATTATGGAGATTTTATCCCCATTTTGAGACCCTTCTTGAGAGGCTACTTGAAGATCTGCAAAGAGGTCAAGGAGAAGAGAATTCGGCTGTTCAAGGACTACTTTGTTGAGGGAAAGGAAGATTTTTTTTTTTTTTTTTTTTTTTTTTTTTTTTTTTTTTCTTAATTCAATTTGTTATTTATGTTGAAAAACATTAGTGTCTAATTAGTAAAAGATAAAAATGAAACTGTTACTGGAACTCTAATTTGTCGTCCTGCATTGAAAAAGAAACGAATAAGAATGACAAACTGATAGTGTAAATAAGTATTACTGGTCAAATATACCACGTTAGTAGCATGAGTATTATGAATGGTTTCCTTTTTTGGGTCTAATGGAAATTTTGTTGTTCCGCTTTCAAAATATGTGAAGTTTTCTATTTTTATAGAATATTTGATTATATCTGAAATGAAATTTGATTTTAATTGTTGAGCAGGAAACTTTCAAGCACAAAAACGACAACAAATGAAGGACTGAAGTGCGCCATCGACCATATCCTGGACGCTCAGCAGAAGGGAGAGATCAACGAGGACAACGTCCTTTACATCGTCGAGAACATCAACGTTGCTGGTAAGTGGGGCCCTCACTTCCCTAGTCTCCTAATTTTTACCACAGCAACACAGTGCCATGCATTTTTACTGCTTTACCCAATTTTTTCGAGAGGTTATTATGGGAAATGCCAATGGCGCTTCTCTTAAAATTTTCACATGATTTATGCAGAACAAACAAAAAATAAATCCTATAAAACTTACCGTTCATAATTGCAAGCCTGCGAAATTCGGTGCCCTTGTCGCCGGTGTTTATTGTGAGGATAAATTTTTTGACCTGTTCTTCCACTCTTTTATTTTATATTTTCTTACAAATAATATTACAATTAATCCTAGATTTTATTTAAATCGCAATTAAAACATTAACGGGTCTAGTTGAGTGAAAAAGTGAATTGACATGCAGATTAGAGGGCTTAAGTTCGAACCCCATAATATCTTGGTTACAAGACAAAATTGATTATTTCAACGCCAACTTAGAACTCATTTTAAGTATTTAAGTTATTTTCAACTCTATTTTAACCCAAACCATTGGTTGTCCTGCATCGTGACATGATTCCTTTTCAGGTTAGGTGATAAATATTTGTTTAAATCTGAATATGTCAAATCCACTTTATTAGGTGCATCTAGGTGAACAAAACATGTGGCTTCAATGTTAATACATACAACCTAGCAACTTTCTTGGGTTTCCTTATAATGATGGAAACATACACATCTTATCCTCTACATTAGTTAAACTTCATTTTATGTACAATCCACTTTCTTCTTGCCAACCCCTGTGACATTGACCTGCCAACTCACTTTCCATTTGGACACTACAGATTAATCACAGTCTGATATATGTGCATAAACTTTACTCTTTGTAATTTTAATAATGTATCTAACTCGTTACAGATAAATCAGAGTCTAATATATTTTTTTGATTAACAGCAATTGAAACAACACTATGGTCAATTGAGTGGGGGATTGCAGAGCTTGTGAACCACCCTGAGATCCAAAAGAAGCTGAGGGATGAGCTTGACTCAGTGCTTGGCCCTGGTGTTCAAATCACAGAGCCAGAGATCCAGAAGCTTCCCTACCTTCAAGCTGTGATCAAAGAGACTCTCAGGCTTCGCATGGCAATCCCATTGCTTGTCCCACACATGAATCTCAACGATGCAAAGCTGGGCAGCTACGACATTCCAGCGGAGAGCAAGATCCTGGTGAATGCATGGTGGCTGGCAAACAACCCTGCCCTCTGGAAGAAGCCTGAGGAGTTTAGGCCAGAGAGGTTTTTGGAGGAAGAGGCCAAGGTTGAGGCCAATGGCAATGACTTTAGGTACCTTCCATTTGGTGTTGGGAGAAGAAGCTGTCCAGGGATTATTTTGGCCCTTCCAATTCTTGGGATCACTTTGGGACGTTTAGTCCAGAACTTTGAGCTCTTGCCTCCTCCAGGACAGTCCAAGCTTGACACCACAGAGAAAGGTGGGCAGTTCAGCTTGCACATTTTGAAGCACTCTACCATTGTGTTGAAGCCCAGGTCATAGATGTAATTGGTGAGGATGATGATTTTGATTATGTCATAAGTGGATGGATTAATATGATAATTAAAATGTGGGGTTTGTGTGACAATGTAAATTTAGTGGAAATTTTAAGTCATTTCAATAAAATATTTTCGTTCTCTTTCATCATGGCTTGAAGTTTTATGCATTTATTTTTTATTTTTATAAACCTTTTTTTCAAGGTTTGAAGAGTTTCTGTGCTACCAACCCCTCCTCCATGTGCTTAATTTTGAACCATATGAAAGGACATGTGGCTGGCAATGCCACAATTTATTAGCTCAACCTAACCTACATTGAGCTGACACCACGCAGTATGATTCATGGAGATTAACTCAACTAAATTGATGCCTCACCTAACAAAATTGAGTTCGTAGTTGCCATATTTTTAGTGTTGCATCAAATCCAACTTGGCACATTCCATATGTCACACAAGCTGACTTAAATTTTAAGTCGACATTGGTGATCAGCCATCAAATGCACCTTTGCTCCCTCCACCAACCCCTCAAAACTAGGAGGTATGCACATGATCAATCTTGATCAAGTCCATTCAGCCACTCTAGCTTGAATTTGGCACTGGCATAGATCATGCCCATCACCCAACCATTGGTCAATTCCAAGTACCTCCTAATTTTTTGCCTAATTCTTCTTTCGATGACCCTGTACCTCTCCTCTTTTCAACAAGTTTAGTAATCTTCTTTCGATGACCCTGTACCTCTCCTCTTTTCAACAAGTTTAGTAATAAACATAACGGCCCCTATTGTTCAGATGATTTCTCCATTTTTACCCGCATCGTCTTAACTTTTTTCAAAAGCACTTCTAAATAGTTTTTCAAGAATCACTTGTGGATTTTTAGTAACAAGTTTGTCATATTTATAACAGAAACGCTTATAATCAGAAGTGATTCCAATCAAGTAAGATGATCCATTTTCAAGCGCTGGAATAAGTCATGTCGCGGATTTAAATTGTCCCCACCTTTTGGGCTGGTATTGAAAAAATCTTCATTGGACAATTCTTTTCCTTACTATTATTTTTATTATAAAATCCTGTAGTTGCCCAACTTGTTGCGTTCTGCCGCAAGTTTTTATTGTATTTTTTTGCATCCATTAACATTGAACGCATTTTGTTGTCCCTCTTTCACGTTCTGTGAACTGACGTTTTACACTGCAAGTGGAAATTACAGGATTCCTCTCAGGTTTTTGTTCCTGGCAGTTCTTTAAATCATATTTTTGTTGATCAACCACCACTGGAAAATTCAAACATCTCATCATATTTTTGTTCCAACAAACATTCGCAGCGTGGTTTTCTGGCGTTCTTCAAACCATATTATTCGACAGATATTGACGATTTTAACCCAAGGAAATTATAAAACCCAGAAATTTCGAGATTCAAAACAAAAAAACGGGTTGAAATAAGAGATTGAGAAAACGAAGAGATGATGTGGGTCGTAACCAGGCCCTCAAATCAGAGAGAATCAGAGAGAGCAGACATGCGGACCCAAAGTTGTTCAATTTCCGTGCACATCACCATGCTTCCTTCATTACTTTTTCATCCAGAGCATCGGCTTATTGTGCACGGATCCAATATCAAAACAATAAATATATAAAAAACACCTCGAAAATTTAAATAAAAAAATCAAAAGCAGAAGAAGGCTCTCCAGAGATTCAATCAAACATTGAACACAGAAAATATAAGAATCACAAAATGAAATAACTACGCTCGGCTCAGCCGCGGTGAATAGGTTGCTCTTCTTCTGTTATTTATAGGTGATTTGGAGAGGCCAGTCAGTTAGGGTTTCTGCGCTCTTGAGAGTCATAAAATTACGAAAACACCCTGGATGTTTCCTGTGAATTAACGAGACTGCCCTCGGGTTCGGCTTGATGTTTTGGGTTACATATGCAGGGCCCAATACTTGAACTTTTTGGGCTGAGAGATACACTACTGGTTTTCTATTTATTTATTTATTTCTCTTCCTTTTCCCTCAATATTCACAATTTCTATGTTTATAGAAAATATGGTTGAATTTAATCATGAGGTATAGAGACTGTACATACAAATATCTTTGAACAAAAGTTAGTTCAGGATGTAGTTCCTAATGAAGTCCGAAAGAGGCTAACTTATACGTCACATGTAAGTTCAAGAGAGATTAATTTATCGGTCATAAAATTGGTTTCTTTGTAAATATATTTATGTTACAGCTAACTCGATTCAATCAACTGTGTGTTTTATTGAGCCCAAATAAAAGAAAACAATGATTTAGGGAACTTATTTATATTTTATTGCAATTGTAATAAATACACCATGTGAAAAATATAGTGAAGTGCAACCACACAAACAACCCAATCAACTGTGTGTGACAAATTCTTATTCTGATTGATTGGTATCTGTAATTCACAGCCCATATTTCTGCTTGAGTTCCAAGACAAAAGCATAGATTTTCTGAGGGTGAGGAAGTGACTTGGACACACTGTCCCTCTCCATGCACCTTCTGGCCCAACCAACAAGCTTGGGACATTCAGCCTCTATGCTGAAATTCCCACATATCTCAAAGGAATAAAACCAGCTGGTGAGGGGAACAAGCACCACATCCACAAACCCAAAGTCTTCTCCACCAAAATAAGGCTTGTCTCCAAGCTCACCTTCTATGGTTCTCAAACCTTCTATGAATTCCTTCTTTGTTGCCTCTTGTTTTTCCCCTTTTTCCTTCCACACTCTCTTGCCCAGGCTGTATATCTGCGTTTTGCACATCCCATCCGCAAAATTGCATTAGAAATATGTACTACTTCATGCCCAATTACATGGTAGATTTTGAAGTGTAATAATGGCAATCTGATCACGTAAAATATCATGAAAAATGCTAGCATCAGTCGATCGTGACGCATTTTACAGTGAGTCACACACTCATCAATGATTGAAAATGTGTGCTCATATGCGACTTATGCTAGCACTGATTAAAAACATTAATATTGACGACAATTAATGTGATATATTTGACTAACCTTTTTGTCAATATAGTCAGCCCAAAACCTTTCTTGGGATCTTTGATAAGGGTCAGAGGGGAGCAAGGGAGATGTGTGATGCCAAACCTCATCAATGTACTGGAGAAGGATGAGGGATTCAGAAATGGGTTTTCCATTGTGAATCAAAACAGGGATCATCTTGTGAAGTGGGTTCATCTCTAGAAGCAGAGGGCTTTTGTCTGCCAAGTTCTCCTCCCTGGCCTCATATTTGATCCCTTTCTCAGCCAAAGCGATCCTCACTCTCATCCCATAAGAGCTTGGCCAAAAATCCAAAAGCACCACTTTGTCCTCCATCTTAATAAAAATGCTTCAAATCAAACTGCATAAATATTTATAGCTGCTTGTCGATGTTAAGATTAATGATGTCATGGCAAAGTCAGCGACTCCGTCCAATGTGAATGGAATTTGTGAAGAAAAGATAGTCAAAGTGGATTTGCATGCTTCCAAATGGACAAATCGTATTTGGACTAGTTTTGGTTTTTCAATCTTATAAGAAATGAAGCAAGACAAAATGAAAACAAATAGAGTACCAGTCTTGCACGTATTGTCACGCAAGAGATATTATAAATATATTCATTTCAATTGATTTTGAAACTTCAAGGACAAATCGTATTTGGACTCCTCGACAGAGATCAGAACTCAAATGATTCAAAATGTGGATGCATTGGGTATGCTTTCCCTCGGAAATCATGACACAACTCAAATTCAAAGCCTTCCTCATATATTTAAAAAGTATAGTCGCGCGGCTATAGTATTTAAATTTATTATTTTAAACGGTATAGCCGGACGGCTATACTATTTAAATTCATTATTTTTATCAGTATAGCCGCGCGGCTTGTATTATTTAAAACAGAATAGCCGCCCGGCTATACTATTTAAATATATGAGGAAGCAACTTAAAAACAAAGTATGAAAAGGTTACTAGCCAAACAAGTTGAAAACCAATATAATCAGCAATAAGAAAAATCTGCAGAAACACAGGAAGAAGAAGAACCAAGATAGTTCTAGCTGCTCAGACAAAAAAACAAAAAAAAAGATCTTTCTAGCAGCAAAATAGCAACAGAGACCTAATCAAACAAACCTAAAATAAACCTGATTCGGCAAGGATGACAAAACAAGTACAAGGCACACACAGCAGGAACCCAAGACAGAAGAAGTGAAGCATCAGCAGCAGGCAATTTAGCAACACAATCTGGATAACCTCTAGCTCATGCCCCTTTGACATATCCTTGGTGACCACCTTATTAGTGATGGAAAATCTGTTTGAGATAGCCTTAATTGCTTCATTCCTTATACGTTCCGCCATCATTTGAATGCAGTCCGTCATCGCAAGGCTTCAATTGTGCTGAAAGCATACTTGGTAACAAAAGCATAAGCAAATGCAGGGAACAAGGCTTGACACATGAACAGTAATGAATAACCTTCTTAATGATTGAATGTTAGCCTAATAATGATGTATCTTCTTCCTTCTTAATGATTGGTAATTGTGGGATGAAACAGTAGGGTGCCATACTGCAGGACACAATTTGCTTAACAAGGGAATGCCAGGGAGCAAGCAAAGAGGAAGAACGAAGACATAATACAAATTTGAAAAAGGAATTCGAAGCAGACAAAAGGTAGACACTATATCTCATTTGGGAACCCAAGTTAGTAGCAATGCACCCTGAAGAAAGATTCTATTTTATGGCAATGACATTTTATATCATGGTCAATAAAGAAACCTTTTTCAATACAAATATCTAAAGCATATACATGCAAATACAGAAAATGCCATTGATTTAAAGGCTATGGAGCTCGGCATCTTTCCCTTGTCCTTCCTTAGGTAAAGGGCTTGGTACAATGGTAGGTTGATGAGAATCAAAACCCCACACAGAAGAATTTGCAAAGGCATTGTCTCATAAACTTTTGTCATGCCCTCTCCCATGATTGCTTTCTTTACAACACCAAGAAAGCAGAACAAATTGAGCAATGCAAGTGTTGCCAGTATGGTAAACATTGGAGACAATGCTCCAAATTCCATAACCTCTTTCTCGTAATTATGTGAAACATCTTCATCAGAAACCTTGGCTGTTATTACAAATGCTGAGTCAGAATATCCGAGGGAGTTTAAAATGGTATCAATGAAGGCAAACAGGTAGGAACTTGTTCTCTTGTAAAGCCATATACGTTGGTCATTCCACCAACCTAACTCCACACAGCTCCAAGTGTACTTGGCAAATATCACATATGCAAATGGTATGAGCCAACGGCTTGAGACCTACATTGACAAAACAAAACTTATTATTGCAGACATTGAAAAAAGAGAAAATATTATGTAAGGTTGACACACAAATTAATAAGAATGACAGAGGAACCATACCTGCAGAAATAATTAAACGCCTCTAAGGAGGTAAAGCGAAGGGATAATTGAGTAAAATAAGGTTGCCAAGGAATTTGGAGCCCAGAAGCAGTAGCAACAGTATCCAAGTTGAAGATCTAAACCAATCTTTCCATGTGCATACAATGCAGGGCTGTATTTAGAAAGCAAAACCTGCACAAGTGTCTGAGACAGTGCGGTTGGAGCTATTCCTAAGAAAGCTTGCCTTGTGGGATTGCAATACACTGATCTGCATCTGCGGCATTGGATTGATAGCCCAGTGATCACATCTTCAACTGGACAGCCATATTTCAAACCTATCTGCAAATTATAGAGATTCATCAAGCTCAAACTATTGTACACTTGTGTGTGTGTGTGTGTACAATAGAGAGAGAAATAAAGACCTCCTTTCCCCCCAGTGTTCTCTTCAATTGCACAGCATGCAAGACCTTTCAATTTTCTTCTAATTCATGAATGCCATTTTCTTCTCTTTTTCTACTAATCTCCCACTTCATTTCATTCTTACATCCCTTCATGAACTTTCTCCCACAAAGAGTATCTCCTCTGTGAAAGCAGCCACTTCCAATATATAGAGAACCATCCAAACCAAACCACGGAATTCCACCTTCAATTCCCACAAACAGAGAACTCCCAACATGTCAGCCATAAATTTTTAAACAGCATGAAACTTCACTTAAATAAGTTCAACTCCACCATCATATGACTTCACGAATGCCTGCTCACCTCACTGATTACTCCTAATGAACTGCTATATAATTCATTCTTAGTAACGTTTTCGAAATTGTGGTTCATCCATTAAGAAGCAAAGTGCATCCCTTGTGGCCTGAGAGTTGTTTGAATACATATCACAGTCTAGATTAAGAAGGACCTGCCCATTGCTAATGTTTGAAGATACCCTTATCTGCAGCACAAAGGATCACATAATAAAATAACATTGAATGATAGAAATTTCTGCAGTATCAACAAAAACACCAATTCTTGATGGTTTTGGAAGCACATTTTTGGTCTCTCTAGCAAAGAAAAGATTACCAAAAATATAGCTCGGAATGAAACTAAGTTTCTTTCTAATAGTTTACCGATGCATTCATAGCGACAGCTTTGAAGTTCTGGTGATATATGGGGTCTCTTTTCTCGAACCAAATACACCAGACTTTGCAACACACACCCTTCAACATCTGTTGCATTTAGATCTCTCCCATAAATTACTATATGAGAAAAGGAAGGTAATGATATATATTATGCATTTCTTGTGTTGATTAATGTGTGTCAATAGCTCAAATTAAGAAGATCTGAGGCCATCTTCGGAATGACTGCACCTTCTGCACTTTCACCTGTTCCAATGTTTGAAAATGAAGCAAATAACAAAACTAGATCAAATCCCTCCAGGCCTAATTTGGGTTCAGTTTTAGCTTAAGGTTTCTAGGTTCAGTTCCCTTGGAGAAAAGATAACTTACAGAAAAAAGGCACCCTCCAGGCCTAATTTAGTGGTCCAAAATTCATATGACCGGTCGTCTATAATCTTGGAAGGAACCAGTGTATATTTAAATAGTATAGCCGACCGGCTATACTATTTACTAAAAATAAGGAACCCCTTCTAGCCGCTCGGCTATACTATTTATTACAAAAATAACCAACCCGCCTAGCTCTAGACGGCCGCCTGGGGGTGATCTTTTTATATATATAAAATAGTATAGCGGGCGGCTATACTATTTATTATAAAAATAACCTCCTGGGGCCCCCTTAAAATAGTATCGCCGCCCGGCTATACTATTTATCAGGAAAAAACCACAGTATTGCCAAGTATAGCCGCCCGGCTATACTATTTATTATTTACAAAAGGGGACCTGCCTACCACTAGCGAGCCCCTAGGTGGCCATATTATATTTTAAAAATAGTATAGCCGCCCGGCTATATGATCAATTATAAAAAATCCATAGCATAGCCGCGCGGCTATACTATTTAAATATTTTAAAAAGAAAACAGCGTTGGTCTCAGGTATGTGAATAAAAAAAGCCCAGCCCAGCCCATATGAGATTCACAAAAGGCGATCGTGCATTTCATTGATAACGCGCGAAAAATAACTCTCTTGAACTTTATACGAAAAATCGGGTGAAAGAAAAACAAAGCCTAGAGCGAAGCTGAAGACAAATTTACTGTCCGCTTGCTTCAATCATTCCCACTAGTCTACCACCATCGTCATCACCTTCATTTCGTTCAAAATCAAAAAGCAAAATCTCCAAACTACTGAGTTGTTGCTTGCTTTCTCTTCAACCAATTCCGAGTTCTACAGGTAAACCTTTTGCTGCAAATACTGCAAAATAAATGGTTGCTTGAGTGTGCGATTGTGTGATTGCAGCTCTATTTCAACCTCTCTCTCTCTCTCTCTCTCTCTCTCTCTCTCTATCTGCGTGTTTTGTGGCCATTTTTTTAATCGTCGATGGGCTCAATTTCAGGGTTTAAGTTGTCCTCGCTGTTTTTGAATTTTGAGACTTTGTGTATTTTCCCCAAATAGCGCTTCTGATATTGCTGAATGTTCCACTTTAATCCCTGGGAGTGAAATTTCAGATTGCATATTCAAAATGTTGCAATGGATGGGAGGATCGAGGCGGAAAGTAGCAACTGTAAGTATGAGTTATAGTTTATACTGGTATATTAGTAAAGTGCATATGTTATAGGCTTTGCTACATTGAATTGCTATCCAGGATTTAGAGAATGCGATGTTGAAAGTTTGTTCTGACATGTTAGCGTTTGTTTCATACATGGTACCTCTTGGTTGCACTGGGGAAACTTCAGTCGAGGAAGTCTACACAGCAGAGGTACAAAAGAATTTTCTTTACCAATACAAATTTTCAACTCATGTAGTTAAAAAGAAATTTATAGCATCAGATGCATAATTAGTATCAACATGTTCTGACCATTCTTTAATTGTCAAGGCAAAAGCAATACTTTGAACAAAGAAGACGACAACAACAGCATCAGGGGCAAACAACTGGGTTAGAGAGCTATGCAGATGGAATAAACATATCTGGGCAACATCACAAAGAACATCGGTCGTTGGATATTCTCAGTTTTCTGAACTTGTCAACGACTGCTCAAGAACATAAATCTGCTTGCCCCAGTCGTAAGTTTCTAATATCTAGAAAATTCAGATAGTCATTAGTTCTCTCCTGTTATGTCGGCAGTTGTTGAAAATTGAAATTAAGCTATGATGTAAATCACAATTTTTTGTCATTGAAGTGGTTGTTGAATGTATGAGACAGATTCTTTTATCTTCCTTTTTCGGCTATAATCTTTCTTCCAAGGGGTTCTTCTGAAATAATAAACTATGTTATCTTTCCCTCTTTTTCTACTTTTCCTACCATATAAGGAAAGGAAGATGTAGAAGTCAATGCTTCAAGAATGAAGTATGATATCACAAAGGATCCACCAACAATACCTCCAAAGATGGTTGCTCCTCTCAACTCTGTTGAATTTAACCAAGCAAGTATGCTTTCTATTTCATCTTATTAACTTTTGGGGCCTTTTTCTTCCCCATCCCCCCTTTCCCCCACCCAGATTTTTTACCTGAACCTATCTTTCTGTGCTTATAAAATTGATAAAATATGTTTTAATGAATTAGTGATATATGATGATACAGGAGCTGAATCAGGCTTCCGAGAGGAGATTGCATCACCAAAAAAGTGAGTGATGTGTCTGTGCATGCTTGTACTTTTTGTGGAATATCATCCTTGCCTCACACTCATTGAAAAGCCATATTTTTACTTGTAACGGACTAAATGAATGCAAGCCACTTAGGTCAAAGTGATTTCATTATACAGTCAATTCACTTTGCACATATAGATCCTGGTCTGTTTGCTGGTAAATTGATTATAAATCTTCACAAATGGGTGCATAGTTGCTTCTATCAGTGATTGTTTTGCCATAGTGCATCCTGTCTTGTGGAGATTTGATATACCTTCTTCATTTCAGGGTTATACCTAATCATAACAAGTCTTTCAATGAAATTAATTCTCAACCAGATAACTGCAGGACAGGTGCTGACCAGCGTAAGTAGAAAAGCATCCAATACAGCCTTGAACACTTTCCATGTATCTTTCCTTACGGATTTAGCTTGCTAAATGAGCTTATAAGTTGGTTGTTGGTAGAACTTTGGTTATGGTGCCTTGAAAGTCACTTCCTTCCTTGTTGTTATAGTTCATTATATACACCTCTGAGTATTGAAGTTTCTTCTTTATGAACTTTTTTCCTTCTTATGTTTCAGAGTTTTCTGTAGTTGATTTTTTTGGCGATGATGGGTTGAATGACTACGTAGAAGGCAGCCCAGTACAAGAAGCTCATGTTGCATTTTCAGTTGAAGGTAATTCTGTTCCACCATTGAGTTGCTCATAGTTTGCGGTTTCCTTTATAATGCATCAGTAAAAGCTCAATTTAAATGGTAGAGTTTCTTCATAAGGTTCTGTCCAAGTCTCTGGAAGTAAAACGGACAATTACTAAGCTAGAGGATAAAGAAACTCTTAATTTGGTCAGGAAATTAGCATATCTTGTCTTGGAGACAAATTTCAAGGCATCTGTTTTGTTTTCTGATGTTAACTTACATGTTATGCCTTCTCATGATTGTTGCTATCTCAGAAGTTGTCATAGCTTACAGTTCCTTCTTTACTTGCCATTTAAGAAAAGAAACGAAAAATAGATGTTTCTAAATTTGTTTTGCCAAACAATTGACATGATGTAATTTCTAACCCTTCTTAATGAACCTTTTGGGCTATGGTAATTATTATCGACCAATTTTTCCTGACTTTTATAAATTTCTTCACTGTCATTCTTACTTATCAGGTTTGGGTAAAGTGGGAATGGAAACACCAGTCCATTCACCAAAACAGCCGGCAAGGTAACTATCCTTAACTACTGTTCTGTCAGCTATTTTGTTACAACCTAGGACAACACTTCTTGCAGAACTCAAGTATTTTTATTTCCCATGAAATGGCATACACCAATTTCTTAAAAACCTTTTACTTAAATACCAACAAAAATCTTATAGCAATGCTGTGCAAAGTGAGGTTTTAACAAGAAGATTCTAACTATATCTGCACAATGGCTTAAACTTGTGTGATTATAGAACATTCACCTATGATTGCTCCTCGCCGTTGAATGCTGCAAGGCAACCAAAATCATTCAAGAACCATAAGAATCTGGATGACTTTGAAACTGAAATGGTGAGAGGCATTATTAATTGAGTTAATATAGTGTATTTCAACAAGTCCATGAACTGTAACTCTAAATAACTTATTGGTAGAAGGATTATTACCTTTCTCCTTGATATATTCACCCTTGTTTAGAATCTTTTTGTACATGATCCTTCTAAAGCTTTCATGTTGAAAGAGCTACTATGCTCCCTCCTAATGTACATGGGCATTAATTGGTATTTCTAGGAATATATTGGGTCGTAATACGTCATTTGATTACTGTGGGTATCAGTGCATTTGTGCTTCTTCCCTAAAATGTGATTGATGAGAAAGCAGCCGCTGGTTTAATGCATCCAAAGTACTAATGCTCCTTAAGTTTAGAATCCTGGTTCTCTTTGATTATGGATTGTTAGCCACACACAATGCTTTATATAAAATGTTGCAATGCAATTTGAACTGCCTGCAGTAGGAGGCAGGGTAAGATTCTACTGTAATAATCTTTAGCTGTGAGGAAGATGTTTACAGGGTTTTCTTTGTTAACTTGAGCCGCAAAAGTGACTACATAGTAGGCTAACTTTCTAAGTACAAGTGGCAAAAGGCTGCGACGAAAGACACATTATAGAAAATGTAATGGAGAAAATTTCATTAACACCCTAACATGGAAACTTCAATGAGAGATGCTAGCAGAGGTCTTGAGCATCTTGTTCACAAAGAATCTTTTGGTATATGAAATAGTTTATGCTGCTTCAATTATATTTGATTATATGTCGGAATGGTACACATTAGTCTAGACAAAACTTCTTGTTTTTATCAGTCCAAGTACTTGTTGATTCTCTTCCGTTAACTAAACTAAATCTGTCGTGAACTGTAAAGGTGCAAGGCTTTAAATTTTTTATGTTATCAATGTTTGAGACTTTAGAGGCTGATTAGTTTGATGCTATGCAGGATGCAATGATGCAAGATATCAATATGCCCCTATGTAGCAGTGGTTTAGAGTTTTCTATCAATTCAATGGATTCATTTGGTTATTCAAAGCAGAAATTATTAAGACAAGATGGTCACAGTGGTAAACTAGATAGTTATTATGGATCCAGGAGAATCTTTGACCATGCTGAAAATTGCAGCAAAGATAAATGGGATGGTAAATACTTCTTCTTATGGCACAGTGCAACAGAATGTGATATCTAACATACCATCATTTCTGTTAGCTTGATAAGCAGTATTGACCCATTCCCTAACAGTTATCCTTTTTTTTTTTTGGACAAATCATTCCCTAACAGTTATCTGACAATGCTGCATGTAACGATCTATTCTAGGTCTCTAGGTTCAAGTGCGTGAAACTCTGGTGAAATTTTACTGTGGAAATATGATCTTTCAGTTATGGGAATAGCATATGTGTATATTATATTCAACATGATATGAAATTTTCGAGTAGTGTTTCCTGAGATATGCTTTTTCTTATTCCGTATCAAGTTAATGAGTCCAGGGAATGAAATTGAGACCAGTTATTTATCAGCTTTCTGTTATTTACATAATGATTGCTCACTAGATTGATTGTTTTTACTTATGGTGATTTCCTTCTAATAGGGGTCAAATATAGGTATGATATGACTTGTTATATGTCTACCAGGTAGGCGTTGCTTCCAAGATGAAACCTCTTTTAATGAATGGGAACATGATTTATCATGGAAGAGGCCAAGTGAAATGAACTGTGATTCTGTTGATAATTTGATGCACGGAACGTATAAGATGCCAGATTTTACTTTTGAAGGTCCCTTTTCACCGTTGAGGTGTTTAATTAATCTTTACTTTTTTCTTTTTCTTGTTTTGAGAAATTATACTATATCTTCTTGATAGAGTTGTGGCATCTGTACAGGTCTGCAACAGATATAACAGACAAGTTTGACATCTTAGGTGCTCTATGTCTTAAACTCTCATTTGAACTATGCCTGTAGAATTCTATAAACACTAGAACTATGTCTGTAGAATTCTATTAACTCGTAAGTTGTGACCATTTCTTAGACCATGTAATGACTAACATGGAAATGCCATGCTAAACTTTTGATATATTAGTTTTATACAGAATGGAATTGTTTGGTTTCATCTATGGCTTTTGTTTTTTTTTCTGATGCTTTGATCACTTCTATCTAATCAGAGGCACCTTCATATTCCAAGCACCAAAGATCAGAATATGATCATGATTTTATGATTTCCAATGGGGCAAGGTACGCCTACTGTATGAGCTAAATTTCTGTTAGTAATGTAGATATAAACTCAAGAGTTGTGTTTTGTTGTGACGGTATACAGACACCCTACAGTAGGAAGGAGTTTTGATTTTGGAGGTGTAACCAACCAACCAGATTGGTCTTGCTTTGTGACTGATGAAAGGGATAATTTGAGCTTGCTAAGGTAATTAGTGGCTTTCTTTTGTTTCACATTGATTTCTTTCTGACCTCTTACTCTGACTCATATAGTCTTGTGTGTCATTACCTACTGTGTCTTTTTTGGCAGCGAAGAATCATGCTCATCAAGTGCAGGTATATCTATCAACTGAAAATATGATGATTTGGAGTTAAGTTTCTGTTATTGCCAATGCAATTATCTTTTTTTCATAAACTAAAATTGTTCTTTTTCCAACCTTTGATGTCAGTGAGAGTCAATGCAATTGATAATTCACTGTCAAAGTCAACTAGGAATCGGAGCAAGAGAAGACATGACAATGCATATGCTGGACCAGAATATCATGCAAATGTAACTTCTACAGGAAAGACACATGACAAAAGCAGACATGTTGTTCACCCAGAGAATATTGCACACGGGTCAGGAAAATGTACAAAGATGTCAAATTCATCAAAGTTAAAACCATCCCACTACTCAAACTCTCCTTTCGATGGAAAGTTAACCCCAAACAGCAATTGGTTCGCTGAGGAGCGATATATGTCGGTTAATATAAATTCAGTTTCCAGTTCTTTCCATCAAAATTCAGATACAAACTGTCCATCTGCAGGCTCGAAGCTCTTGTTTGGAGATCCTTTTAGTGCAAGTCCTGTCCCAGAATTACATCTTGATCCTAGATCTCCTTCTGAACATTCTGAACCTGTTGCAAGTTCACCTTCTGGCAGTTTTGTTACTGAGAAATTTGAATTTCATGATTCTCCTACAACTTCTAAGATAGGGGTTGGATCAACAAAAACAGAGTTGTTTCCCTATTCTCCTGGAAACACACCATCTCCTGATTTATCAGCGCAGGAAAGTGTCAGCAAAGTTGAGGGAAGAAAAGCAGAATCCCAGCCCAGCGAAGAATTTAAGCTTGAGGAAGAAAATTGTATTATGAACAACGGTTTGTTCACAGAAAACAATGATGAAATGGGTGCTTTAACATCGAAGAGCAAGAACAGTGAATTTAAGGAAGCAAAAGATGGAGCTCCAGGACTAAAGGCAAGTGTGAAGTCAACCTATTTTCCTGACCATGCAGAGAAGGTATCATCGTCTCTGAAGACTCCAGGCAAATTTGAAAGCAAAATAGATGGCAAGGAGTATGTTGCACAAGCATTTAAGTATTTTCTCTCCCTCAAGTTTTTATGTTTGGTTCCCCAACTGTCTTTAAGCCTATTGTATTTGTACTTAGAGGTTTTCATTGTTTCCAGAGATCACCATGGTTATGAAATTCCTCTTCCATGTCAACATCGGAACAAAGGTATGTAATTATTTTTCTTAGTTGTCTTTTTAACTTATTTTTTGTTTCTCATTATGCAGTGGTAAGGTTGGGCAAATGTTTTTTTTCATTTTCCTTTTTTCCGCAGACTAATGTGCTTCATTCACTTATTAATGCAGAAATGGAACATGCTGAGCCTCAGGAAAGAAAGAAAGAAACTAAACAACAAGGTGATGTTGTTGACTCATCTTGTCGGGTGATGATGCTTCAGAGCTATGTTCAGTTTCTCTGTGTGCAGAAGGTGCTGAAGGCAGCTGCCCAGACTGGCATAAAGAAGAAATAACGCGTTTGTCACGACTCAAGTCTAAATAGATGTGGGGATTTCGTCGTTAACATCGTTTTCAGCTGTGTCATGGATTTTGCACCCTGCCCTTCCATATATGGTTCAGGAGGTGATTTTGCAACTGCCTGCGGATCGTACTGGTCTGGTACATATAGATTACAGCAGCAAAAAGGAGCAGAAGCACAAACTACGCTTAAATTTAAATCTCTTGTACGTGAGAACAATTACATAAAAAAAAACATGATCATAAGCTGATTATAATAGGATTTGAAGAGATTAACAAGGTTACAATGTATCTAAGTGTCTGATGCATCAAACAGGTTTGAAGTATCGATAGGTATATTGCTGTTAGCCTTTGTGATTCTTTTCTTGTATAAATCCTTGTCTTTTATAGTGGAGATTATCTTCCCATGCAAACCATCCCTTCATCACTAGGGTTTCCCAACTTCATCAAATGACATCTCAGTTGATTAACGTCTGATTGCCGGAGAGGCTTCAGCAAGAACTCTTTCGCTCCTTCCTCGAGGCACCTATCAATCGGATGAAGAAATTTCAGGCATCATAAACATGATTAGAAAACAAAAGAAGAAGAAACATTGAGATTTCTTGTGCAAGTGGGTTACTCCTCAATTCGAGTAGGTATGTGCTCAGATGATACAACAACTACTGGGATCTCCTTCCCGGTTGGTGATTCCTGTTTAGAGTGAGATTAGGTTGGCTGGGTTAGATTAGTTAATTCAATTAATCATGAATTTCATAATTAAATAAGCTGCCAGTTATGCAATATTTGTGTTGAAACAATTGCATAATTACCTTAATCTTTTTTAGAAGCTCATACCCTGTCATTCCTGGCATACTGTAATCAGTGATTATCAGGTTTACCTTTGAAACCTGAAACACAAAAATAAAAGCAGATGAGAATAAGAATTTCTTTATATTTTTATATATAATATATATTTCATTTTTAGAGTAAAAATGAAGCACAGTAGAAGAAGCTTCTTACGGTGTTGCCGAAGTTTTGTTGGCCGTCTGCCAGACCCAACAGCTCCAGTGCTCCATGTGCGTTCTCTGCGGTGGTCACTGCCAGAGAGGAACCCAAATATTATTATTATTATTATGACCCCTATAATTACTCATAAACTCGATACAAAGTTATGCACATTTTTTTTCAAACTTGCAAAGAAGAACATATATAATAAAATAGTTTGGAGGAGAAAAGGTCCAGAAGAAAAAGAGAGAACATTTCTTATTGAAAATGCAATAATATACTAAACTCACACTCACTGCACCGGAGGGCAAAGATGAAAAAGAAAGATCATTTCATACATGCATATTATATGTATATGTCACCTTTGCATGCAGAGTTGGTGAGTAACTTTTCAATGATTCTGCGGTCCACAAAACTATCATCAACAGCCAAAACATGTGGCTTTTCATCACCATCCCACCCCATTAATATTGGTGCTGCTGAAGAAGAAGCAGAAGCAGTAGCAGAAGCAGTAGCAGAGGCAGTAACCATTCTCAAATCTCTCAAAACCCACAAACCCTATACAATATATATGAGCAAACAAGTGAAGGGAAATCAGGAAAAAATCAATTTGTTCACAGATATTTCGTCATCTTTTTAGGTATTTGTGATATATATATATATATATATATATATATATATATCAGTCCCCTTCTATTGAGGGATCCCTCAAATAATTTTATTTGAGGGACGCCCTTTAGGATACCCTACAATTTTTTTTCCAATGATCCAAACCATATATTTTTTAGGTCTTCATTCATAGATCATCCTTACAAAAAATTAGACAAATCGGAAATCGTTTCGACATCCAATTGTGTCTTACAAAATCAATGAACACGGTGATTCAAGAAAGTACTAAAATTTCAATAACTCAATTGAGTGGTCAAATGATATCAGATTCAAGTGATTTTTTGTAGAGATGATCTTTGAATGAGTATCTACAAAATAGACGGTTTGGATTAGTGAAATACAATCCATAGTGAGGCCTACAAGGGGTGTCCCTCAAATAAGCTTATTTGAGGGATCCCTCAATGGAAGCTCTCTGTATATATATATATATATATATATATATACGATATGATAATGATATTGGCTACCAGGAACATTCTTGTCTTTTGATTTTTGATTCTAATATTGATTCTTTCTTTTCTTTTTATTTTTTTCTGATCTTTTCTGATCACTCCTTAGAGATTAGCTCATCAAGATTTGGTTCCTCTAATAATAGTAACTAAAAGGTAAAATTATGGGATTATATTTATCTAATATCGATCCTTAACATAATCATGGGATCTACAAGGATACTCAAAGATTCATCATACATAATCCTAGCTAGTATCTCATCATACACACGTACTAATTATTTATTTATATATTAACACGAATTTGTGAGTTTTCATAATTACATGCCAGTCACATTGGGTTTTTTAATTTTATTTTATACAATATATATAGATAGATAAATAGCATTTCCATTTGCAATATTGATGCTCCTTGATCAAGTTTCATTGATGAACTCAATCATCTGATCACTTAAGTTGTCAACAATTAATACATGATTGATAGTGTCAGCATAATGTAACAACCTCACGTCGTCCACCTATATTTGTAGCACATGGATTAATAACATATAATGTGGTATTGTGACGATTTACACCCAAATTTTTTCCTTATGTGCACAAAATAATCCATGAAATTACCCCACTAGTCGATAAGAATTAGCAATGACTTAGTCTTGTTCAATTTAGACAAATATCACATGTGACTAATTCTGAGAAATACATTAGGCCATCTCCAACCCATGTGGCTAAATCCAAAATATCCAAAATTTTAGCCCAATTTATCTCTCAAATTCAAAAAATAAAGAAGGTAAGGGTATAAAATTTGGGAAAACCCAAAAGGCCAAATACCAATCCAGCTATTGCCTCGACTGTAAACCTTTTTGGTAGAGCCCACTCAAGGCTGACGCAGTCCATGTGTAAGGAGGAATCAATGGGGCGCCATGTGTTGCTTGTTGGTGTTACCACACTTAATTTATATATTTAAATTCCAACAATAACCCAAATCAAAGATCCATATTAAATCCAAGCTATTTTGACGGTAAAAAAAAAATCCAACGGCTAAAATAATATTTTAAATTAATCTAAATTATATCCAATCTCAAAACTTACTCCAAACTGTATAAATACCCACCTATTTCTCAAATAAAATTATATTTATGGAATTTCAATTTTTTTAGGTCAAATTGTTAAAAAAATAAATAAAAAATAAATAAGTTATTTAAAGAGATTAAATGAAGAAAAGTTATCCATTAAAAACAAAAATAGACTTAAACGATTCGTAAACAATTTAATAAAGTTGTGGAATTAAAATTTGAGTACAAAGGGTTGGGGGAAAAACGGTTTGAGTTTGGACAATACCCAAATTAATACATTTTGAAAGGAAAAAATTTGGGTTTAGGACCAAATAGTTCGGAGAAGGCCTTAGAAAGCAACAAATTAGCTTAATTGGATTATATGGATTCTAATATTGTTCAACTACCGGAAAGATACTGTGTATATATATAATTATACTTTTCCTCATAAAACATATTTGATATAAAAAAATATAGGATTATGTACAAGAAATTACATATGATTGACACGTAATATCTGTAGTAAGAATCTCGCTAATTTGGGCCTATAAATCCCAGAATCCGGTTGAGTACATTTGACTATTCACAAGTTTTTTCTTTTCTGGAATCCATATATATATATATTTATATATGATAATTGATACGTAATAGGTGTCTAAGAATCTTTCAAAATTTTCATCGTATTTTTCAAATAAATGTGTTAAATATTGTAAGGCAAACAAATCATATAATTTAGTTTTATTCAAACAAACCAGAAAACAAATCACCGATTAAAAAAAAAACCCAGAAAACAAACAAATCATACTGGACCGAACTGGAGTGAAATGTGGTTGGGCTGCACACTTGAGGTGAGCCCATTTTTGTGGGCCATAGTTGAACTGAGCCTACTGAGGTTGACCCAAACCCAACATGAACTCAAAGTCAAAGAGTTGACCCAGAAACAAAGCAAACCCATCTCCTCCACCATGTCATGTCCCTGAAAAATGTTCACTTTGATTTTATTGAGAATTACTTTCTGTAGCTAAGGTGTTGTTATGTTCATCCACTTGAAGACATTTGAGGCTGTAAATGGTATGCAGTTTCCTTCTCAGGGGTCTGGATCCAATCGATATATTAAAAAGTAGAATTTTATGGTGTATGGATAAACACTCCTTTTAGTTTAGTTTGACAATCAGTTATGGTGTGGCAATCATATTGGCTTTTACTTTGATTCATGAAGTCATATCAACCAAATTATTAGGCATGCTTCACATTTTATTGGGGCAACTTTGTTGTCTTTAGTGCCAAATATGATACTTGCACACAACTACATATTTTCATATTGAAATTTTACGATGTTTCAACTGGATGCATCGTTTTAATTCATGCTTAACAAAGAGCTTGTTCTTTAAATGGTTAAGTGCAGTTACTAGTTACTGTTGCACTTTTTTCATTCTCCTAAAATATTGTTTGTATATAAGAACTCGCAATTCAAGTTGTATAAATTTATAACTATTGTGATGAATTAAACCCTTAAATCTGCCACTAATTATGATTGAATCCTTACATGATACGTTGATGGAGAATTTAATACGTTTTGTTCACCAAATAGTCTTTCAATGATTCAAAGGGGCAAAATGTGATAAAGATTTACGAGGGAGGTAGTCAATTCTTGGTGAAAGAGTTTCAATATGGTGGCTCATGGATGGAGTCATAACTAGCCAAGGTATGCGTTGTCACGTGGAGAGAGGCCTAACTGGTTTCTTCCTTATTCACGCATTTTTGCTATAAGAAAAACAAAAAGATAAAAAGAAAGAAAGAAAGAAAAGGATGATATTTTATATGAAAAAATACGTGTATAATATGTTACGTCTAAAGAGTTAATTTAACTTTTTATCTCTATTTTATTGAGGGAGATTTCAGATTCAGCTCATATAAATTCAATTGGGTATATTTATGAACGTAATTATGACCATCTGTAACAGGAGCGGTAAGTGTGTTGAAAGTCAAAAACTATTTTTGTAAGTATCTCATCGTTTGTGAAAACAAAATAAATTACACTTTTTTGATTGTGTGTGTTTCAAAGTGTTCAAATTTAAAAACACAAAACTAAAAATTGAAATCCCAACAAAACACAAAGATGAAATTACCTTTTAAGCCCATAATTAATTACTGCACAGATAAGATCATAATGGGCACAACACAACCCAAGGCATCATGCAAAGTGGGTGCAATGTGCGGTGATTAGAGCGCAGCCCCTTTTCTTCTCCTTGGAAAAAAAAGAAAAAATAAAAAGAAAAAAAAATCAACAAAGTGACAAGTCATAGCTCACCAAGCCAAGCCCACAACGAGGAGGAAGGAAGAAGAACGAAACCGTCGGTGAGCGTATCAGTGTCCTAATAGGAAAACTGAAAATACAAGGGGAGTGTACAGTGTACACTGTGTGTCAATGATCGAGTAAAAAAGGAGACGACTTGTTAAGCGGTGTGTCTTCAAGTGTCGTGCATGCATTTTATGCATCTGTTGCTTTGCATGCACTCTCTCTCTCCCATTCTCTCTCTCTCTCTCCCCCCTTCTCTCTCTTACCCTCTTTCATATACAAAATACACGCTTTCTTTCTTGGTCTTACCCACAGAGCCCAAAACCCCCCACCCCAACTCGCCGTTACAACTTACGTTTGTGAAACGGTAAAAACCCACTGAGTTTGACTCGTTTCTTCTTCCGCAGCTCACTCTATTCTGCTCAGTATTTGAATGACTAGTCGTTTTCAAGATTTGGGTTTTGCAGATTTGGACAAAAAAAGGTTGGATTTTTAATTTCTTTTGCTGTTTTTTTTTGTTTTTTGTTTAGTGATTTGCCAATCTCAAATGTTGTGCATGATTGTGCTGGATGCTGGGTTTGCTGTTTAAATTTCTGGGTTTTAGTCAAAAGGGGTTTAGGGATTTGAGTTTGATTGCTCTGTTTGTTTGATTTATAAGGGTTTGCAGGGGTTGAATTTGGGATAATGGGGTCCAAGATTTGCATGAATGTTTTGTGTGGAACGACTAATACGCACGAATGGAAGAAAGGTTGGTCTCTACGATCTGGTGGATTTGCCCATCTATGCTTCAAGTGCGGGTAATTTTTGTCCTCTTTTAGATTTTGGCTTACCAAGTTTTAATTTTTCAGCTGTTGTGTGGTTGATACGGTGGTGGAAGGGCGTTGTGGGATTATGGGTTTTACTTGTTCACGTGGAATTTTATGTTTTATGTGTATTGTGGGTTTAGAGGAGGCAGCCATTTTATGTTGTGATTTTTATTTATGTTGCGATTTTATCGTGGTTGAATTTTGGCTAATTGCGTTTATTTATGAGCTGCTTCTATTTTTAGCGTGGGCCATGAAGGAATTAGCAACATTGTCGATAATCAACTTATTTGATGTAAAGGAGAAATACAGGAATTAGAGAATTGCCGAATTACTTATGACCATAGAGCATTTTGAGAATGATCAATAAACCGTGCTGAAATTTTGTTATCTATATAGTTTGACCAATTTATATTTCCCATATACCCAAGTTTCTGAATATCCATAATGAAACTAGCCAAGTAATTGGGGCTGAAAGTACATCAGCCAGCCTTTTGAGAACCTAACTGTGGCATATTCATCTTAATGTAGGGGTGCTTATGTTTCATATCAAGCACTTTTGTTTCAGATGTTACAGTATTATTCATTTTATAATATCTACAATTAGCTTCTATATTTTTTTTTTTTGTGGTTTCAAAGTTTGATGGGAATGATTTACTGCAATCTCTTTGAACTGTATATTAATCTTTCAGAAGTCACTTGATATCAGATGTTAATATGGGGGAAAGAATTAGCCTTATTTGATCTGTTTGTTTTCTCCCATACTAATAGCTGAGCAATTTAGAATCTCATTGTCTATATGATATACTTTTATGTTTTGTTGTATGTTGAATTTTTATATGTATGCATAATAATTCAACTTCTGTATGTGTACCCATGCTAGTGGAAATGTGTACCTACTCTGCCTTGTGTTTAATGCTTTGGATAATGAGTTTCATTTGTGATATCTTGTCTAAGGAATGCTGCACTTCTACTTTATGTTGTAAACATGTCATCTCTAATGCTGCTGTTCATTTGTTCACATACACACACACACTCACACAACATCTTATCTATTTCCCTGATGGTTTCTAATATATTTTATGCTGGAACATGGCACTGCGTGTACTCCAGAGCTGCATATGAGAAATTAGTTTACTGTGATAAATTCCATGCGGGGGAAAGTGGTTGGAGGGACTGCAGTTTGTGCCGCAAGGTTAGCTTGCAGTTTGGTTATCTTAGAAAAAACAACTATTCAATCTCTCTCTCTCTCTCTCTCTCTCTCTCTCTCTCTCTCTCTCTCTCTCTATCTGACCTACTTTTAAAATCTGTTCAATTTTGTGCAGCCTCTCCACTGTGGATGCATAGTCTCGAAGTCATTGTATGAGTGCCTGGACTATGGGGGTGTAGGGTGTATTAGCTGTGCAAAGAGTTCTCAACCTCGTGTGGTATGAACAAATTCAGGATTTTGGTTATTATATTCCCATTTTAAAGTCACTATCTTGATCTCCAGTGAATGATGCATTTGCATTAAACTCTCTCTTTCGCTTCCATTGTTGATAGTTAACTTCAGTCATAAGAACATAAATTTATGCATCCATGAAGTTAAAGAAAACAAATAAACTAGTTATATATATCAGATTTTTTCTCTCCGTTGATTCATAGCATTGATTCTTCTGTTTTCATCTGCTCAACGGCAAACCTGTGCAAATAGATGGCAATCCAAAATATTGTGCAATGCTCATTGTCTCCCATTAGTAATTTTAGATACTCTATTGCTAATTAACGAATATATAAGAAATTGGTCTTTATCTATCACAATATCTCTCTCTCTCTCTCTCTCTCTCTCTCTCTCTCTCTCTCTCATGCACATGCACATGCACATGCATAGATGACCTATAGGATTTTCATGGATTCTTATTTTCTTATGTGCAGATCCAGAATGATGATGTTCTGAATGGATTTGGTGGATTGAAAATAAGTAACTATAGTGATCGGCAATCTACTGTTGTTCAGAATGGAGCATTTAGTAATACTGTTGATGAAGGAAAACTTTTGCAATTGTGCAAAATCATGGAGGCAAATGAATCCAACCTTTTGCCTCAACCTCAGAGAGGTGACATAAATGTATCCCATGTGCAAAAGAAACAAGAAGAAGTGATAAATCATAAGGGGGAAGTTGGCTTGGGATTTTCAAGTACCACTCAGCCATCTATTGGATCATTGACATTTTCCAAATCAGACAATGGTAGAACAATGATAGAAGATATGAATAAATCATCCTCTCAGCCATCTTTGAGTATGACTTTGGGATCCCCATCTGCAACTCCAAGTTTTGTACAACCCTTTCCTGGGGGGCTTGTGGATGTAAGAGAACAGAGCAAGACACCTTCTTCCTTTCAACAAGGGCATGGAAGAGAACAGGGCACGACACCTTCCTTCCAGCAGGGGCTTGTGGATGGAAGAGAACAGAGCAAGACATCTTCTTCCTTCCAACAAGGGCTTGTGGATGGTAGAGAACAGAGCAAGACACCTTCTTCCTTCCAACAAGGGCTTGTGGATGGAAGAGAACAGAGCAAGACACCTTCTTCCTTCCAACAGGGGCAAAAATCTCGGCCTATTTTGCCTAAGCCCTTGAAACCTGGTGTCACTATGAGTTCAGAGACAAATAAAGGTGGATTTCCTAATGTGCGCGTTGCAAGGCCACCTGCTGAAGGGCGGGGGAAGAATCAGTTACTTCCTCGATACTGGCCGAGGATTACTGATCAAGAGCTGCAGAAATTATCTGGAGAGTATCCTTGATTAATTCAGAATTTCTGTTTGAAATTCATATATTTTTTAAACACTTCTTACTTGGTAAATGTATGGTTAAAGCTTTTGATTATATGTCGATTTGAATGCAATGTTTGCCTTAATTATGTTTTTAAGTTTGAATTCTACTATTGTGCCACTGTTTGAGAAAGTGTTGAGTGCCAGTGATGCAGGTCGAATTGGTCGTCTGGTTCTCCCAAAAGCATGTGCTGAGGTAAAAATTAACAAGTTAACGATATTATGTTATTTACAACTTTGGGAAGGACGGGTGGGGAAAATTATTTTTCATTCCTTTCCTTTTCTCCTCATCTGTCCTTTATGTATCCTTTCCCCCTTGGCACATCTGTATGAACTGGAGTTGAATGCAGGCGTATTTTCCTCCTATTTCTCAATCAGAAGGCCTTCCTATAAAGATTCAAGATGTGAAGGGGAATGAATGGATGTTTCAGTTCAGATTTTGGCCAAATAATAATAGCAGGATGTATGTTTTAGAAGGTGTAACACCTTGCATACAGTCTATGCAATTGCAAGCGGGTGATACTGGTATGCTTCTATATTCTGGGTAGAGAGATAAAAAAGTCCAAACATTTTTCACCGTGCCGGATAATCTCGCAGCTTTCTCATTCCCCACAAAGAAAAAGAAAAGAAAAAAAAAAAACTCCCAGCACAAATCTGAATTTTGATCTGATTGCATTTATTGCAGTGACATTCAGTCGGATAGATCCTGGAGGCAGACTTGTAATGGGATTTCGGAAGGCATCCAAATCGCTAGATATGCAGGTCAAGTTTCATAGTTGCATATTCCATCTAATCTGCATCATCTTACTGCATTTTTGTTTTTTGTTTTATTGTTCTGATGGAACCTGACATTTATATACAAATGTTAAATACTTAGGACCCCCAAACACCTATCCTTCCCAACGGCAGCACTCCTGGGGAAACTTCCTGTCCTAGTGTTGTTGAGAATCCAGCAACTGGAAGTGGTCACCCGGGCCTTTTCCAAACAAATACAGGAAGCAAGGATCCTCACCTACATGCTCTATCGGAACATTTGCATTTGACTGATGGGGATATGAGCTTGCATAGAAATGATTATCATGGTCACAGAACAAGTGAGGATTTGCTGCAGCAGCCAGTGTCGAATTCTGACAAGAAGAGGGCCCGAAATATTGGGCCAAAAAGCAAGAGGTTGCTCATGCATAGTGAAGATGTTCTGGAGCTGAGGCTGACATGGGAAGAAGCACAGGACTTGCTTCGTCCACCCCCGAGTGTCAAACCAAGCATTGTCACTATTGAAGATCATGAATTTGAGGAGTATGATGTAAGTATGTTATAGTGAGTGCCCCTCTTGTTATCTGAAATCATGAATGCTAATGATGCTTAGACAGATTCAATCTTTTAAAAGTTCAAATTCCATTAGGTTCTTTGGTTAGTTATTTGATCAATGTTGTTTATTTCTTCTAGGAGCCCCCAGTTTTTGGGAAGAGATCTCTATTCACTGCCTCATCATCTGAGTAAGTATTTGTGAGATATACTATGTTCTGTTACTTTATCATATTGAGAAAGAGGACTGTATTTCTGCCCAGCCACCTGAAAGAGCATATTTGAACCTCTTGAATCCATTATTAAACCTTGTAATGTAGCCATCGAACTTGTTGGCACATGAACACATGCCTTATAGGGTAGGCAGTATGCTGTACATTGAGGATTAATTGTTTTGCGTGCAATGTGAAAAACACCTCTGTTGCTGAATATCTGGCACTATATTTCAGGAGACAGGAACAATGGGCTCAATGCGATGATTGCTCCAAGTGGCGGAGGTTGCCTGCCGATGTTCTTCTCCCTCCAAAGTGGACGTGTTCAGAAAATTCTTGGGATACAAGCAGGTGCAACTTTTTTCTTTTATCTTATGTACATGAGATGTAAGATTGATTGTGTTTCTTTTGTATCCTGACAGGCGCTTATGTTCTGCACCAGAGGAGATGAGCCAGAAGGATTTCGATAGTCTTCTAAGAGCAAGCAAAGGTATAATTCAAACCTTCGTCTTTTTTCTACAGCTCTATGTTAAAGAGGTGTTCCTTGAATAACAAAGTAGCATTTTATTATTTTGAAATCTTTTTCTTATTATATTTATAATACATTTATCGAAATATGCATGTGTTGTGTCCGAAAACATCCGTCAGAGCAAGCATTGATACAGATCTAGCTTTTACTTGGATTTGTAAAAGGCCCGAGTTCGTTGCTATAAGAATTGTTGAAATGGACATCTCATGTTTTTACATGCTCACTTAGTGTTGTGCATATTTTTGGGTTGCTTGCATTGTTATCTGCTCAGGGGATGAAGTTTCTCTGAACAGAAGAAGTTTGTTGCCTGCGATAGAAACCTCAATAACCGACTGGATTGTTTGGTGTCTCTGTTCACTAAGTTGTAAAAAAAAACATATTGTCTGTAACATCAATAAATTTATTACTCTGATTTTTTGGCTGTCTTTAAAATTTTCCCAGATTTAAAGAAGCGAAGAATCATAGAGAACTGTTCGGAAACCCAAGAACACGAACCTTCTGGCTTGGATGCCCTGGCTAGTGCTGCCATTCTGGGAGATAATGTGGTTGACTCAGGTGAGCAATCAGTTGGAGCCACCACCAGACATCCACGTCACCGCCCAGGCTGCACTTGCATAGTATGCATTCAACCACCAAGTGGGAAGGGCAAGCACAAGCCAACATGCACATGCAATGTGTGCTTGACAGTTAGACGGCGCTTCAAAACCCTCATGATGCGCAAGAAGAAACGCCAATCAGAACGTGAAGCAGAGAATGCTCAGAAGGATAATAACAACCACAAGGATGAGTCAGAAATAAATGGCACATCAACAGAGGTTGGGTTGCATATGAATCACTCATCAGAGAATGGAGGCTGCCAGAGCAGAATTGAAGCTGATGTGGCTGAAAGTTCCACCGCGGGACAAATTGATCTGAATTGTGAACCCAACCCGTATGTGCAGTCTTCAGGATTGACCTTGTTGAGGCTTGCTGACGCTGTCTCCCAACCATTAAACAACTACGTGAAGGAAAGTTGCCTCGCAAACATGATGCGTGAGCCACAGGCAGGTATTGGTTCCTCTTTACTTACACAAGCTACTGATGAGAGTGAAAGACGCCTGTCAAATGAAGGCTGCCTTTCAGCTGTTGCGGCGTGGGACTGTGAGGGTAGAGGTGATGCAGACTGAAACAATCCGGCTGTTGCCCTGGTTCTTTGTTTTTTTGGTTGTCAAAGTATAACTTTTTTTTGTTTTTACTTTTAATGGGCAGTGTTATACATCTCTACCAGTTCCATAGAGTCAATGAATGCCTTTACCTCTAAGTCAAAACAGACGAATCCATGGTGTTTATAAACGATCGTCTGCTCGGTGCATGATCGCCTTCCTAGTCTTGCAATTGGAACGCCAATAATTTTTATTTTAAAACTTTTTAATACAAACGATAGTCTAAAGTATTTTAAACTACTATAATTTATGAAAGAGGGGAATCAAACTCCGATGTTAGGAGGCACCCTGTCAATATCATGTTAATGTTACTGGCTTAACCCATGTATGCAACACTAATAAATTTTTGATTAACTCAACTTGCATCCGGGAAGATTGAAGAATCTCAAATCCAACTTAATCCAAATTCCACATGATAAAATAAAGGTTTATTTACTGTTTCACTCTTTGAAATAGATGTTCGGTCTCACTTTACCCTTATAAACTGAAAATTTCTCACTTAACCACCTGAATCTTTAAAAATTGATGAAATTTTCTCACTTTACCACTTTCGTCCATTTCCATCCACAAAACCGTCAAGTATGCTGATGTGGCATGAGCATTCTAGTAATTTTAGCTCCTTATCTTCTCTCTTCTCTCTCCCTCTGCCCCTCTATTATTTCCCATCCTGAACCCAACCTCCATCGTACCCCACCCCCTCCCTCCTCTTCTTTCTTCTATATGTCTCTCTCTCACTCTCACTCTCAATATCTTTGCCAAGAAAGAAGATGGGGAGTGGCTGTTGAGGAGTTTTATTTATTTATTATTATTTAAATTTTGAGTGGTGGTGGTGGTTGGGGTGTGTCGAGTAATTCCATGGAGGGTTAGTTTGGGGTGGGGGTTGGGTTTGGCGAGGAGAGGGGAGAGAAGAGAGAGGCAGGAGAAGAGAGAAAAGGGAGGAGGGGAGTGGGGTGAAATGGAGGTTGGGTCTGGGAGGGGAGATAAGAGAGAACAGAGGGAGAGAGAGAAAAGATAAGGAGCTAAAAATACTAGAATGCCCATGCCACGTCAACACACTTAACGGTTTTGTGGATGAAAATGGACGGAAGTGATAAAGTGATAAAATTTCAGCAATTTTTAGAGATTTAGCGGGTTAAGTGAGAAAATTTCAGTTTAAGGGGGTAAAGTGAGATTGAGCGTCCGTTTCATGAGGTGAAATAGTAAATAAGCCAAAAATAAAATATGGCATCTTGTTTATGCTGCTCCATCCTTGAACCCTAACAAAACCAAGATATCCAGTTAATAATCGGCCATCCTTGTTTCATCCATAAACCTTAATGTGACGGGGTTTATGATAACATCCAATTATGGGTCCTAATCACCAAGCAAGAGTCAAGAGTCTAGATCCATGTTTGGAGACCAGCAGACAATTTTATTACCCACAGTCTGGCAGTATATAAAAGAATTTGTCCGGCCGAAGGTTTGTTTTATCCTTGGCCGGGTTGATCATATCCACGTAAATCTACATAGCATTCTTTTCCAATTTTTCACCAATATTAGCAAACTTATAGGTTGCACTTGTTAAATTGAGATTTTAAAGATGAATTAGGACAGAAGCCAGATCATTAAGTATCAAACTTAATTCCTGTTTATAATTAAGGAATATACCACACGACAAGGGTCAATGTATGATTGTATATTGTAATAATGTACCCAATTAGCTAGTCATGTCTCCTCTACTTGGTTGTTTTATAAATTTCAATTCATGTACTACAAAAAGAATTTTAGTACAAAGGTATACAATAAATACACGTATTATAACATGAATGAATTGATAATACCACGTGACCATATCACGGTTGAAAAATTTCTCGTGCACTAAAAAAGCCAATTGGCTTTTCCCATCCATCTTTCAAGGTTTATTAATTAGCTCAATTACATATCTGTCAGATAGATAGAGTTGAGGGGTACATAAGCAAATGCATTTGTTTAATGAATATCACAATCCTTAAGACCTGCCTTGTTTCAATATGGGAGAAAAGAATGATGTTCAATGTCTACGACCGGCCCTTTAACTTGTCTTTTTATTACCGTCTTTTGTTCTCAATACAACCTATTAATAAACCCTCTTTCTTCCTCCTTAATTTCAACATTAATTCCCTCTTAAAACACATCTAATTTCTGCCCCTCTTTCAACATCTTTCTCAAAAGTTGTACGTAGCTAGCGATGGGGGACAAGGCAACACTGGCAAAGGCAAGAATGGAGCTTGAAGACATGTATCAAGGGATACCAGATGAGTCAGTCAACCTCACTTTCCAAGACTTTGCAGAGCTCAAACTAAACCGAATCGCATCATCCGAAAAGAAAAAACCAAACCCAATATTATCGGAATCCATTTCTGAGCTCAAATATACCACACAACCCTCCTCCCCCTCTCCTTTAACCAAACTCCCAAGCCTTGATTTCAACAGAGCCCTGCAGGCGTCCAGCATTAACCACAGCCACCACCATGTTGGCCATGCAGGTCCATATAGAGGTCATGTCAATCATCATCTTGATCATCACCAGAAGAACAGCCATCATGACCTCGGACATGATCATGGCATGCACCATGGCCATGCATCGCGAGGGAGTCATGGCCATAGCCATAATCAAGGTCATGGTCATGATGGCCATGCCATGAATAATCATCATATGAATAGTCCAGCTGGCCCGACATGTCATGCCGGCGGCGGATTGAGGCATGGGTTGGAGACTAGCTTGGGTGCTTATGATCATGATGTGAGTGGTATAAGCATGGCTTCCGGCGTGTATAACCAGCAGAAAGACAGAGGAGGACGAAGGAGGCCTGGAATTCCCCACTCGAATATCTGCACTCTTTGCAGCACCTACATCTATATTTTCCGCCACCGTTGCTTGGTACGTATTATTTGAACAAATCTACGATATCTAATACATTGTTAATATGTGATCAAATACCAAATATCATCCGAACAATATTTATGCATCAAATATTGTAAATTGGTAGGGAATACTAAATAGATCATTTTGATATTTTTCATTTAATATTATTATGCATGGAAAAGATGGATGAGAGATGATAGTAATTAATTTTGTGTGCAGGTCTGTGGAAGAGTGTATTGTAGACAATGTGTGATGTTCGGGATGGGAGAAATGACGGAAGGTAGAAAATGCGTTGAATGCTTAGGGAGGCGATTCAGTCAAAGGTATGCTGATCAAGTCAAACTCCGATTAATTTTACTCTATCATACAATTGTTAGACTTTTTGACTCAAGTCAACAATAATATACCCATCATATGACTAAATGTTGAATGATTATATTTTCTGATTATGCTAATTACGTAAATAATTATTGTTAGTTGTCAATAGACGGATTATTCATCGGCTAATCTAATCATTTAGTGTGGTGAATATTACTTTGTTACTCAAGAACACCGATAACAATTATTATGTTCAAGTAATGTTGAACGTATCAACTTTCGCATCAGGTGATCAATTATAATGAGAAGAAAACAAATTTGCAATCCTTCTAACATTTACTTGTTACATACTAGTAGCAATGGCTATTGATAAACTATACTAATCACAACCCAGCAGCCCCCCCCCCCCCCCCCCCCCCCCCAAAAAAAAAAAAAAAAAAGGGGAATAAGGAAATGATAAAATAAATAAATAAAGGCCGGCAATTAGGGTCACCCTACACGTAAATTATCTAATGGGGCCGACCAAATATTATTGTAACATAAATTTAAAAAAATAGCATTTGCTTTGCCGTCCCTTTGGTTGGTATAGCGGCCAAATACAAGAAGAACCTCCACAACACAACAAACAACAAAGCTGTTTTGGTTTTGGACCCCCCAATCTTTCATTTCATTGTTTATTTTATAAAAATAATATTAATTTTGTGTATGTTATTGTCCCATAGGTACATACAAAGAGCAGGAAAGGTTGGATGTTTTTCAAGGTATCCCTTCATTGTGAAGCAAGCTGAGCTGAAATGGGCTGAGAAAGGGCCAAGAAGGAGCGGCGGCAACAATGGGAGCACGATGATGCCACCGAGATCACGAAGTCCCATGACCCCGGTGACTCCACGGACCCTAAACACAGCGCATAATACTAGCAGTAGCCCAAATTCTTTTGTCATGAATAGTTCATCCTATTCTCCTTATTCACCAACTCACCGTCACCACCTCCCCTTTTAGACTCTCTCTCTCTCTCTCTCTTTGGTTTCTTATGTTACTCAACTTATTTCCCAAACAATTTTTCCGATGTTTTATCTTGGATTTTGCTTAATTAATTTATTGTTGATCTTAGTTTTGTATAACAACTTAAAGAAATGATATATATTTCATGGATGATGATGGTATTATGGTATTGCCGAAAAGCTCTACACCCAGCAGGCTGGGATTTGTAGACCCAACTAATGCCAGATTTGGTTGTAACTTGTAGCCCAATACAATGTTAAGGTTAAAATCCACAGAGCCAGCTTTGAGAAATCAAAGCTTAATAATGTGAGGCCATATGCTCTTACAAAACATCTTTTTCTCATGGCATCTAGGCAATACAAAATGAAAAATTCTTCGCAGATAAAAAGACTTATAAAGATCTTTTGACTGTAGAAGACTGATTATTTTCATAACATACTCATAATGTACATTTGAGTTTTACATGCTTATTTATATACGTCGTTTACGTATTATAAAACCCTATTTACGAATTGATACGAACAAGATATATCAAACTTTATTACAACATCACAACAAAATAAATCATAGCATACTCGCTGAGAAGCTTTATTTATAATGCATTAAAAGTTTCCATCCATGATTTTCATTTGAAGGACAAGAAATTCAAGCACAAAACGAACAATATGAACAACCAAAGCATGTGGCATAACAAGCCTTGTACTAATTAAAGCTTTCTTGGTTTGATCTTGATTGGAAGACCCATGGAGGGATATGGCATTGGTTTACGGGTTATTGCTTCCTCCGGGTGAACTTGTGACCATTCAAACCTTGTCACCAAGTTGTGGATGGTGATGAGTAATTCTATCTTGGCAAACTCATTCCCAATGCAAGTGTGAAGGCCTCCTCCAAATGGAAGATAAGTGTAGGGAGGGATTGGTTTTGATGGGTTCTCAAAACGTGATGGATCAAACTCTGTAGGCTTGTCAAATATATCTTTGTCCATGTGAGTTCCATGTGCCATCCAAAACACCTGCTCATGCTCATATAAGCAAAACCCAGTTCATCAAGTGTTAATTAGATATTCATGAGAAAACTTTCGGTGTGATCGTAAGGCTGTTAATTAATGATGTTATTAATCAGCTTGTGTTATAACACATGTGAATTTATTTAAACGTTTAGGAGAGAAATCTGAATTCAAAGTGCAAAATTATCGCTCATTTATATTATAACAAGTTGATTAATAACATAACAATGTGACGGTATTATAGTCACAAACATTATAAAAGAAAATGTTACCTGCCATCCTTTGGGAATGTCATAGCCTTCATATTGAGTGTCTTTAACTGCTGTTCTAAAGCTGCCAAACACAGGAGGGATGATCCTCATCAGCTCTTGTGCAACTCTCCATGTGTATTTCATCTTGTGTATCTCAGCCCATGTTAGCCCATCATCTATTCCCTCCTCCCTCTTTCTCAAAATGTCCATTTGTTCTACAACCAATGAAAGTAAAGAAAATATATAATTTGGCATAATTAAGCTGCTAAGCAAAAAAAATGAAATTACTATTATACCTTCCAGAACTTTGTTGTAGATCTCAGAGTCTCTGGACAGCTTCCATATCATTAGGCTGAGAAGAATGGCTGAGGTGTCATGACTAGCAATAATCAAGGTGAAATAATTATCTATGATCATATCATCAGAAATTGGGTGTTGATTTTCATCTCTCAATGTTAGCAAGCAAGTGAACACATCACTTGTAGGGCTTAGCTTCCCCTTTGAGAGCTCCTCCCTTCTTTCCTTGAGAATTGGCAGAATCCTATTAACAATTCTTGACCTGGCTCTTAGGCCTCTCCAGTACACTGTGCCAGGGATATTGAAAGGAAGAGTGGGAATTGCTTTGAAGGCTAAAGAAAAATCATCAGACAAAGCCTCTGTTGTGTGCTCATTCTTGATGCCAAAAAGGATGCTGGATGCTATTTCAAATGTTAGTTTCTTCATGGTGGCCACACCTTTTATGGTGTCTTTGTTCTCTGTTTCTCTTAGCAATATGGTCTTGATCAATTCATCCATATGTTTGACAATGTTTTGAAGATTTTCAGGCTTCAAGAAGCTCATCATTGCTCCCTTTACCAATTTGTACCTGCATTACATAAATATACAGTCTCGCTATATTGAACCAACAATTTAGAAAGGGTCATGTACAATTTAAGGGTTGTGTTCCAATACCGGACATGTATTATGTTATTACACTGTAAATTTAAACTGTCTCAACTATATGTTGAAACAAAACTTAATTAATTTGGTCTAGATTGACAATCTTGTAATTTAACATGCCACACTGTGTGACGAGAACATTGTCTTACAAACTTGAAAAGTGCTTATTACCTTGACGGCCAAACATTCAAACAAAATCCTACCTTAATTAACGGTCTAGATTGAAAACCTTGTAATACAAGGTGACAATTGTTTGACAAAAGAACATTCCAAACATTCAAATGAAAAAGTATACCTTAATTAACGATTTAAATTAATAATCCTGTAATATAACGCGCCAATTGTTTGACAAGTGAACATTTCCGAACAAATTGAAGAGGGCCTATTACCTCGACCCAGTAAGTTCAAATATGTTTTCCCTTCCGGCAATGGTTGCAAGGGTGGGTGGTTGCTTGGTAGCAAGAACATCATCTCGAGCACCAAGCACAAACTTGTTACCAGCTTGACCAGTAACAACAACAGTTGGGGAACCCATCAAGGAGGTTTTGAATACTGGCCCATGTTTTGATACTCTTTCTTCGAACCACTGAGGCCCTCGATTTTGCTTCTGTGCTTGGCGAAAGCTCAAGGACTCTCCTAGTAAGGGGTACCCTAAAGACCCTCCTGGGAGATTTTTGGCCTGATGACCCTTGAACAGAAATTTTGAAAGGAAGAAGGCTATGATCAAAGTGACTGCAATTAACAAAATCAAGGTCATTTTTGTACAAGGTTTATACAGAGTGACAAAGCAAAGCCAACTGAATGAAAATATATACATATGCTCAACCATGGCAGGCACAAACTTAAAAATGTTAAGAAATCAAAACTTGGGAGATGAGGATGACGAATTTGAAGGTGATGGGAATAATAATCTACAACAATGGTAACAAAACACTACAAAATGCTGAGCTCATTCCATGATCCTTAGATGTATCACAAGCCCTTCAGTGCTTAAACAAATTAAAATTTTATTTTTAATTTATTTTTAAAAAGATAGATTGACTAATGGCTTCATTAGGTAGTCACCAAGAAGACAATGATAAATGCTAAATCGAACAAATTTTGTGATCGCACAATTGTTGATTGATTGATTACGTAATGTGGCAGCTGATATGTACTTACTTTTTATATCTATTATACTATGATTAACTGTTAATTAATACATTAATTATCATATCATATGATGTTATAATACTCTTACTTAATCACTAGTAGTGCTCAGATCAGCCACAAAAATGAAAGAAAACTTTGTTAAAAATTATTAAAGGACAATAATTAGGTTGTAGTACACACCAATAATTATAGACCAATAGTGACATGTAAATTTAAAAATGCATTTTGTTTGTGGTCCTAGGCATACATGGGTTCTATTAACAAACTGTTAGCAGCCAAATACAAGAAGACCCTCCAATATGTGGTAGTACAATAATTCTTTTATTTTACTATTTATTTTTTTTAAAATAACAGATGTCTTTTTCTTTATATTTTATTAGGAAAGGTTTGTAAATGCTTGATTCTAAGTTCTTAACCCAATACAAAAGAAATATATGGTCTTCAATTAAAAAAATTTGTTTTTTTGATACACTCAAAGTTAGGGGGAGGGTGATTCAGACACAGGTAAGGGCGGACACACCAAGGGACGGACAAGAGGGGTCAATTGAGCCCTTGGGATGCTGGCATTTGGCTGTGGCGATCTCAGGCGAGCAGTTGCAAAAGTTTAAGTTGCAGGGAATGGGAAAAGGAATGTAGGCACGCCAACAACAGCAAACATGTTATTTTATATATAGTTTTTTTATAAAAAATAAAAATAAAAGTTGAGAACGTCTTGGGAGAGAGGATTGGGGTGGATGTTGCAGAGAGTGAAACTGTGAAGAAGAAGATGGGGTTTTTTTTTTTTTTTTTTTTTTTCTTTTGGGCTTGTTTCATTTGAATTTTTTATAAAGATAATTGTCGTCTCTATACATTATAATTTTATTCTTTATAAAAAAAAATGATATTCTCTTTTAGATCAGACATTAACAAAAATGTCTAAAATTATTGAAAAATAAATTATTTATGAAGCTATAATGCAATGTTTTCAAAAGAAAACTCGTCGATTGAAGCATGGATGGAAGTACTATTTTTCTGTTTTTTAGTGTTATTTTCTTTTAAAAAAATTTCGAAACTTTTACACTGTGACCCCTTGGCCCGAGAATCCTGGATCCGCCACTAGACACAAGACATCGGGTGCAAAAAATAACTAACTCTTAACTATTTGACTATCAAAACAAAAAAAAAAAAAAAAAAAAAAAAAAAAAAGCTTAATATAAGTTTCATGAGATATATACACTGCTTGAATTATAAAAAAAAAAAGATTACAGAAAACGTACACAAAAAAAAAAAAAAAAAAAAAAAAAAAAAAAAGGTAGGGTATTTATTACAAAACCACCAACAAAAGTACCAACTAGTACTTAGTTTAAAATACTTCTATTCTTAATGTCGGAAAAGGTTTCAAGTTCGAAACCTCCCTCCCCATTAATTAAAAAAAGGAAGCATCCAACACATATGGCATTAGCATAACAAGCCTTTGACTAATTAAAGCTTTCTTGGTCTGATCTTGATTGGAAGGCCCATGGATGGATAAGGCATTGGTTGCCTGGTGATTATTTCATCAGGGAACAACTGAGACCACTCAAACATTGTCACCAAGTTGTGGATGGTGGTGAGTACTTCGACTCTTGCAAACTCATTGCCTATGCAAGTGTGCAGGCCTCCTCCAAATGGAATATAAGCATAGGGAGGGATTGGCTTTGATGGGTTCTCAAATCTTGATGGATCAAACTCTGTGGGCTTCTCAAATATCTCTTTGTTCATGTGTGTTCCATGAGACACACAATACACCTGCGAAACCGACTCAAAATGTTAACATTCTTGTCCATGAGATTTGAATTCATGACTTACCTTAAACCAAATTGTCATCAGAAAATTTAGAAGCAAATTATGTTGTGCTTGGGATGATGATCAGAAATGTTGATTGTTACCTGCCATCCTTTGGGAATGTCATAGCCACCATATTCAATGTCTTTAAGTGCTTTTCTGAAGCTGCCAAACACAGGAGGGATGATCCTCATCAACTCTTGTGCAACTCTCCATGTGTATTTCATCTTTTGTATCTCAGCCCATGTTAGCCTCTCTTCTGCTCCCTCCTCCCTCTTCCTTAAAATGTCCATTTGTTCTACAAAGCAATGAAATTAAGTGGGAGAGAAATTTAAGTGGCATTAGCAAAAAGGATATATAATTATGTAGTGCAATATATTATAATCAATTAGTACTATACCATCTAAAACTTTTTTGTAGATCTGAGAGTCTGTAGACAGCTTCCATATCATAAGGCTCATAAGTGTGGCAGAAGTGTCATGACTAGCTATCATCAATGTGACATAATTGTCCAAGATCAGATCATCAGAAATTGGCTGTTCATTTTCATCTCTTAATGCTAGCAAGCAAGAGAACACATTGCTTGTAGGGCTCAGTTTCCCCTGTAAAATCTCCTCCCTTCTTTCCTTGAGTATTGGCAAAATCCTACTGACAATCCTTGACCTGGCTCTTAGGCCTCTCCAGTAAACAGTGCCAGGGAAGTTAATGGGAACAGACCAACCTGCTTTGAAGGCTAAAGAAAAATCATCAAACAAAACCTCCCTGGTGTGCTCATCCTTGATGCCAAAAAGGATGCTGGATGCTATGTTGAATGCAAGTTTCTTCATGGTGACCACAGCTTTAATGGTGTTTTTGTTTTCTGTTTCTCTTAGTAACATGGTCTTGGTCAATTCATCCATCTGTTTGATATAGTTCTGAAGACTTTCAGGCTTTAAGAAGCTCACCATTGCTCCCTTTACCAATCTGTACCTGCACTACATACATACAGAATTGAGGGTACGTACCAGATATCTAGCATGTTAGGCTATTAGACTGTCAATCTAGATCGCACATTCAAACATCTTGCAATATATCGTGCTAAACTGTTTGACAGCAGAACATTTCTGTACAAATTGAAGAGGGGATTATTACCTTGACCCGGTGAGCTCAAATATATTTTGTTTTCCAGCAATGGCTACTAGGGCGACTGGTTTCTTGGCAGAAAGAACATCTTCTTCAGTGCCCAATACAAACTTGTTGCCTGCTTGACCTACAGCAACCACAGTTGGGGAACCCATCAAGGAGGTTTTGAACACTGGTCCATGCTTTGATGTTCTCTCTTCCAGCCATTCGGGGCCTCGATCTTGTTTCTGTGCTCGCAGAAAGCTAAATGTCTCTCCTATTAGGGGATATCCGAGGGACCCTTTTGGCAGATTTTTGGTCTGACCCTTGAACAGAAATTTTGAAAGGAAGAAAGCTACGATCAAAGTGATTGCAATTACTAGAATGAAATTGAAAGCCATGTTTGTACAGAAGATGCAGAGTGTCAAGCTGAAGTCAATACATATGTATGCTCAACAAGGGCCGGCAGAAAACTTGATTGAAAGCGATGGGAAATATTATAATCTAGCAACAAAAAGTAAACGATAGCACAAAAGTTGTCTTCATTCTTCCTTCATTTGGGAACCTTCTTATAGTTTCTCAACAACTTGTATGTATTTTAAAAGACTTGATGTTTTTCTTCTTTCTTTTTTCGAATCATGGATGATGGCATGATCGATAAACACAAGAGGGTTCCATTTTAAACATGGATCATCATCAAGCAACAAGATAGTATTAATAATATCTAATTGATTATGCATGTTCTGAACAAATTTGTTATATCTCATGAGTAGTGTCATGTTAGAAAGGAGGCCAAAATAATGGTTTTCTTCGTGTTACAGATGTGTAAATAGAGCAATGTTAGACATAACACATTTGCATACCAACTCTATTACACAATATAGTCTATAATTTATCAATGCGGTATCACAGTTTGGTGTAAATATCACAAACATAAAGTGATATTTATTGTATTAAAAGTTTGTACAGAAATGTTCATTGGCTTTCTAGGTAGGTAGTATATAACTTAAGATAAGCTCTCCAAACCAACTTTGAAATATAAATATAAATAAAAACTAGAAATTTCTCTCCAAATGAAAAAAAGAAAAAGAAATTATGTTCCACTGAATATCACTCCACCCTGTTTGCCAAGGGAGCCATTAAGCAGGAATTTGAGCCTATCTCCCCTCTGTGGCCCACCCATACACATGGTCCATGTCCATGGACAGTTGTCCAGTCAAAGCTCCCATCTCCCTCCCTCCATGTCCATGGCTTCATTGGCTTACTTTTCCAGATTCCAATCATGTCCTTGTCTAGTCAGCTCCGCTAACTATGGGTTACTGACTTGCCTAGAACAAGGACAAGTTTATTGGGTAAGTGGGTCCCGCCTTTACTGGACCCCACTTTAATTTTAGGTCATATGATATATGATCAGTAGCAGAGGCTTGGATTAACATTCCTCAAATTAAGGCTTCTTGATCGGTCTGATTTGATTTGATGGGCTTCTCGATCATGGTTCCCTTGTCACCCAAGTTGATGAGAGTCTAGTTTCTAAACGCTTTGAGGAAATTGTTACTTGGATTCTAAGAATTCAAAAAGTTATGCGATTTTTAGTAATAGGGTTAAATGTAGTAATGTAGTACAAGGCTATAAATTTAGCTCTCCAAAATATTAATTTTTTAAAGAATAATGTAGGGTTTCCATCTCTAGCCATGAAAGGATATATTTTAAAGCCCTTCATATTTTATTATTTTGAGAAAAACTATGGTATAACATTCATATATTCCACAATTATGTATTGTTTAATTTAATTAAACTACTATTTAAAGACAATATTCCATATATAACACGTGACGATTTATATATATATATTAAACAAAACGAATTTGAAAACATTTAAAAAAGTTATTATATAAAATTAATAAATAAACCTAACGGCTAGCTTGGATATGCAATTGTACGAAATGTTTCGTGCTCTTACTTACGAGTGATGCTTTCTCTTATTAAAAAGCACATACGTTGAGCCCACAAAAAAATTTGGCTAGGCCAAAATTGGATTACAAATAGCTTGATTGGAGGGCTAAAGGGCCAAATGTGGCCTAATTTTTTTTAACCCATTATGAGTTTTGTATTATTTTAAGGCTATATATTGGGCTATGATTCATGATTGGAGATGGCCTTAAAGTCAGTTATACATGAGCGTGCGGGTTACTATTGATCGTATAGATCGTGAAATTCAAATTCATTAAACAGTCCTCAACATGTGTGTTCGCAATTGTCCCAAACTTGGCGCTTCTAAGAATAACTTCTTATATGTGAGTGGGATGCTAGAAGTTATTTTGAAATGCATATGGTATCTTCGTTTGATAATGTAAGTGTGGGGGCAGAGTGAATTCACTATTGCCAACCCACATATGTAATAATAGATGTAATCTTTACTAACACTTGCAAGTGTCCTCCTCAAACAACTTTGTCAATCTATTTAAAGTAGGTTTCAATTACTCACCTACTAGTCACCTCACCATGGTTGGACATTTTCACCTTTTCTCAAAAGTCAAGAGGTAAAGAAACTATGCAATTTTTGACTAATGCAAAGGGGTGGGAAGATTTAAGATACCACGCGATCAATATTAGACATGATCTGTGGCATTTAAGCGCATGAAATTATAGTGATAAATGAAAATAAATAATCCGACCATTGAGTTAAGTAAGTAATTTATTATAAGAAATCAAGTAATATTGTTTTGACGTTAGATTGAGTGGTGATTAGAGCATTTCCAAGGGAGATGTCAAATACCAAACATCAAATTTAAATTTGATGGCTGATGTGGCAATTTGACATCTTACACAATTTTACACTCCACCCGATAAGTCAAATTAAATTATTATTTTATTACATTTTAGTGTTGATTCATCTTTAGTTAAAAAGAAAAGAAAAGAAAAGAAAAACTAATAAAATATTCATTTGACATCTTGCTTTTGGGATGTCAAAAATAACATATCAACCTCCAGCCTTTATTCCACATCAGCTTGAACACATCGGTTGGAGTGATATGAGATGTTATTTATAGCTGTTAAATGTCTATGTGGCACGTTTGACACATCGGTTGGAGATGCTTATGAGAAGAAGAATACGGTGAGTTTTCTTTTTCATTTGTCTCTCGGGCAAATGTTATGCCATCTAAAATTGGAAATGAGGTTATGATGATATGCAAGATTTCTATGATGTTCAATTAAAGTAAAACATAACTCCTAAAACAAAATGATTGAGATTGAGAAGACATATTTGTAATCTTACTATATGTTTCTTGCAAGCGAGGTAAAATTGGAAGAAAACAAAAGAAACAGAGAGAAAGAGAGTGAATAATTCCTCGTGACAGAAAGGGAGCGAAACACATGGGAGGGAGGGACACACAAACCCACAATGTCCACAGAAACCAGACCAATGCAAGATCCACAACATCAATCCAACCCTAACCCTAAATTCATCTCCATCAACAACGCCAGCTCCAACAATCCCAACCCCAAATCCAACCCAATCCCTCTCCCCAGAAGCATTGGCATTTCCAACAATGCCAATGCTTCTGGAGTAGCTGCCACGTCATCGTCTTCTTCCTCGCTCACATCGTTGAGTTTGACAATGCTGGGCAATTCCAACGCCCCTCGACCTTTCATCCGAGAAGAAGCTGCCGCAGCAGCAGCAGCAGCAGCAGCAGCGGAAGGTGGACCCCACCATCACAATAGCCACAGGAGGGCCCACTCGGAGGTGAGCTTCCGGTTGCCGGAGGACATGATGGATCTGTCCGCGCCGGATCAGTCCAAGGCCGGATCGTCTACGGCGAGTCTCGAGGAGATGGGATCGGAGGAGGACCTCTTCTCCACGTACATTGACCTCGACAAACTCGGTGGGTGCAATTGCTCGGATCAGAGCGGTGGTGGTAATAATGGGCCCAGTGGTGGGCCTGATGATGGGTCTGGTAGGCCCAATGTAAATGATGGTGGTGGTGAGGGAGAAGAGAAGAGATCGTCCAGGCACAGGCATAGCTGCTCGGTGGATGGGTCGTCCACGTCAACCGGTGTGTTTGGGGAGGTCATGGAGGCCAAGAAGGCCATGCCTCCTGATAAGCTCGCTGAGCTCTGGAACCTTGATCCCAAACGCGCCAAAAGGTGTGCAAAATTTTATCTTTTTTCCTGGGTTGCTTCATTTTCCTGTGTCTGGTTGCCGAGAAAATGCGGGACGTGAAAATGAATCTTATTTGGATTTTGGGTCTAAGGAACTCACAAACGTATAATGCTGAATTTGGCATGAAATTGAATTTAGAAAGCATTTATGCTGTTATTAATAAACACTAAATACTAGGAGTGATTGATGCTACCACAACACAAACCCGCTATTTTTCTGATAAAAGGCGTTGCCTTCGCTAGTATTCACTTATAGAGGTTGGTTGTTTCTGGGTTTTCAACTAATTGCTTTGGGTAGAGATGAATTGAGATCGAGTGTTTAGTAGAATCCAACTGCATGAAGGTTGTATTTGGACTTTTGGAGAATAATAATTGCATCAGTTTGGAAATATATGGATCTGTTGAACTGAAATTCCACCATTTTCCTACTTTGAGATTCGTTCTTATGCATCATAGTTGTCCTCTTCAATCATGTTATATGTTTTGCATGTATGATGGCAAGATTTGTATGCCTATGAAGTTCTTTTAGTTCTTTCCTCTTTAGTGATTTTCGGGAGCTCCGTCTCACATTTTAATTGTCACATATAGGATACTGGCGAATAGGCAGTCTGCTGCTCGCTCAAAAGAAAGGAAGGCTCGCTATATACAAGAACTTGAACGCAAAGTTCAGACCCTTCAAACAGAAGCCACCACTCTCTCTGCCCAACTCACATTATTCCAGGTTTGTGTTGGTGTATTTTAGCAGCTTTCTTTAACTGTACTTAACATATGCACAACCTGTTTTGACATCACTGCACTAAATTAGAACATGATAGATCTCACTTGGGCCATTTATGGTCATCCAACGTTACCAGTATCCCATATGTAACAACATTGTCAATCGCCTGGAGCAAGTATTCTAATGTCACTTCATTAAGTTACCCTCTGCTGCAGTGTTTTGTTATTATTTAGCCTTCGTCGGGTTGTTAAGAGTGTTTTTCTGCACATGTGTGAAGTGCACGCATATATACACACAAATGTCTGTTAATTTGTTGAAGGATTATGACTTTTTTTTAATTTGTTGTCTTGTATAGAGGGATACAACAGGTCTGAGTACTGAAAACACAGAGCTTAAGCTTCGGTTACAAGCTATGGAGCAACAAGCTCAGTTGCGTGATGGTAAGCAACAAAATATCAACTTGTATCATACTTGATACTTGCATAATATATTGTATCTTAATTACATGTAAAGAGAATGGTCCATGTTCTATTTTATCCAACAGATACTGATTTTGTTTGAAATTTGTCATGCAGCACTAAATGAAGCACTGAAGAAGGAGGTCGAGAGGCTCAAGATTGCCACAGGGGAGATGATGAGTCCTTCTGACTCATTCAATTTGGGAATGCACCAGATGCCATACAACCATCCCTCAGCTTATTTTCCACTTCAACAACAACCTGGACCTGCTGGTCACCAGAACATGCAGATGCCACAATTCAATCATTCCCAGTCTAATATGCCAACCCATCATCTGCATCAATCAAATTCTCATACTTTTTCAGATATTATGCAGAACGGACCTGTTGGTCAGTTACAGGGGCTTGACATCGGTACCAAAGGAGCACCTCTCGTGAAGTCGGAAGGCCCCTCGCTTTCTGCAAGTGAAAGTAGTACCACTTTTTGACACAACAAGCTGGCTGCTGACCTTCTGACCTGTCCATGGCACGGTATCTGGTAGATTGTTCATAGATTGACATCCGATCATTTAGAGAGGCTACCCTATATTTATTTTATTATTTATTAAATTTGTGTCGAGGATTCATTCTTAATTGTTTATTCTTAGGGCTGTGTTCCCCAAAAAGGGGAAGCACCCTTTTCATCAGTTTGTTCAATATTTGAATTTTTGGTTTTATGGGTGGGTGCTAGAAAATCTGGGAATGGAATGTGATTCCCATGGGCATATGGGGAATGCTATCAGGACAGCAGCATTCTCTTTCCTTTGTATCTTGTTTTGTTTAATACCTTGTAAACTTTGTGCACTACTGTGATTGTTCTATCTCATGAAATACAAATGCCCTTTTTGTCCTTTTTCAGTTCTCAATTAACTATTTAGGTTGAATCTAGTTTTTATTTTCCAAGAGCCTCTTCGGATTGGGCAATGTGGTATAATGTTAGGCCTAAACGCATGAGACTAGTTTTGTCTTTTGCTTTTGACCATGTGAGGTGTATGTATGAATATAGGAAAAGGAAGAGCATTAATCACGCCTTTAATCAGGTGATTATCTGATGGTTTCTCAAAATTTCCTTTCATCTGTGAATTGTGCTACAGTCAGTTCCTTGCACATACAGACTAACGATTTCTAAAGCATAAACCATTCATGTGGGAAGTCTGTTAGCAAGCACTTTATTTTCCCATGTCAGTTGGGAAAGGCCGGATCCAAATCAGTGGAATCTATAACTGATGCCCAATATCAGTTGGGCCATCTTTAATAGTAGTTTGGTTATGTTAGTACGTTGGGCAATTTGATCAATTTTAGTTTGTTCTAGATACGGGAAACGGGAGAGAGCCTAATTCATTAACCGTACTGAATTCCGATAAATCAAAATCTCTACCATTAACTTATACCTAATATTGTTATTAACCACCTCTTCACCTTATTATGGATATTCATGGGAAATCCTAACTCAAACTAATGTACACGTATAGAAATGCATTTTTCTTTAATCAATTAGGCAAGAGAATTCAAAAGATCAAGAACTAATTGGTTAGAAATGCTAAACTCATTCTTTAATCGCAATTCGTGATCTGAACATAATTCGTAATTATGTGGACTTCAATATCAGTGTGGTATATATAGAAGGGGAGCGTTTTATTAATCACTAAGTAGATCATAATTTGGATTACCCGTGATCCATACAATACAAACTATATATGACCCCCACAAGTACAACAAAAACATTGTGTGCTTAAACAACAGCTGACAGCTTTCCCAGAAGCTTTTATTCTTACTCTCCTACTTAAACACTAAAGTACAGTGCCTTCAAGCTCAAGGCTTCAACGGATTCAGCTTACCCTGAAAACAAATTAAAAACATCCATGCATTTAATTAGTACGTAATTAATCTAATTTTCAATACATAATATATAAGCAATTAAACTTATTGTAGAAGGCTTACTCAGAGCAATTAGTAGAAGGGTAAACTTTGTAAGGACAGGGAGAGCCACAAACATCACCAAGAGTGTTAATTCGGTCATAATTAATCCCAGGGATCCTAGCAGCCCCTTCTTGAATGCAACTGCATGCAGTTCTTCGATCCGCCACACTGGCGTTCTGTGCAGCATTGAGCCCTTTGATACCTTTGCAGCAATCTGGTGGCACTGTGCCTCCAAAAATTCCATAGGGTATGCATGGAGTGAGCAAAGCTGTAACCTGACCACAAGTTATGGTTGCATTTATGACACAAGGAGCAGTCACCAATATGCATATAAGTAGTGGCAGCAATGCAACTCCACACAGTAACTTTGCCATAGCTGCTATTTTCTCAGTGAGCTATTATTTTTTTTCTTTTGGTCTTGTGCAGAAAAACATTGTTTATTTATGGGGTTTATATAGAGTAATTTTAAGCATATCAAGTATATGCGACAAGGGTGGCTAGAGATAAGAGAACAGAACAGGGTTTTGAGATTTATCTGATCCGTTAGGTCATGGGGCTGCTGCTAGAAAATTCAAATTTTATTCGTGTATCAATGTCACAAGGAAAATTCAAAGGGTTTTGAGCCTTCTTGAGGAAAAGATTTCCGTGAGGGACACATTTTTGTTTGCAGAAATGCTGCCAAAAGAGAGGAAGATCAGTTGATGAATGATGATCACCATAAACACCAGAACCAAGGGCTTAACTTTCATGAGGTCTAGTCAATCTTATTACTTGGCTGGGGCCCAGTTGAAGAGAATTATCCATATTCAAACTTGGCTTTTGTTGACATTTGCTAGTTAAATCCAACATTCTCGCCGTCACCAATGCAAGGTTCCAATTTACAGGTACACTACTGTCAAACTTTTCTAGTAGATTGATAGTTACATCCAGCAAATTCGACCATGTCAGCTCGATTTAGATTCGAAACATATGGCTTTCTAAGATTTAACTTTCAACAAATCAAGTTTGATATAGAAGATGAGAATTTTTTTTTCATCCAACTCATCTTTATATTTGATGAAAGTTCATCAAAATTAAACGGAAAGATAAATTATCACTTGGGTTAAAGATTACTTTGTATGAACTAAGGGAACCTGTCTATTATATAGCCCAAGAGGAAAAGAGGCAAATATGTTATAAAAATAAAATAATCAGAGTATGACAAGTACCACTGAATATTGGGAGTAGAATTATATTTACTCTTCTGGTGTTCACACTGACAGAATTCTCTTAGATAGAACTCACTAACACTTAGATTTCACACTCTCTTTTCTTTCCTCTCACTCTTCCTTTCTTCTCTTCCTTTTTTTCCTCTATTCTCCGTTGGTTTGTTTTGCTAAGCAATGGGAAGCCTATTTATAGGAAAATTGGATGGCTTCCAACATCATCATTAAGCTTTTTGAATATTATTTCCTTCTTTTCTTTATGTGCCACCATTTTCTTTATGTTTTTTTTTTTTTTTTTTTTTTTTTAATTTAATCAAGAGAAAGAGGCACAATGATTGTTCTAGGATCCACTATTAAGTCTGTTATGTTGTGTGCTACTGCATTGGACACAGAAAAATTTAGAGATATTTAGTTATATACCCATATACTTAACACTAAAACTATAAATAAACTATATATTTCTATATAAAAAAAAAAAAAAACAAAACCCACCCACCCAAAAAAAAAAAAAAAAAAAAAAAAAAAAAAAAACCCACCCAAAAAAAAATAGCTAGCCCTATTGAATTTAATTTTCATTATTAAATTACTTTGATGTCCTATCCTATTACTGTTTTGGGCTTTTTTTATAAGGTTTTGAGGTTGGATTTGTTTTAAGAAATCAATGACAGTTTTGTAATTTAAAAGAAGTTATAAGCATTTTTGTTATGTTATAAATGAACTTTTGTGTGTATTTCTAAAGTCCATTTCATATAGGGTCTTTTTATAATTTGGGCTCCCATATTGGGTATAATAGTGAATCTCCCAAAAATTTATTCAAGAAAGAAAGAGGACATTTTGGAAGCGATCAGTCATGACTTTTGAGTCTTTGACATTGATATATAGATGTACATTTTAAGAACTTGAATTTTGTTTAAGATGAATGGTAATACATGTCACCATTTATTGATAAACAAATACTATCCCTCCCTTTCAAATTTCTAAAAAAACCACAACATTAAGCATAGTGTTTTAAGATAGCTCTAGCTAGTTTTCGATGATATAAACCAGTCGCTTTATTCTCCTGCTCATACCCGCACTTAGACACTGCTTTAATTCTCTGGATTCAGCTTATCCTGAAAAGAAATTACACCCATAAATATAGTTAGCATGTTATTGCTAACTCAGGATCAACCAGAAAAAATAAATAAAATTGGTATGTGTGTATATCGAAGGCTTACTCGGAGCAATTAGTAGAGGGGTAAACTTTGTACGGACAAGGAGAGCCGCATCGATCTCCCAGCGTGTTAATGCGGTCATAGTCAATCCCAGGGATCATTGCAGCCCCCTGTTGAATGCAACTGCATGCAGTTCTGCGATCCTCTGCGGTCTTTTTTGCATCATGGAGCCCTTTATGCCTGCACAACATTCTGGTGGCACAGTCCCTCCAAATACTCCAAAGGGGATGCATGGAGTGAGTAAGGTGACAACCTGACCGCAAGTTACCTTTGCATTAATGACGTAAGGAGAAGTCATGAGCATGCATAATAGCACCACGATGAATGCCGCCCCACAGACTGCAGACCTGGCCATAGCTGCTATCCTTCAGTGAGTCTTTTCCTCTTTTGCTTTAGGTAATCTGGTAAGAAGCACACTTGTTTATTGCCTTTATATAAAGTGGCAACTGGCAAGGAAGATTGTGATTTGTGAGCCAGCAGCGGGTCTTGGTTGGTCTTCCCTCTTTGCAAATTAACCATCAAGTATGTGACAAAGGCCATACAATAAAAAAGAGTCTAATTGTGTGTTACCAGTGGTCGGAGTAGGCTGCAAGAAAATTCAACTTTCCATACAACAATGACCCACGGAAAAATCTGAGCAGAAATATTCAAAGGGGCCTGAGCAAGTGAGCCTTCTTGTGATAAGGGTTCCGTGAGTAACTTGAGTTGGGAACATGGATGTGACATTGTTATAGACATGCAAGCCTAGGGACAAGAGAGGAATTTTCTACAGACAATGAATCATTGTTATATGGCCCACGGAAAAATCTGAGCAGAAAAATTCAAAGGGGCCTGAGCAAGTGAGCCTTCTTGTGGATGTAAACATTGTTGTAGACATGCAAGCCGAAGGATAAGAGAGAAGAAGTTTTTCCACACAATGAACCATTGTTATATGGCCCACGGAAAAATCTGGGCAGAAAAATTCAAAGGGGCCTGAGCGAGCCTTCTTGGGGATGTGAACATTGTTATACACATGCAAGCCAAGGACAAGACAGAAGAATTTTTTCCACACAATGAAGATTCCATATCTCTTCCTCTTGGTTCTCTCTTAACTGCAGTGAAAAGATTAGTTGATAATCACTATAGAACCAGATGCGAGGCCTCTTCATATCATCATATGCAGCTAATCATTATTGCTACTGAAGTACTCTTTCAACCTCCACTTGTCTCGAGCCCATTGTGAATTATACATATTCAAGCTTGGTTTTGTTTGCATTTCGCTAATTACATACGTCTCCAGTTCCAAACAAAATTCCAGATTCCTGGCTTCAACAATGCAAGGCTCCAATTGCAGTACAGTATTGTCAACTTTTGTGAACTTCTTTGACTGCTTTGTTCTATGGATTTGGCAAATAAGCTAAGCTGGCTCTACCCCTTAAGTTACTTATTTTCCTTGTTCTTTCCTTCTGACTCTTCTGACTTTTCTGATGGAAAAAGACTGGTACATTCTGGGCAGAAAAATCGACCATGTCAGCCTGATTACGATTTCATCGAGTTCTAATGCATTTCTCTTTAGAGGTGTTATGCCCATCCCACCAGATCGACATCGCCAATAAAAAAGATGTGAACTAGATGCTAAGCCTCCTCTCACAAAGCAAGTTCTAAATGAACCACAGGGCAGCCAGAACTCAACCTACTATTACCTCAGGAATACCACCAGTGGCTGTGGGAACCAAACCTCAAGCACCAGCATCAGCAAGAAGTACATCGACTTATAAAGTTCATCTGTAGCAAGAAATTTATTAAGCAAAAAAGTTAAACGTATTGGGGAAGACAGTTATAGAACTTCTAAATAATTGAATAACGAGGCTCTTGCGCAACAGTATATCAATTAAAAAGACCTAGAACTCAAATATTATGTTTTCCTGGCAACATGGTTGAAAAAAATATCTTCAACCGCCACTTGCATATATTGAAATCAGAAGCAACTCTATACATAGAAACTAGATGTAAGTTATTCCTCACCATCTAAGTCACAGAACACCAAGATGCTAAGCAGCTTAAGTCTTACCACACTGAGAGATCATCCCAGTTTTAATGAAGTAACAATCAGGGCTACCTATAACAAGTTGTTCGCATAAACAAGGAAGGCATATATGTACATGCATAGATAAGAAAGCAATTTAAGGATTGCAAATCTTTTTCTCTGTTTTTTTAAAAAAGAAATTTTATTTCATAAAAAAACCGTACAGAAAAGTGGACAAGTAATCCACCAATAACAGAAAGAAACAGGAAAACGACTACAGAGATCTACAACTATGAGAGGAAACCAATCCTAACACTGCAGCCTTCCACTCAAGCAAAATGTCTGAAAAGGATGTATTCCTAAAAATAGGATAAACAAAGCCCATATCGCTGCCCAGTACTTTTCCTTTTCCCACGTCCGCCCACTTCGCATCTTCAAAAATCCGTTGATTTCTTTCCCACCATATAGCCCAAACAATAATAATGAATATTATTATGAATAATAAATTTCACTCACTTTTCCTCATCTCAAAGGATTGCAGCTGTCCTTGCTTCCTTTGCCTTTGGGTTCCATCATTTTTGTGAAGAAGAAAAGATGTGATGGAAGGAAAGACTAAGGCTAAAGAAATTTACGAGGCCGGGTTGAGATGGATGGGAGAATGGCAGGTGAGTGGTGAGTGTTTGAACAGATTTATAACTAACAATATAAAAATTCCACCAAAGTAATATACACTTGCAAAATATTAGCCTAAGCCGTCTGTTCATTGTAAAATATTGTGCAGGGTATAAACAGTTAGTACCATTTCATCATGCTTCAATTTAGGCCATTTTGTCTAAGTTGGCCATGTGTCCATTATTGATGGGAAAATTTATACAGGTATATACTGAAACATCCAACTACTGTACGTTGATAAGGGCGAAACACCAAAAAAACATCTCTCATCAACATCCCTATAGTTGTACAAAGCATGCAAAATACATACAGCTCTAATGAGGTACCAGATGACCAAAATACACGCGAGTAGCAAACTATTCACATGTGCCTCTACCGTGTCATATTTCTCCACTTATCCTTCAAATCAACCTGGACATAGTAACCTCAAAAGTCTTAGACATAATACACATTGATGGTGTATTGTTTGTAGAATAAATTTATGTGCAAAGTTAAGAGCCATTGGAAAATTACAAAACTCACGTACCTCAGTTCTCTCTTCAAATATCTCGCGGTAGCTATTCAAGATAAATTTCCAGTTTCCCGCGCCATACCTTCATTGAAAAGGATCACAATAATGAGACTCGAAATAATACATACTACTCGCTAATATTAGATACTATGTATTCAGTCAATAGAAGCAGGACAGCTAGTAAGTAAGTTATAGGGTCATATAATTATCTTCATATTATTAGTCATAATAGGTAACCATAGTAATAAGTTTGAAAGAGATTGGAAATACAAACAAACCTATTACCAATAATGCCTACCCAATGACCACCTAAACCCAACCCAATAAATTATTCTTATTATTTTAGAAAAAAAGGGAAATAAAAAGACCCATTTTAGAGGCAAAAGCTAGAGAAAGGGTGCAACATACTTCTGTACACCAGTCCTTAAGGTGTCTTCTTCCAATAAGCTCCATCTCTTAGCTTTTCTTCTCTTAGTAAATCTCTTATTCTCATACTTCTTCAATGGAGAAACAGCATTCCTCTTTGGGCTAGGTAAGTGAAGCCTGCCTGGATCTTTCATTGCTCCTTGTGACGTATCTATTGAGTCATCCCACTGCAAAAACTCAACATGAAATACAAATTATAAGCAACCAGAACCACAAAATTGCAGGCCTATGGACAATAGTATGCACACAAATTTAGGCTATTATAATAGCACAAAAAGGACATGAAAATAAATACCTCGTAAGTATGAGCAGTAATATTACGTTCCATCAAGCTAGGTCGAGGAGCATTAATCTTATTGCTGGAAGACGGATTTCCAAGATTGACATCATCAGTTTGAACAGACTCAGTTCCTTTTCCCTGGTTGACTGGAGGATTTGGTACATCCTTTTCTTTTCCACTAGATTGGGGAAAGGACACATTTCCAAGATTATCATTATGAGATTGAACAGGTCCAGCACCTATCTCGACAGAGAGATTTTCTGCCCCTACATTCACAGATTTCATTGCCAAATCCAATCTTATGGTTTCAGCCACTCGTAAAGCATCCGGAAGCGGATCTGTCATTGGTCGAGGAGCAATATTCTTATTGCTGGAAGACGGATTTCCAAGATTGGCATCATCTGCTTGAACAGACTCAGTTCCTTTTCCCTGGTTGACAGGAGGAGTTAGTACATCCTTTTCTTTTCCACTAGATTGGGGAACAGACATATTTCCAAGATTATCATTATGAGATTGAACGGGTCCAACACCCTTCTCAACAGAGAGATTTTCTGCCCCTACATTCACAGATTTCATTGCCAAATCCAATCTTATGGTTTCAGCCACTCGTAAAGCATCTGGAAGTGGATCTGTCACTACTGCTTGTAGCTCCAAAATACTGGATCTAAGTGCTTCTTGTGCATTGCTAACTTCAGGGGTAGACAGGGAATCATATTTGCTATTTGATAAGTCTGTGCCCAAATCTTCAGCGTCCCGAATCCTAACCGGTCCTCTAGTGCGCCTATGAGCAAGGTGCTTGTATCTAAGTCCCGTACTCCTCTGAATTTCTACAAGAAATAAAGAGGAAGAAAGCGAAATGTAATCATTTGAAACACAAACCCTGCAATAACTACATTAAGCAGGATAATACATTTAAATCTTCAGTTACAGGGGGTTGAGAGCTTGGCATAAAAGAGAAAAGGCTGTATATTTGGTAAAACAACCCCGAAACAGGTAAAGAACAACAGATAGCAGCCAGCTTGGAAATAAGGACAAAAACTCAGCAATACTTAAGATGATCAAGGTGCTTAAAAATCCAGATAAAACAATACAGAGCAACCTCTCAGCCTCCATGCACATAAAGTAATGTCACTTTACCTCTATCTCTGCTAACAAAACAACGTACCTTTATCCTTCGTGGTTGGATCTAAACTGAGAACCAGTTCCCTATTCGTACTAGGCAAACCCCCGCCTGTCTCATGAACCTGATCATCACCGAACCTGAGCACTTCTCTGTTCGTGAATCCAGAATCCATTTCATTCAAAACTAAATCCCGGCTCATAGTAGGTGGCATGCGCCTTGCCCCGACTTCCCGCAATTGGACCCCAGTCATCGGTTGTGGACCCGATTCAAACCCACAACTCGCATTAGCCTCATTCACCCTTTGCGCCTGCAATTCACACCCATCACCCAAATTAGTCCCATTTGTAGTTTGCACCTCCAACTGAGACCCATCCCCTGCATTGGTCTCATTAACCACTTCCTTCTCCAATTCAGACCCATCAACCGCATTAGTTCCACTAGCCATTTGCACATTACCCCCATTCTCCATTTGAGCTTCCAATTCAGACTCACCGCCAACATTAGCCCCAGTCTCCATTTGGGCCTCCAATTCAGACTCACCCCCAACATCAGCAGCATTCGCCATTTGAGCCTCCAGTTCAGACCCATCACCGGCATTAGCCCCATTCTCCGTTTGTGCCTCCAATTCAGACCTATCACCCACATTAGCCCCATTCTTCGTTTGCGCCTCCGCTTCAGGCCCACCACCCACATTAGCCTCTTTCGCCACTGCAATCTGATCACCCTCCAAGTCGGCAACTTCCTTGGGCACATTCAATCTTACAGCCCAAGTAATAAACGGAGGTCCCATTAACGCCAAAGCTTCCTTCACATATACCGCAACCAATCTCAGCGCATCGTTCCTCGTGTTCATCCTTGACAACTTCTTCGACACTCTCAAATCCCAAACCCCAGCCTCGACCTCGTCCATTCTCTGCCTCAATTCGGCAGATATCAGCTGGCTCGTCTCTGACCGCTCCAAAGCCCCAACCCTCCCTCTCCAAATCCGATCAACAGCCTCCAAGTACTTCCCGCTCGGCTTTCCCATGAGGCCCACCAAGAACTTGACCGTACACTCAGTGGCCAAGGCCAAGTACGCGGCTTTCATGGAGTCCGTGGTCGCAATGCCTTGGCTAATATCCAAATCCTCGATCATTTCAAGCGTTTCTAGCATCGTTTCAGTGACCAAAGCGTCGTAGACATCGCACTCGATGGTTCGGAGGAGCACGGTCTTCTTCAAGCGATAGTCTTGGTCTGAGAATGGCGCAACTGCGAGGACTCTCTTGGCAATGCACTCCTTCTCGCGGTCTCGGATAAGGAGCTCGAGGACCCACCGGGAAACGTCGACGTCTGAGTCCATGAACGAGGCAACTGAAACCCTAATCTGAAGCGCGCTGATTTAGCTTGTTTGGGATATTAGGTTTTCTAAGCGAAATTGGGAGCAACAGAAAGACGTTAGGGTTTAATGGACGATGATGATCATCAAACGACACTCCACTCTTTGAATTTGGGGCTATTTCTGAGGATGGTAGACGAATATTACTGTCTATAGTCTCCGAATTTGGGCTTCAATTTTGGGCCTTTAAACGTATTTGGGGCTTCTTTAATGAATATTTTCTTGACCGTGCATTCAATCTTAATTTGACGTAAAAAATTATTCTAATTGATAGTCGAACAAAGGATGAAACTATCGTTTATGTTTATCAAACTAGGTTATCAATTTGTATTATAAATTCAGAGTTAGTAAACCTATTCAACATGATTTATTTTTGGCCTTTATTTTTCGAAGAAATTGAACTTTAAGTTGTTAGGTTGAGATTCAATTAATGAATAAACGAGAGTTTCTTGTATTGTTAAAGCAAATTTTTTTTAAAATGATGGAAGTTAACGCAATCTTCACTTGTTCTTGTTTTAACTTATTATTGTGGATGTCATGATTCACATTTTCGATATAGATTAATTAATGGCTTGGTTGCAACAAGTTTAGCTTGAAAGTTAAACCCACTAAAATTGCAATTGCAATAATAAGTATGTGGTCATGGCACAGTAACAGAGCAAGGATGAGGATGCCCTAACTTGAATCTCGTGGATAATTTGTGGCCTCAACAACCTTTTTGATTAAATTTTGTTTTCCTCAATTAAATATCATAATACAGTGCAGGAAAAATGCTATAGCTCATACAATTATATAATCCTATAAACACAAATTAAAATTGTTAATTGTTAATTGTTAATTAACTAAAAATATATACATAATTTTATAGATGCGAGTTGGACCATTTGACTAATAAGAAGAACTTGCATGTCACAGATTGTTTTACTATTTTCATCTAATCACATTTCTTTATGTTAAAATTTTATTATGCTTAGTAGAACGTGATTGATTAGAAATATAATACAGTACTCTCCGGTGATATGCAGGTGTTTCTCGTGGCCAACCAACCCATCGGAATCCGAATAAACTTTAAACTAGGATGCGATGCGGCTCTCTGAAAAGGGAACCCGCGGGAATAGAAGGGATTGGGGTAAAATACATCCCTAGGTTAAAGCGGGCCAAACGAACAATTTAAAATCCCTTAAAGCACCCACAAGAAAGTATTAAATTCCCAGAATGTCCTGCATATATATTCCGCTCCAACAAGTTGTTCGAGTTGGAAGACCCCTCTGAGTAGAGAGAGAGCCATAGAAGTAGAACTGGGACAGCTCCTTTAGCTACATAGCCGACTCTGTACTCTGTCTCTCTCTTCCCTCTCTGTATATCTCATGGCTCGTTGCACTTTTTCGTCGGACGATATCGTAATCAAGTCTCCGAATGATAGAAGATTATACAGATTAATCAAGCTCGAGAATGGCCTCTCTGCATTGCTTGTTCACGATCCTGAGATTTACCCAGAAGGGCCGCCTGAACACTCCAAGTCCCTTGAACACAGCGAAGCTGCAGAAGAGGAAGATGAGGATGAGGATGATGACGAGGATGGAGCGGAAGAGGAAGATAGTGAAGGAGAGGATGATGATGAAGAGGACGATGAAGAAGATGAAGAAGATGAAGAAGGAGAGGGCGGAGATGGTGAACTGAAAAAGAAGGGAAAGGGTGGTGCTTCTCAGACTAAGAAGGTTGGTCTATGATTTACATTGAAAATATGCAATGCCCATCTCGAATTGATTTATAAATATATTTATGTTCAAAACCCAGTTGATATAATCCGCAATACATTGATGAAAATTGCTTATAGATAGGAAAGCAATATGACTTTTTTGTCTGCATGACTGATACCAAATAACTGGAACTTCAAGATCACTGCATGGTTGTCCAAGATTTGAACTTTTACTTGGTTACTGCTTTAAGATTCCACCATCCTTCTTTTTCTGCAATATAATAGTTATCAAATAGTTCACATTTTCAAACAATTTTTTCACACAAAAGGATGAGTTTGCCGAGCTTCCATAGTCCTAATTCCAAGTGGAACCTTTGCTTTGTTTTTGGTAATTCTATTTCCAAGTATAATTTCTGAGAATGACACTGATCTCTAATCTACTTAATGATATAATGTTTACTCAGCTCAGTTACAAGAATTTGATTTAATTGGATAAATAACGACATTTGATCGTCTTTGCAGGCAGCAGCAGCAATGTGCGTAGGCATAGGCAGCTTCTCTGACCCGTTCGAGGCACAGGGGCTTGCTCATTTTCTAGGTTTGTGTTACACATGCACAAATGGGTCATCAAAAGATGTACTGAATGTTGATGTCCAGGAATTACTAAATAACATACTGAATGTTTTGCAGAACATATGCTCTTCATGGGGAGTACAGAGTTTCCAGATGAAAATGAGGTCTGTTTGTACATGAGTGTTCTTTTCCAATTTTTGGTGCTAGTTCAATTAGTTTTTATCATCTGGAGATGCACATGATCCTTTGTATTATTTATGATAAACGAGGTTTACTAAGAGACTGAGAGTATGTACATGGCAATAGTAAAGCCGCATGAATTTTTCCATACTATAGATTACGACATGGCATCTCAAGAATTATATTTACCCATCCTTTTGCAACATCATCAGCCTGCTTGTTCTACATATGTATGAGTGGGAGGACTTGTTAGTTCTTTTGCTTCCCACCTGCTTGCATATCTGTCAGGCTGTGTGGGACAGGGACAACCGAGTGTATGGTCGTGTCACTTGTGAATTATCTTTGTTTACATTTTTCTTCAACCTAAACCTGATGGGAATGGATGGCATTTTGGATAAAGCAAATGTCAGCTTTATCATAGTAATTGTGTGTAGTAGTTCTCTTCTTTTTTTTCTTTTTTTTTGGGGCTCATAGTAAAATGACATTTAAAATTAATTTCTTTTACTTGTTTAGACTTTTTTGTAAACTTCCACTTAAGTGGGAAGAATGTATGCTATCTTTGTGGCCACTTGTTTTTGACTCTTCTATTTGCTAGTATGATAGTTATTTGTCCAAGCATGGAGGGTCATCAAATGCATACACAGAAGCAGAGCATACCTGCTACCATTTTGAAGTGAAACGGGAGTTTCTTAAGGGTGCTTTGAGAAGGTAAAGTCTGAGCTCTACATGTTTTGAATATCAATAGTTGAAGTCCTTGGTATTGAATACTTCTTTGGTCTATGAAGTGAGCCTGTAGTTTTTATTGATGCTGCCTGCAGTTGAAAAGATCTATGGTTGTCATATGAATGTTTCAAATTGTGGTATCGCTATAGGAACTGTAGTTTGAAACATTAAATTACCTTTTCGTTTAGTTATTTTTATATGTATGTGGTGCATATATGATAAGAATGATTACTTATTGGTACACTAACCTATCAAAAAAATGTTGGAATGGGATTGAGGTTTCCCTTTTGGATCTTTAAGATCCAACAATGTGTTCCTTTTGGTTCCTTGGCATCTGGTTCACCATAATCTTTTCATTGAATTATAATCAAATGTATACAAATCCTTTCAAATGAATATACATGGTAATATGTTCTGTGCTCCATATATTCCTATTGCAATATATTTAGCTAGTAGCATGTATGTGGCGCTTTGTCTGAAATTCTCTAGTTCTAAATTCATTTTAAATTTCTGTTTCGGCAACTTGGTTTATATTCATTTCGGCCCTTTATTTTATCAGATTTTCTCAGTTCTTTGTTTCACCGTTAGTGAAAATTGAAGCCATGGAGCGAGAGGTACAGGCTGTAGATTCAGGTGCTTTCAAGTCTTAACCGAGTTTATTAGTTTCTGTTTCTCCTTTTAAAAGCTTTCCCAGCTTTTTGCTTACAAGTTCTTATTGCTGAATGGTATTTTGTATTGCTGAAATAAATGGAATGCAGAGTTTAACCAGGCCTTGCAGAATGATTCTTGCCGCCTTGAACAACTCCAATGCCATACATCCACACCTGGTCACCCATTTAATAGGTTCTTTTGGGGTAAAACTTGAACCAATCTTCTCTCACTCTCCTTCTTTAGAAAAAGAATGATTAATTTGTATGAAATTACATTTTATTTTATGTATGCATGAAAGGAAATAAGAAGAGCTTGGTTGATGCAATGGAAAAAGGGATCAACTTGCGTGAACAAATACTAAAATTGTACAGAGATTATTACCATGGTGGACTAATGAAGCTAGTTGTCATTGGTGGAGGTGAAATTTTCCCTTTCCTTTTCATCCCTTATTGATTTTCATTTTGTTTTGTTTATACCACCGTTTGTCGAGGGTTGAATTTTGATTGACAAATATCATTCTTTGTATTGCCACATAGGGTGTTTGAATGGAAGTAATGACAGAGGTTCAATTTTACTTAGTTGATATCAATCAAATTGTAGCTTTTTGAAGTAATTACTTATCTATACAGGATTTCTGTCTTGTGGATGGTTATGTTGGATTCTTTGAATTGGTAGAGGTTGATATCAGCGTGCACAATTACATGTTAGAGTTTTGTCATTTGTGATGTTCTATTGGTGTTAGCAATGTTTTGGCAATTTCTATTGGCAGAAGAACTATTGTGGCAATGGAGATGGAATTATTGGTGCTGTTAGCTATACAGTGGTGCGGTGGCGCCATTGTTGATAGCTTTTAGTTTGATTGATGTACCCAAAAATTATGCATACAATTAACAAACCAAGTAGAATCAGTTATGCTGCTGATTTATGAAATCTAAGTGATATTAATTGTAATAGTTCTATTTGCTGCAGAATCTCTGGATGTACTTGAGGATTGGGTTGTGGAATTGTATGGTAATGTCAAAAAAGGTCCCCAAGTAAATCTGGAGTTCAAGACGGAAGGTCCTATCTGGAAAGCTGGAAAACTTTATAGGCTAGAGGCTGTTAAAGATGTTCATATACTCAACTTAACATGGACATT